TGAAAGAGCAATGCGGCGGCCTGCGTATCAAAATGCGTCGGCTCAAAAACCGGAGTCAGGAGGTCGCAGACAGCTGGAGGAGACGGTCCACCACGTTGCGGCTGAAGCGGCTGTGCTTCTCGGCGTTCTTATGGGACTCTCATTCGCTCTGACAGCGGCACGTCCAGAATTGTATCACACTTGTTCACCGTCAGTGACAGGCCCAGGCTTATATCAAATGGGATGTCAATCTTTGTACTTGCGCTTCAGTAGACAGTTGATCGAGCGACGTAGTCTCTTGAGGATGCATGATTCCGTGGCAGCCTCTTCTTCCCTCAAGGTACGAGGCCTGTTGATCATCTACTAACCCGCAATTTTGAAACCACATAACTATTGACAACTGCACTCCTCTTAACTACTCTCAACTACTTCCGGCGTGTTTACAGGCAGCCAAAACACTTGTTCACAATCACCAAGGAGTCAAATACAACGATACTCCCAGCTGGCACGTCAATATTTCACCGTCAAGTCCAGTTTTAGCTCAAATCGGACGTCTATCTGGCGGCCATTTGTTCACTTTCACTTGGTGATATGCGAAGGAGTGGCTTCGTTTACGTTGACCGCTATTCGGCAGACATCGGGATGGACACGTTGTTTCACCGGGGCTTACGGCATCAGAGATGATGGCTTGTCGGGTGATTCCCGAAAGCTCAATATTCCGTGCACAATTATAACGTCGACGAAGTCAGCTGCCGGTCAAGCTTTTACGGTTTTCCCGTTGACAAGTTGACTCACAAGCGGACTGCGGATAACTGCGTCGACGGAAACGCTGCAGTTTTTATTCGGCACTTGCGCAACACTTCTAGTTGCCGCTGTGGCATTTCTCGCCGTATCATGTAAGAAGTTCTGGCTAACGTTGCGAAGTACGAGGCACTTACAGACGGAAGGTCTTGCGGCGTTAATGCGAGTACTGCTCGCGGAGCGAGCTGTTTCCGCGTTGCTGACTGCTCGCCGGGCGGCCACTGCAGACTCCCGTTGTACACCGACGCAGCCCGCGTGCCGCCCAAGCAAGGGTATAGGCCCACTCCGTCTCCTCTCACAGGTGGCAGCGCAGCGCTTCGCTGGCCTCGTAATTAGTTCGGTCCCTCCGCTATTTATTTTTATTTATTTACAAAATACTGCTGGCCATGTGGCCCATGCAGGAGGGGCAGGGTACAACATAAATACATCTACAAAGCACTTCTTTATTCGTCTTATTCATCTTCTTTATTTCTGTTTTTGTTTTGTGTGTCTGTGAATGGAAGTGTGGACAACTCCCATTGTTCCGACGGGGCGACCCCGCTCTGACGATGATGGTCGGCGATGCGGGTACCCCGTGTCGCAGCCTAGCGCAGGTGTCGGCAGGAAGCGGACGAGAATATACCGTAGAATGCCGCGCTTAATGGACACGCGATAGCGCTAAGGATGGACGCCAAGTCGTATTATGGGCAATATTTATTCATTGGGATCACGACGAAAGGCGTACCCTTTCTTACAGGGAATCCTATTCTAATTTGTGCCGTAGTCGTCGTATCAGCAGCAGCAGCAGCAGCAGCAGCAGCAGCAGTAGTAGTAGTAATAGTCGTAGTATACTAGTAGTAGTAGTAGTAGTCACGCAGGTCACGGGACCAGAGGTCATCTTTATATATATATATATATATATATATATATATATATATATATATATATATATATATATATATATATATATATATATATATATGTGTGTGTGTGTGTGTGTGTTTCACTCAAAATTAATGTCAAGGAATGTAAGGGAAATAATTAGAGCCAATGTAATGTAAATAAGAAGAAAGAAAAGTGGGTGAAAAAATAACTTGCCGTGAGCAGAAATCGAACCTACGACCTTCGAATAAGGCGTTCGATGCATCCAACGCGATGCATCTCGTATATATATATATATATATATATATATATATATATATATATATATATAATGAGATCTAACAGACAATAATGCCAACGAAAACACAGGAGAAGTTATTAGGCCAATTGTAATGTAAATGAGAAGAAAGAAAAGTGGGTTAAAGAGAACTTGCCGTGGGCAGGATCCGCCCACGGCAAGTGTATATATATATATATATATATATATATATATATATATATATATATATATATATATATATATATATATATATATATATATATATATATATATATATATATATTAAACGTGTTATGGATGTACATGAAGGTAACGAAAAGGCTTGGTCAATGTTAGTCACCAACCCATTAAAAAAAGGAGATAAAGGTCATCCCCCAACACGATCACCATCAACTGACTTGTCGCTGGAAAGTCGCGCTTATAAACGAAAACGCCGTAGTTGCTGTCATCGCTTTGGGTGATTAAATCTGAGCGCACACACGTGCTCACACAATGGAATGTTCGCGTATAAAAACCGGGTTGCTAAATATTTTCCGTAGCATCCCAGGTCTCAAGGGCTCCTGGCTGACACCTAGGCGTGGTATCCGCACCACCGAGGCCACCGGATTTTCTAAATGAAGTTTTTTTTTTTTTCCTGCTCGTGCTCCGCTCTTACAAACGCACGCAATTGTCACGATTATGATGATGATTCCTCTACCGTGGCTTATAATATAAGCATTCAGGGTGATTGGCCAAGAATGGAATAAATGGATTATTTAGATATTTCATGCATCAAATTTCGATAACAATAAAAGAAAGGGAAAACGTACTGAAAAACTGAAAAAAGGAAATAATTGTTTTTACCCATTAATATAAGCCATTATAGTCTTTATCTTGAATAAAAAAATACAGTGAAGGCAACGAAAAAAAAATATATTTCTGTTTTGAATTACCTCAATACTATTACTTGCACAAGCAGGAATTGACTCGTATATTTCGTATTTCAGGCCACTGCGTCTTTCCTCACTTTGTCTTTACTTTCACATTTACAAAAAAAATTTCACTTTCGCTCTCTCTCTCTCACGTATGTGTTTGTGTGTGTCTGTGTGTTTGTGCTTGTTCAGCCAACCGAATTTCATGCGACGTTATCGCACGCAAGCAGTTCTTATGCCCTATAGAAACGCGGGCAAATGCGGGCAAATATACAAATGCGGGCATGGAATCATGACATGATTCCATTGTTTCACAATTTCATGGCGGGACTAAAAGGTCGAATTGTGTCTGTGAGCTTCCCGACTAAAAAAATCAACAACTCTGTGAGGAGTCACAAAGAAACAAGGATAGCATTTCGCAAAAAGTGTAGCCGAGTACATGGTTACCGCTCTCTTATGTGTTCTCTTCAAATATTCTTGACAAGCACAATTTTCTAAGCACTTTGCTTTGCCAATGATCTATACAGAGCAAGCACATTTCGTTTTTGCTCCAGAGCAGTGTCATGCATGCCATCTTGTGTTTTAAGTAGCTGAACGGCCCATGAAGTTGTATGAGTTGTTTCCTTTCAGTGGCATTTCGTATATCAAGTAGTTCCGTACACGCCAACCTACTTCTTGTTTTGTTAATTGCCTTTGTAATCCTGTGCGACTCCCGATACACCTCTGAATTTCTCATCGTGAAATAACAGGCAAGCATGCTCCCTCCATGACAAAATCTTTTTGCCAGTGGGTATATTTTGCGATCTGTATCAACAAAAGCATGTACACCATTGGTTCACTTGAAGCGTATTGGGCTTACTTCCTGTGAAACAGGGTGTGGTGGGGGGGGGGAGGAACGAAATGTCTAATGTTGATTCTACATTGTAGGCGAGAGTCGAGTCTCAAGTGGCTACGTTCGCGCTCCCGTTTGCAATACTTGCGCGGGAGTTCGCAAGACCGTAATGTCTCGCAAGAGCGCGCGAAGCTCTCACAAAGTCTCCACAAAAAAGCCCGCGCGACCTTTTCATAGGGATCACGTCATCACACGATACCATCGCTTGGCGAAAGAGGGACAGTACAAAACAAATAATCCGTATGCATGAAGTGATTATTAGACATTTCAAACATGTTTCTCCCCCTAACAGGTATCTGCTCCCTGAGGCGTGATCGACGTCGAAATTTCGGCGACAACGGAGTATGCGTACCGGAGACCTAAGGTCAACGTCCAGTGACGTCAGGGACCCGGCAGACGCGTCAGTTCTTCGCCCCCTAGCGGCGTCAGGGGCATCCATCGAGGCCCGCCCAACGCTACTCGAACGTGCTATGAAGAAATTATTCGCCACATTGTATATTCAATTGAACTTACTCTTGCATTTTTATACAATAAAAAGGGAAAAGAAATTTATTGAAGTATGTCTCGTTCGTCATTCCACAAGGACTGTTCTGGCGTGGCGCCGAGGAAAAAAATAAAAGGAGCGGCAGCGGACGAGTTAGTCGTCGAGTGGAGAAAGAAGTAACCAGCACAAACGAAGACGTTGTTATCGTTGCATGTGTCTACTACGTCCATGTCTCATCACAGTTGTTTGCCTTAGCGAGAATACAAAACAGCGCAAAAAAACAGCACCGGACTGAGCAGTGCACTGCGCTCCAGAACGGTGTTTTTTTAAGCAGTTTTTATTCTTATTAATATTATTAAGATGATAAAATAAAAGAGGTTGGTGCCATTATGGTTTCACCAGCTACCCTGCTCACTTAGCAGACAAAATATGTCGTAAGAAAAACAATGAGGGCACAAAAATGCGGTACAGTAGAAGATACGATGTGAATGTACAGCACATCCGAACACCACATAACAGTTAAGATACGCCTAATGTGTTTGCCATGTCACGTGGTCGGCAGTTCACTCACGGATCCGTATTGTGGTATTGCAAGTGCTTGCACTTCGGGGCATTGAAGGAGTGACGATGTCGGCTTCAAAACGAAAGCGGAACTTGTGGTGTCTCGCAAGGCAATGCCGCAAGCTTGTCTCGCCTTACACGGTGGACGGAGACGGCGGCCAGCGACGGCCAGATAATATGTACTAAGCGGGTTAAAAAAAAAAAGACAAAATGAAAACGCCTGCGAGATAGCGAACGAAAGGCAGTGGGCGAGTCGCGAAGAAACTTTTAAGAACGGCTTACACGGATAACTGTGGTACCACTAATGAAGTGAGTTGGTCGCTTTCTTTTAAAAGAACAAAAAAAAAACAATCTTCATGGTCTGAAACATGATTGCTACGCGACGTGGACTGGGTGCTTCCCTGTGGCTCTGTTGCATATTTTTCTACTTGCTGGAAAGGCTTAGGTGAGTGCTTGTTTTGTACCTTCAAACATTAAAGTGTTTTAGCAGTACCGGTTTACCGTATGGTAATGCACGGAAGCACCACAACGTCGCGGTCTTCTTGTGACTTATTTAGTGTTCGAAACCTCTGTGAGGTACTTTATATATTCTCCTCACGTTGCCCCCAGAAAACACGAAGGCCAAAGAGTTTGAAAAAAAAAAGAAGAAAAAGATACGTGATTACTGCGACGGCGAAATGTTTTCCTGGGCGGTTTACCATCCGATACGTATTGAAACACCATACCGTGGTGGTCGGCACTTCGCTGTTTTATCATGGAAAATCTGTATCAGCTGGTGTGTTCGTTCAGCTCATCAGGTTAGTGACATGTATAGACTGTGTTACGTATTGGTTGCAGAGTTGCCAAATCGGGCTGTTAACCTTGCCGTTTAATGTCTATATCAGGGAGCTTTCGAATAGCGTACGCTAAGATAGCGCCGCGGGCTTGACGCTCACCCGCTATTGCCGTCACTTAACGGGAGCCCACAAGCGGTTATCGTACGACGTATGGGCAGGGGCGCGAAACGCAAACGCAGAGCTTCGTGTATACGCCATTCGAAAACTCCCTAATGGAGTTTTCGAATGGCGATAATATCGAATAATGCGATATTATTCCCCTTTTCCCCCACCCCAAGTGTAGGGTAGCCAACCGAGCCAAGCTTGGTTAACCTCCCTTCCTTTCCTCTCTATTTATCTCTCTCTCTCTCTCTCTCTCTCTCTCTCTCTCTCTCTCTCCCTAATGGCTCAGAGAGCATTGTTAGGAATACGTTTACGCGTGAAACCGGTTTGGTTGGTGGAACACACGTACCACGACCTGTAATTCACACTGTGAGATATACGAAAATGGGAAAATATTCAGTCAACAGAACAAGATATGGGCGCCAATTCGTCCTACGTAAAACCGTCTATCGATAGCTTGCACGTAATGCCGTGCATGCACACGCAAAATGGTGGCGTACGAGATGTCAAAGTAGTTCAGCCACGTGGCAATAGCCTGCTTCAGTGTGATGACGACGTCGCTGGAACGCTGTTGGGCTTCTGTCGATGCATAATGAAGGTTCATTTTAGGCCGAATTTGGTATTTATATGTCGTCAGAAAGTTCGCGTGCCGGTGTGTTGGTGCTTTAACGTAACAATATTCTAGGGACGTCAGTTCAAGCCATCTAGAAAACACTTGCGCGCTGCTGAAACGTCCTTGCGTAGGGTGTTTCAGCCACAACGGAAATACCGCACCATTTACACTGGAGCATTACAGTTCCTTGTTAAGTGTACCTCGGCGCTGACCATGTTGCCAACTAGGCTGCAAAAGTTACGTCTTTTTTTTCTTTCCTAGTGTGATACTAGACACTGGTTGCTATTGAAATGGACTAGTTTCATGTTGTGGGCAGTGCTGTATTTATTTATTTGTTCACCTATAACATTGCTGCACTTTTGGACTTTGCGTTGGTTCATTGCACAGCTTTTCTTTTTATCTTGCTGTAATTATATTTTCCTATGGCTTTTCTGACGGCTCTGACTCTTATTTTACGCGAAGATTTTTATTGTTTTTTTAGCATGTGCTTAGGTGGAATCTGTTAAGTTTTCACAGTAATAACATTAAAACAAGTATTGCATTGCGTGTGTGTATCGTACAACTTGCGACAATGTTCTTGTTGTTCTGGTACCAGATGGCAAAGACCGACATCATCATCATCATCATCATCATCATCATTATTATTATTATTATTATTATTATTATATTATTATTATTATTATTATTATTATTATTATTATTATTATTATTATTATTATTATTATTATTATTATTATTGTTATTATTATTATTATTATTATTATTATTATTATTATTATTATTATTATTATTATTATTATTATTATTATTATTATTACTTTATTGCAGTGAGGGGTGCATCGTTACTGCTCCCAGTCTCGTCCGGCTGGGCGCTAACGAAACGGTGCTGGTCAGGAACAGGGCAAATGCCGCCAAAAATGTCTCTCTACGAGCCACCGACTACCCCGCCGAAGCACGCCTTCTGTTTACGGAGTCATTCCTTCTGGGAGGCGGTAAGCGTAAACTGTAAGCGCGAAGAGTAAAGGTATAGACAGTTAAAGTTTACCCGTTGGCGTGTTAGCGGAGGTTAAGGGATGTAAAAAAAACAATAGGCAAACGCCTTTATAGACACTAACGTTTAGCTTCTTCAACGCAAACAGGTGCGGAAAAGCTCGTGCGCATGAAACTGGACGAAACCAAGTTCGCCGGCGAAGACCTGCAGCACTCGAACCATTCCAGTTTCGTTTCTCTGAGAGTTCACTGCGGGGACGCTTTCGACAAGGCGGCGGTCTTGCTCCTTAAGCCGACTTCGGGGTACCTATTCGTCCAAACAGACAAGCCCGTGTACAGCCAAGGGGAACCCGGTAGGTGCACGTCGACTCGTTCAAGTGCTATGACTCATCCGTCGGCTATGTGCCACTCGAAGGCGACACCACAATGTGCGTTTGTGGTGTCTACCTAGTTCCGTGCGTATTTCCTAATCCAAATGCATACCTTATAACTGGAGCGCACTTTAGCGAAGACGCAAACCAATTAGGCCAACGTCACCCTGGCAGTCGGCCACCCACTGCAGACTACGTTGCTACGCGTAAGCCTGCTTAAATCCGGACAATGGCTTTATCGCCAACTGAGGTGTTAACATGTTTGTTTTGATGTGCAGAGCGCGCGCAGATCGAAAAGCGACACCGTTGTTGTCGTTAGTTGTAAACTGATAGGACCAGCTGCTCGTGATAACGGCGACGTGTTGCGGCAAATGTAGAGAGTATGGTCGCTCTGATAGTAATAGTGATCGGTATCTTTCACCCCGAAACCGCATCGGTTATGAGAAACGTGGTGAATGAAGGCTGGAAAAAAATCTAGAAAATCTGGTGTTCTTTAACGCGCGCTTAAGTATAAGCACGCAGGCTTCCAGCCTTTTGCCCTCCATCGAAAAGCAGCTGCCGTGGCCGGGTTTTGATCCCGCCGCGACCTTTGGGTCATCTATCTATCTATCTATCTATCTATCTATATCTATCTATCTATCTATCTATCTATCTATCTATCTATATATCTATCTATCTGTCTGTATCTATCTATCTATCTATCTATCTATCTATCTATCTATCTATCTGTCTGTCTGTCTGTCTGTCTGTCTGTCTGTCTGTCTGTCTGTCTGTCTGTCTGTCTGTCTGTCTGTCTGTCTGTCTGTCTGTCTGTCTGTCTGTCTGTCTGTCTGTCTGTCTGTCTGTCTGTCTGTCTGTCTGTCTGTCCGTCTGTCTGTTCTTATTCCACATGAAAATTTTCTTTCAGTGAAGATACGAATTGTGGCCGTGGATGACGCCTTGTTGCCGTCAGCGGACACCGTTCACATTGAGATTAAGGTATGAATGATGAAATTGACTCTTAAAAACATAGCTTAAAAACACACACACACACACACAATTAAAGAACACTTCGTAAATACCCAAGTACTTTTGACAAATGCCTGTAGCTATCAAAACTGACTGGGTTTTGTGTGTTTTTTTCGTGCTCTCTCAGCTATCACGTGGTTGATGAGAGAGCGTAAGGAGAAAAGGCCGCAGCTGTGCCGGCGCAAATGTTGCGATGAGCCGCGGTGCCATCGCGTGATAGGTGAGAGAGTGTGAGGGGTTTAGGCCACAGCTGGCACCGTTACAGTGCACGAACGGACGGACATTTGCGGCGAGCATGGGGTAATAAAGGCTTGATCTTTAATATGAGATTATATCTGCGAATGGTAATTGCCGCAAAAAAACATGAAGAAGAAGCAAGAGAGAACAGTGTTTTGGTTTGTTTTTTGCGCAAATTCCCATCAACAGTGCAATATACTAACAACTTGTTTGTCAACTGCCACCAGTGACAAATTGCTAAAAGGCGAAAGAGGCTCACGTTCTATGATCACTGCAAAATTATATACTAGGATGAAAAAGAGGTCTCAACTTGCATACTTCGTTCGGCAGAAAATACCTCTTCTGACAGATTGGTCAGAGAAAATGGTAGAGAAAGTAAGAAAGGCCGGTAGGCTAAATAGACTTTGTGTCATTCCCTATGCTTCGATCCAAGTTTTAGTGTGACTGGACCGACAGTGAGACATAGAAGTGAAGGTGTGTAAGTTGTTTTCAAGTTAGGTACAGTTGTACCTACAATTAAAGACTTAAATCCTTCGTCTTGAAGTACTTTTTGAAAAGTGGTTGATGATTTGGGCTAGAGATTCTTGTTTTATATTAATGACATTGCCTGATTCACGCGTTGCCTCGCATCGATGCAGAATCCGCAGGACATCTTGACTTACACGTGGGACGTTCCGTCAGAAGATCCGAACACTGGCATTGTGAGCCATGCGTATGAACTTCCGAAGTACCCCATGTTTGGCAAATGGAAAGTCATCGCGACATACGGACGGCACGTGAGTTGACTGATGTCGTGCACTTCTGTTTGCGTATAAATTGGTGGCTGTACACATGGTGTGACAGATAGATAGATAGATAGATAGATAGATAGATAGATAGATAGATAGATAGATAGATAGATAGATAGATAGATAGATAGATAGATAGATAGATAGATAGATAGATAGATAGATAGTAGGTAGGTAGGTAGGTAGGTAGGTAGGTAGGTAGGTAGGTAGGTAGGTAGGTAGGTAGGTAGGTAGGTACGTAGGTAGGTAGGTAGGTAGGTAGGTAGGTAGGTAGGTAGGTAGGTAGGTAGGTAGGTAGGTAGGTAGGTAGGCGGGCGAGCGGGCGAGCGGGCGAGCGGGCAGACAGGCAGACAGACAGACAGACAGACAGACAGACAGACAGACAGACAGACAGACAGATAGATAGATAGATAGATAGATAGATAGATAGATAGATAGATAGATAGATAGATAGATAGATAGATAGATAGATAGATAGATAGATAGATAGATAGATAGATAGATAGATAGATAGATAGATAGATAGATAGATAGATAGATAGTGGTGCGTTTAGCTTCCCTTTTTCACAACAGAGTTGATCCGCCTTCATGAGAAACACTGATACATTAAAATATTTGTTATAGTGAACTTAGTACGAGTTTTGGTTGATCAGGCTTCATTTCGGGGAAATGTATTCTTTTTATGGCGAAAGCAACCGAAAACGCAAGAGTCACCGCGCTGTAGACGGTAGGGGAGAAGTATAATTCTCGCGAGGCATTCAACTCAAGAATTGTACTATAAGCAAGAATACAAATGTAGATCGACAACTTACGGCAGCATTTTTTATGGAGTCGGAACAATAAATTTCGTTTATAAACGTGAAAAACGAAGTTACGAAAAGTTTGCTAAAAGGACCTTTGCTATGTTGCAGTGCCCCTTTCTCGTGTTCCAGTCTGCTATAGATTGAAATGAGTGAAGGAAACAATAAGGAATACATGGCTTTCAGCTGGCCTCGAAGCCGAAAATATGGCATTTCTGTATCCAGAATTTTCTCTCGAAGCCAGAACACCAATTCGTTAAACCCGGTTTTTATCTCTGCCTTTGCAAGAAATACCGAATGCTATAGACTAATTTGTGGTCCTCATGTCAGTACTTCTTAATAGCGACGTTCGATTGTACCTCATACACCGAAAGTTTCGCATATGTTTTGCTTTTTTTAAATATGTACATAGATTACAGCAGTTGCATACTTGATACTCAATTTATAGTCCGTATTGCTCTTTGTTTTTCTCTCTGTGTTTTGTTATTCTAGGTGCCAGTTATTAGAAATATGAGATGACACTAACTACACATGAAAATTCGTGCTCCTAATTAAAACCACATCCATGTGCAGCTACTTTGAGGCACACAGACTCACAAAGTGTCACAAAGAGCATCCGGAGCTTAATCCGAAGGTTGCAGGTTCGATACCTGAAGGCGGCACGTTTTGTCCTTTTACCACCTTCACGTCTATACCACTTTTTCAGCGATGTCATTAGAAAAGTACAATAAACGTCTCTTGCAGTTTGAATTCCTTGACTTCATTCATTATATCCTGGTTTTCATTAACACGTGTCAAAAAAGAAAACAAGTTCCTCGTAAATGCCTTCCTTCACGACTCGTCGGCGTCACTCACAGCGGTATGTTCGTTCATTTATTTTCTCGAACAGGTGTCCTTTGTTAGCCATTTCTTCTGAATAATACGTTTCAGGATCATCTGAATCGCAGAACTGGAATGTGCTTCTTTTCTTCTCGCACAGAAAAACCAGAAATCCGAAGTATCGTTTCAAGTGAGAGAATACGGTAAGACTGCTTCATCGAAATATTGTTTTTTTAACACACGAATCACCTTTGCGTTGCTGTTTTAATGCGACGCAATGTGTTTCAAGCAAGCTATCTTAGATCACACGTAGTATATGGCATTGCGTGGCCTCATTGCGAAGCTGAGCTCCCACAGGCGTTGTAAGGATAGAGAATAGATTGAGGTCTATTTGGTAGTGTTATTTATTTATTTATTTATTTATTTATTTATTTATTTATTTATTTATTTATTTATTTGAATGTTGCTACTTTCATTTCAGCGCATAGTAGGAGGGAAATACCAAAAGTCAGTAAAATATGGGAAAAGTTTCTAATATCGTCGAAGATGCAATTGAATGAAGGAAAAGTGATGTAATAGTAATAAACTACAACAGCAAACGGCTATAGTATTGCATATATGCTGCTATAAATGACCGTAAAACATGACCTTCGAAGAACTCTGTAAGTGCGCCAAATTTCCGCATCGCTTCAAGGCATTATATATGTTTAATATTAACAAGAATAATGTCAAGATACCTTTATGCGTTTTGTGGGAAATAGTATTCGTTAAGTTGAAATTAAGTATCCCTACTGTAGCAAATCGTGTATTGTTCTTCATAAGCAAATCAATTATCCCGCTTGAAAGAGGGGGGGGGGGGATTTCGCTTTCGCTCACGTTCGTTTCGCGCAAATAAAGAAAATCATATCAGGGACTGCTCGGCACCAACATGAAAGTGTACAAAACGTCTCAAAAGATGACCACGTGAGGACTCTATGCTTAGCGCGGCAATATTAAAGAAAATACTGTTGGGGAACACTCGTCGACAAGTAAAGCACACGTATTTACACGTAATACGAATTGCTTAGATGCGTCCCTTACAGGCTTTAACTGCTCTTCTCTCTCTATTCTCGTCACTACGATGAACGCAGTTCTGCCAACGTATTCGGTTAGCATTTCGACGACCAAAGTGATACTGCCAAGAGGGTCCGAGATTCTTGTCAAGGCAAGGTGAGTAATCGGCCGACGCTGCCTCGTGAAAATGCGGTCGTTCTAAACCGAAAAAAATGACGATTCTCACTAGCAGTATAGAAATATGTTGGTATTTTCTTTTTGCCTCGAGACGCAACGTAAAAACCATTCATTGGTTCTCGAGATATTACAGAGGAAATGAATCTGTGTTAATAAAGAAATTAGGATAAATCTCAGTACAATACCAAGAAATGACTTTTTGAAATCGGAAATCGATTATCCTCCATGGCTGTTCACACCGCCAAAGACTGAAGTGTCAGTGGATGGCATAATGAGAAAAAAAAATGACATGTTCAGAAAGCCCCCCAACAATTAGCCCTTTACCGAATATATGTGCGATATCCGGGTTACATGCGTGTATAAACAGGGGTGCTTCAGTATACCAACATCATCAACTTCACAATTGATTGTACCACACTTAATTGTACAAGATTCATTTAGGTTACCTTGTGTGACGTCTTCTACAACAGCAGAATCGTGGTAGTTGCTAATTAAACAGTTCAGCAAGCAATGCTTCTCAATTCGCTAATATGGGTGGATTCAGAAAAAAATTGAACCACCTCCTCGAAAGGAACCCTGATGGTATGCGAAGCAGCAACAATGCGCACGGCGTTGACCCGCTTGAAACGGGCGTTTATGCGGGTGCTGGAGGCGCGTTTTGAAGCAAAACTCGTTGTAGCGTTTACTCGAGTAAACGTTTGTTTGAAATGCAAGGACACGTGGTGGATTGGGTTTTGTGTCGGTTTCATTGAAGCGCTTGGCAAGACTTCGTCGTTGTCGTTTCTTCAGAGTAGGACACAGGCGCTGGACCGGAGCTGGCGCGCGTTTCATTTTGCCTACCAGGGCCTTGTGATCGGGGAAGAGCACACTCAGAAGTTCCTGCAGACATTCGACGTCAAAGTTGACAAACACGACATCGATGCACGTTCCCCTTATCGTGGTGGGTAGTATAGCGGCGGTAGCGGCAGTTGTTATGGGCGAACGGACGAGGCAGTAGCTAAGGGCGCAGCTCCGAGCGCGTGACGGGCGACGTAGAGAGTGACGTCAACGCGCAACTGCGGCGTGTCCTACTTGGCACCCCTCCAACACCTGCGGCGAGGAGAACGCATCGCAGCACGTTCGTACGTGCGCACGTACGTACGGCGTTACACACGTGAGTCCAAAAGCTGCTTCGCATTTAATATTCTGACGTGCTATGTAGCTGGGCCGACTCGACACACGTGGCCTATTTGTTTGTTTTGGGAATACAATGCTCAAGTTAACTGAAACACCCTGTAGACGCGCTCGGCAGTACTACCACGGGTATTTGACTTCACTGTCATCCATTTAAAGACACACTGAAGGGAATCAGTGAATTTGTTCAGATTGATAAACTGCATTCCTAAAACTGTATTGCCATGAGTTTCACTGTCATAAATTCATTAATAGCGAAGAAAATTAAGGTTGAAGTTTCATTTTTTTTTAATTTCACGACTAAATCTCCTCGCGGGACGTAACAAATTTCAAAATGCATTTTTCGTATTTTCGCAGCATTTGCTCGACAAAATTTTCTAAAACTTCTTAGGCTAGGCCTCTGGCACCCACAGATGTTTATGTACTTCAGTTTTATCGATTAGATGCTACGTACAACCCAGTGGACTACTTCAAATTTCATAACGTCATGGTGTTTGGTGCGGGAATCTCAAAATGGCGTCTACACTGTCATTTTCTTCGCGCGCGTTTTCCCACTTACGAAGCTTCATGTCACGGCAAGAATGATGTTTTCGGGGTTGTGAAATCGTACTTTCCTGATACGCGAAAACTCATTTCGCTCTGTAGTGTCCCTTTATTGTCTTCATGAAGTCGCATCGTCGCACTCACAGACGAGATAACGTGGCTTTCGACGATATCGCTCATGACTGGCGAAATTCACCGAGCGTTTTTCCAACGTTTTCAGCTACGTTTACGGGAAGCCAGTGAAAGGCAACGCAGTCGTCACGTTTGCTGTGCGTAACGAAGTCAACGGCGACGTCAAGTTTGGCACGAGACTTGTTGGAAAGGTAGGTGATTGCTCTTTTGCGTAGTGGTAATATTTTAATCGGATCTCGTTAGGTACTGATCTTTTGTATCATAGTAACATTTAAACATTTTCTTGGCTTTGACTTGCGCAATATTTCGATCGATTCTATCCGTATACCGAAACGGCACAAATGCCATTTTATAGTACCATACATATTCTCGCAGAAATACAGAATATTACAGAGAGAATATAAGGTTCTTGCAGAAATACATAGTAACTATGTGGAAAGAAAATTACGGGGTCCCTCGTGTATTCAGCTCGGACTACGAGAAGACGAATGCCATTTTCTTAACCCCAGTACGGATCCCTTAAGGGATCAGGGATGTCGTATGCCGTCATCGTCCACATGCTGTCATCGTCGTACCATGTCGCTTCACGACACGCAGGCGGAACCATGTGCAACTATAGCATCTATAGCATAGCCATGTATAGCTAATGGGCTGGGAAACATCATGAGAATGAGGAGTAAGAAATGGAGGAGAGATGGTATAGCATAGCATAGTCATGTATGGTGTTTCGCAGGCAAAGCTGTGTGCAGCCTAACCATGTATAGTAAGGGTGCGGAAAAGGGAAATGAGAGTGGAGAGGATGCAAAGGGGAGGGGAGAGGATAAAGCATAGCATAGACATGTATGGCGTTGGGCAAGGCAAAATTATGTGTAGCACAGCCATGTATAGCATAGCATGCATTATATAGCATGTCGCCATATATGTATAGTATAGAATGTATAGCATAGTCATGTACGGTAAGGTATTGCAAGGGCACTGAAAAAGAACGTCAGGTTGAGGAGGAGGTTAAAGAGGAAGAAACAGCTTAGAGTACGGTATATTCAAGTACGGTGTCACACTGGCCGAATGCGGATAATGACCATTGGCGTCCCGCTTCGTCCACGTCGCACGAGTGACGCAGAAAACCGCCATGCCTGAGCGGATTGCGCAGCACAGCCATTGCGGTACCTCGAAGGACCGCCATCCAGAGCCTTTTTTATGTACTATTTGGGTACATACTTTCCTGGTACCCATAATCCTGGTACCCATAAACAAGCGTATTTTCCTGGTACCCATAATCATCATCATCATCAGCCCGACTACACCCACTGCCGGGCAAAGGCCTCTCTCATGATTTGCCGATAGGCGGTCAGGCCCTTTTCAACATTGCTAATAAAGTGCAACAGACCATCTACTTAGAGATAGCGCAGTAGCCAAGCATGCCATGACAAAATTCGGATCGAGATGTCGCACCATTCCCAATTGTATATCTATTTAAATTGCGTGAGAAAAGAATAATCAAAAAAGAAGCAAAAAAAGGAGGTCTGGGGTGCGGCCTCACTGATGACCATCTGCTGGTAATGCACTCTCTCACCAAAGCAGGATTGGCCACCCTGGTGCAGTACCTGGCCACAACCTCCCATGAACACAGCGATTCCTGGTACCCACTGCGCCATAAATCATCGTTATTTTTGTGTAGTATGCAGGCATTTTTCTGTACCAGCCTTTGTCAATTTTCGGAGAAGCGTAGTACCTTCTACACACCTTAAAGAATGTTTTTTGCAATTTTTTTGATGCTGTGGTTGACGACGATGAAGAATTAAGCCTGTAGCGCTATTTGAAAGGGGGTTTTACCATTCGACGATTCAACTCGTTGCGCAATTCGCATTCTGTGACGCCTGACTGTTACTTAGGTGTTCTAAAGCACTTAATCATACACATTGATGTGATTCCGTTCCCGATATCAAGCCTACCTATGGTCAGTTTGCAACGAAGTTCCAAGCACCGGCGTAGCTCATTGGTGGAATACTGGACTGTCACCCAGGGGATCCGGTTTCAAAAAGCATTGTGTCCTTGGTGTTTTTTGTTTAATTAATTTTGCGCAATACTGGTTACGGACACCGGCAACGGTGAACAACTATGGTGCACGTGACGCTTCTTGTGATCTCATAACAGCTGTCGCTGTAAAAAAAAAAGCATAACATTAATCACGTCACCATGGACGTCACCTCTAGGTCATAGATCACCAGAACTTGACACTAGCGTGACGTTACAAAACGTGGCGTCGTCATGACGTCATTACGTGACATTGTCGCTTGGTCGAAGGTATAAAGTTTTCCGAAATTGAATAGAGGCGACTCTGGCGCTACGATTGTTCAGCGACCATAAGAATGATCGGTAGTACACTGATTTACCTAGGCTTCGTGCTTGCAAGCCTCAAATCGCACTTGTGTTTCGTTTATTGCGGTGTTTTGGTTTCGAATGAATGAACAAACCCTTTTGAACTTCGTGACCCGATTTCAAATGGTTAGCCTAGAAGATATAATAGAAATGTGTGACTTAATGTCCCAGAACCACCATATGATAATAAGAGGCGCCGTAGTGGAGGGCTCCGGAAATTTCGACCACCTGATGTTCAAGCCTGGAAGATTATGGTGGTGAAACGCAACTGCTGAACACTTGCTGATTTTTTTTTTTTGTTTCGTGACAAAATAGCCTAAAGCCACGCGAACCCAAATGAAGCCATAAATACGAAGATTCGGCAAATCCTTGTGCTACCCATTATTCCAGTGCCCGGTGAAGCACCGTGTGTTGCAGCCCCTATAGACACTAGCGCGAGAGGTCCCTCTAGAGTACTTATAGCATACTATACGGTCGAAGGTTGATCGATCCCGAAGGCCGGGCATTACCAAGGTAGGTTCACTAAGAGTGCGATGCCTCCATTCCCGGAGGTCATGTGAGACCACGTTATGGGCAGAAAGCTTTCGGAAAAGGGCAAAGGAAGATAAGCACAATCGATCGAGATGAAAAAGAAAATAGTTCTTATCTTCGAGTCGTCTTTGGTGACTTCATAAGGAAGGGACCATGTGAGTTGTCATGAACTTCAACTTCATTGTATTTTGCCTCCTCTTCTTTAGTCTCCAAGCTGTATCATGAGTGTCTCACAGAAAAAGACACGTGACTCCCTCAGTTTCAGCTTCATCCTGAACTAATATCATTTCAGTTGAGTGAAGGGACAGCACGTTTCACGGTTCCCTCTGACGAACTCAAAAACGGCAGCGACTGGAAGGACTGGGTCCACGGCAACAGACTTTTCGTGCGAGCCGTGGTCGTCGAGGAAGCGACGGGAAAGCAGGAGGCCGCGCAGGATGACTCGGCAGTCTTCAGCAACTCGGCCTACAACGTCAGTCTGGAGAACACTCGACGAGACTTCAAGCCCGGCACGATAGTCGCGGTCACGGTAAGTGCTTGGAGCAGCGTTCCGAATCTTGCACGCAATTCTATCAGTAAAACGAAACAAAAAAAAAAACCAGTTGGAAGCTATAGTGCTCACGCTGTCGTATTGTCCTGCCTTCTAGCCCAGAGCGACCGCCTGTAGACTCCGTGTACTCCCCCGAGTGTGCTCGTAATTGTGTGTATATTTCTTCTCTCTCTCCAACCTCTTTTATCCCCTTCATCCCTTCCCCAAAGCAGGGTAGCAAACCGGACGTGCGTCTGGTTAACCTCCCCGTCTTTCCCTGCATCTTTCTCTCTCTCTCTCTCTCTCTACCTCTGGTAGCATATACAGTGACGCTAGTCTAGCCCTAACTTCGTTTGCAAGTTGCTCTTAGTTACGCTAAACACTCAGAATGACATGATGTACCAACTCGTTTAGAAGTGACACTCTTTGTGCTTAAGGCAAATTGAGCTGACGTTTACTTGGCCCAGGCCCGTACCAAAAGAGATACCCTGCTACCCCACCCCCTCTCCGCTCCTCTGGATTTTGGATGGATGGGATTGGTTTTCCCGAGGACAAATATAAAAAATAGGGGTTTTTCAAGACCTTTAGGTAACGTTTTTTTTAAGTCATGGAATAAACAGAAGCTGTTGTCATCCCTTGGTGACGGATGCCTCTCGGCTGTTACGAGAAAAATAAAATTCCCGAAAGGATGTATGTACGTATACACAGTTCATATATAGAACACTATTCATGTATACATATACGCGGTACTTTATACACTCCTGCGTTTCTATTATGCATTATTTAGTTGAAGAGTTTTCACCTCAACACAGCGCAAATACAAGCATGGTGCACACTTTCGTCGTTGTTGGCTCAATACTTATCCTAAATATCAGTTTTCGAAAAGCAACACTACCGTTGCTTTGTGACTTAGGGGTGATCAGAATTCATGCTGCTGTGAAACTTGGCCTTCCCTGATGGAGAACCCCGCGCAGGCTTAAGGTCTCAGCAAACCTAAATATTTCATAAAACTCACAAATAAACACCATTACCAAGAGGGCAAGTGATCGCCATATGAGGAAAATCACATGGCTAAACTTAATTTTTAACAACCCCATGGTTGTTGGGCTAGATAGAGAGAGGGAGAGAGAGAACAGGAGATGCAGGGAGGCTGACAGAATTTGGTACCTTATATGCTGAGAGGCCAAACAGGAAGTAAAATAGAGAAAATTGGGCGGTTACGTATTCAACCTACCAATAGATGTAAGTACGGGCTTATGGTTCGGAAGTGCCTTACGATAAGGTAATGACGTCAAGAGCAGCATTGTGGATGTTTTTTCTTCATGCGCATCCAGGCAGACATTCGTCATGCGAACGGTGAACCAGCCAATCGCGTTGAAGCAGAGATGACAGTGACCAATGAAAATGGCACGGAGTTGAGAGCGTACAGCAAGAAGAGAACGACCATCGAGGAGGGAAAGGTGTTCTTCGACTTCACAAGTTACAAAGATCAACAACGCCTCAACATCAAGGTGAGTTATCTCTCGATCTTTATCTTATCGTCAAAGTATAGTCATAGATTCAATGACAAAAGAGTTTTCCCAAGCACTAAGAGCGAGTGTGGAACACTTGTTTTGCCTGTTGGCGTCACGTAGCACGTGATACGTGACGCCAACACGCGAAAAGGGTGCTCCGCTCTTAGCGCAATGGCAAGAGGTGGCGCTGACTGACGCTCTCATGGTAAGTGCACAGCCAAAATGGGGTTTCGCAATTGAAATCAGCACCTAATACATTTTAACGCTGAGATTATGTCACACGATGATGGCTGTGTAACGACTCGTGTTATTTATTTAAAATGAAATACCACGTGGCTTTTAAGAAATTGAAAGCCATCCAAAAGCAATTGAGAGCAAGTCTTGGCATAAACGTGATATTCAAATTAATTAAAGCTCCTTGTGAGGTATTTATGAATTGGTAATTAGCTATACATTATTAGTGATAGTTATGATAGCATAATCAAAGATAATTAAGTGAGCAGTTGTATAATAATTTTTAAAAGCTTCGTCAGCATAATCGCAATCAGTGAATAACATATTTTTCAAATTTTGTGTTTTACGAGTAGACCATCTTTATAAGTATCAACTTATGCGTTGTTTCGAACGTGATATGACTTAAAGGTACAACTCGACCAAGAATGATTGCAATATTTGTAGAGAACCCATCTTTTCGCCTGACTCGACACTTAACACTGGGAAGCTTGGCGCCCACGCACTCATCATGGCCTAATCACTCCATTGTCATCTCTTACTACTTTCTTTCCCATTCCCCTCCCTCAGTGTATAGCAGCAGGGTACAGCCTCATTATCGCTTTGGCCAACCTCTCTGCCTTTTTGTAAATAAACCTGCTACTCTCGTCACTTGTATAATAATTTGTTAAAATGATTTCATTCATTCATTTAATTTTCACAGGTTCGTACAACAAAGGAAGAAGAATACCAACGTGCCGAAGCCTCCATGACGCTGTACAAATACACGTCACCGGTGAACGCCTTCATTTCCATACGTTATAGTCCACATAACAAAGATGAATTCAAGGTGAGTGTGGGAGGTTAGCTCCACCGTTTGATAAACAGCAAAGCGCGATTTCGACTAAGCTTCCCATTCGGTAGACTGAACGTGGTTCTACTGAGTGACAGACGCATACCACGCAGTAATGTATAACTCTGCCATGCAGCAACGCCCCCTTACGAGGACGCGAGTTGATTTGTTTGACAGTTATTCGCACCAGTAGCACGGGAAGAACAACATACGTAAATCACCGGATGAACTGAATCTTCCGCATATTCACTGCGTTCTTCCTGAATGGGCCATGCCTGAAGTAATTGAATGACCTTTTAATAAGGTTTTCTATCTCTTTCTTTCTCTCTCTTCTCAACCTAAGTGTGCCGCGTCTGGCTGCAGATAACTCAGCTGAACGCACTGCGATATCCGAAGGCTCGGTCGACATGCCACGTGACATGCCACGTTCCAAGAACAGCGTTCAGTGTAATATTTTTCTTTGCTCTAAATAAATACAGCCCAAAACAAATTGAACAAGAATTCGAGCCCAGAATTCTGTTCTATTTACGTAAAACTGGATAATGACTGACTGCAGATTAAATAAATACTTGTTTAGACGTAAATTATGCTTGCATACTGAAGTTTTCACAACACAACATATTGCTTAGTTTTAGTTCTTGGAATGCAATATCAAGTAGCTTAAAATTTTGTTGTGCGTATTTTATGCACTTGCAGAAGGCCGATCTTAATTTGTGTTTCGAGGAGATAACAAAAAAAAAATTACCCGGATTTGATATTCTGTCAAGTACCTTTTATACAAAGTTTTTTTTAATTTTTGTTTTATAGTTGTAAATATGACTGACTGACTCGGCTGATTAATCTTTTCGGTTTTATTTTACGTAAAGCAATGACAGCTTTAAGCAAACACGTCCCATAATGGTTGACTTCATAACATTCGGTACAGTCTGCCCCGAGTACAACTATTTTGCGTTCCAGTGCGTGAAAGAGAAAGCACTAAGGCGATGCTGTATAGACCGTGTGGCCTCTGCTTTATTTTATTTTTTATTTACAGATACTTCAATCCTCATAGGGGATTTCAGCAGGGTGGAAATACATCATCATGGCAAAAAAAAATTGGCGGCAAAACAACAAAGGGTAGCAAACATTGCTTCCGAAAAAAATACAGTACAGTTAAATCCCTTATTTTGTGCATCTAATTGATTCGTGGTTATGATCATTAGGCTCATAGATGAACATAGCAGTACTGCATCACCTTTGTAGTATCAAGGTGACCATTCGAATAGGTAGCTAAAGTATAGGCCTGTTTACCATATTTGGCTTGTGATAAACCTTATCTCCATGTCATTATGTTATTCATTTCAGGAAGGAAACAATTTCGAAAGGTATATAACTACGTATCCAGACGATATCTCAACTGTGTTTTACCAGGTAAGGCTTCGGTTGAAAGATAATAGCTTCAGGAAGCTGTTTAGAAGAGAACAAACGCTTTTTGTTATAATACCAGGTATTTCTAAGTAACAAAAATTTTTACTAGCGTGTGATTGAAGCGGAGCGTGCGCAGTAGCATGTCAAAATCAAGGCCAGCAAAAGCATTTGACCCAGAACCTTATTTGTCCAACATTTAAAATTCGTAAAGTGTTTTTTTTTAATAACTGAGTTCAAGGAGAAGCTTGTGTCAAGGTATGGCTCCAGATACTTCTATTTTGTTATATAGTTGTTTTCATGGCCAAGTTGTCAATTATCATAAAACAGTACCAGGTTTACACATCAATGTGCATTCATTCTCGTAATCCAAGTACTACTACAACATGATTGTCCACGCAACAACAATCTTCACACGTTGCAAATTTTCACATTGACGAAACTTCTAGGCTTTTTCTCTGGCCCAGCACTTACTAGTTTTTTTTAGAAACAGTCAAAACATTAGAAAAAAGAATGTTTCTTACTGATAATGTAAATACGCCACAATTGGTGCTTCTTCGTAATTACAAAAAATTATTACTGGGGATTGTCCTCTCCCGGCTGATTACAGATTAGTTCTGCGAAAACCTGCAAGGTGGCGGAAGGGCTAAAAAGTGGAAAGGAGACAGCCTACCGTTTGTAGCACGAAGCCAAAAAGAAAATCAGCACGGATCCTCAGAAACAAAAGCCCCTTTGTTGGTATGCATTCGTGCACCATGATATAAACTAGATGTTTTTATATTGATGGTCGGGTCATTGTCGAAATCGGAAGACCCCCGATCACAAAAAGGACAGCGGGAGCCTTCTGATGAAGCCACCCGAAGGCAGAAAAGCCAACAGAGAGGACTGCAACAGTGATACACAACAACAAAACAGACGTATCGTAAAGTCGGGCAGTGTACCTTTTGGAAAAGCTCAGGAGCACTTTAAGCGTTCCTTAGTGTGCGTTTTCTTTCTTTCTTTCTTTCTTTCTTTCTTTCTTTCTTTCTTTCTTCCTTTCTTTCTTTCTTTCTTTCTTTCTTTCTTTCTTCCTTTCTTTCTCTCTGTCTTTCTTTCTTTGTCATGGGGTTATACTTCCTTTCAACCATTCCCTTCCTCCATGGAGATTCGGACCTTAATTCACGGGATTAGGAACACAGCACTTCGGTTACTACAGGAAACAACGACGGTTATGCGTTCATATTCAGGTAACAGTGTAATGTGGCAACTCTAAGTGACCTCGAAAGAGTATTGCATCACGATATCTCGAAAATATTATTACCGAAGAAACCAAGGCATGATGGTACAAGGTGCACACAAATATGAATGTCACCGGGGCACATTACAGAGAACAGCATTTCGGTATACCTCCATCGAAATCGGTGACCTACGGCAAGCTGCACTAGAAAAGTGGAATTGCTTTGCCTGGTAGTAGCTTTATCAAAGTGTATTGCATTATCCTCGTTTGTCAGACGATTAGGCTTACATTATATTTTTTTTTTCATTTGAAATTCGGCCATGTTATCACTGGTAAGAAAAATTTACAAAGATAATTCAAGTTTACATATGCTGGCACTAGTAACGAGCAAGTCTACCTTGTCTCGTCTTCGGATGCGCAGGTCATGGCACGGGGCAAGATCGTGTTGCATAAGAGGACGAGTCGAACAGAGAGCAGTAATTATGAAGTGCGATTTACGCTGACCGAGGAGATGGCCCCCAAGTTCCGGTTGCTGGTCTTCGGATTCCACCAGGGCCACGTGGTAGCCGACTCGGAAGACTTCGATATGGGTGAAGACTGCTCCTCCTCTTCTGAGGCGAGTACGCGTCTGTACGCGCTATCGCGTGGATAATTCAACACCCTTCCAAGGTGTACATATGCATGCGTATCCAACCTTATAGAAGAGCTTGTGTGCAGGCTTTTTGGAACAACATGAATGAAATGTGCAGCGCTGCAGACTTCGCAAAGAGGGCAGACTAGTACGACACAGACAAGAAAGATCAGACGTCTGCGTCTTCCTTGTCTGCCGTGTTTGTGCACTTTGCAGTGCTGACGGATTCATCTAAGCATAGGCGTGTCCAGGGTTCCCAATAAGGTGGCGAAGAAAGGTGAATCATAGTGAGCCCCCTTCCCCCCTGTTCCTCCACCTTCACCAGTAGGTCAAGACCAAAAGGCGAACTTGCTTCTAATTCCCAAAAGCAGGAAAAGCAAGCTTTGGCGGGCTTCTCACATGTGCCTGCTTTTGATTCTTGGCTTTCTTGTTGTAAAAATGGCATATGAACAGTTCTTGGAATGCAACACTAGCAATCGTTAACAACCATTTCTGCAAAAAAAAAAAGAACACAGCGTATCTACGGAGCGAATGATGATGAGTGGGGCGTAGCTTCAGAAGGTTTCATCCGTAAACCGTGAATCTTCCGTCCGTACGTCCCTCCATCTCCTATAACACTAAAGCGCTCGTCTCCTACGCATCGAAGTGGAGTGAGTGCCGCAGCGCCATCTAGTGAGCACTCCGAGTATTAGGGGTGACTAAGACGGACGATGAGGGACTAGCCTACACCCTAAGGAGCTTCGTCCCTTAAAACTCCGCGGTCATAATCCGACAAGAACAAGTCAGGCTTAGTAAAAGTATAGGACGAATTTCACGCCTCCCCCTTCGGTTATTAGGACACGGGTAGGTCACCCCTTGTTTCTTTCCTGTCTCTCGCATGCGGACGTCGATGTACCCAAAGTTTTTATATAGTGCCTCGTTTTGGTGTCAAAGCAATGATCAGTTCTAAAGAGTTCTCTTTGCGAATGTCTTAAACCGTGCAGATAAAAGTGGTGACCGCCAGCGACATCAGGGAGCCTGGAGTTGTAGAATCGTTTGGTGTAGAAGGAAAACCGAACACGAGAGTTGGTCTACTGGCCATCGATAAAGCCGCCTACCTTCTCGGTGAAGCCAGCCTGCTCACCAGAAAGAAGGCAAGTCTATAAAGGCAATCTACCCTATATCACGCAGACAAAGAGACACATTTGGGTGGAAACAAAATGCTATAGAGACCCGTGTGCTTAAAGTCAGCTGCAAGAACCCCGGGTGGTCAAAATTTTTGAGCTCCTCTTGAGTGTCTCTCGACCCTAACCAAATCACGATAATACAACGTGAAACCCCCCAAAAATAATTTATAATTTTAACGTCAAATTATTTTCTGTACGGACTTCGGGGCTCTAGCTTTCGTTCGCAAATCTCCTTTATCACTTGCCGGCCAGCTTGTCTGATCATATGTCAGGCGTCATGATTCACTAAAATTGTCTCTCACGAACGACTGCAGCGTAAGATAATTTTTGCGAATAACACTTTCTTCTTTTTCAGCCATTCCAAGAGAACTTTTCGACATCGAGTGTTGTGTGCCCGCTAAATTGTGTTCCTCAGTGGCCGAGTGCACTCCTGTGTATGTGCAGTGTCCCTCTGCCTCTTCTCTTAACTGCGAAGCGCTGTAAAGGGACCATGCAGTCGTATGCTGCCGTATGCTGTTATGCTGTCTCTTTCAGTATGCTGTCTCTTTCCGCAACACTTCAGTGAAACTTTTTGTAGGGCTGATTGGTGGTAAAAAAAAAAGTTAAGACGACGCGATCCACCAGGGAAGAATAGCCGAAAGGGAAGAGCGTCATGGCGTCCATGTGCAGCACATTGAGCGCCCGCTCGCGCCGAGAGGTCTACCTCTTGTTCTTCGAGCGCCTTGATGATGATCACCTATTAGAAACAACAAAGAACAAAAACTTAGCGAGATGGGTATAAAGCAGGCAAAAAACGACGTTTATAAATGAAAAAAGAAAATAGAAAGCAAGTGCGAAGAAAAAAGATAAAATGGATAAATAGGAATAAAAAGAAAAAGAGAGAGAGAAATAAATAAACAGAAACAAATAAAGAAGGAAAGATAGAAAGAACTGAAAAGGGTAACAAGAAAAAGGGGGAGGAAAGGAAAAGGAAACAGAATTGAAACGAGGAAGGCTGCCCAGATATTCACCTTTTGCAGGTTTCTCGCCACTATAATGCGAAGCTGCCTTAATCTGTTTTTTCCTTTCTCACACTCTTTTCCTTACCCTGAGAGTAGGAGTAGGAACCGGACGTTCACATGGTTAACATTCTTGCCTTTCTTCTCGCTGCTTTCCCTCTCTGTGTTAAAGTAACAATAAAGAGCAAAACGCCTTTTTTGTGTATTAGTGAAGTGCCATTTCACGATCTTGAAAACACCACTTTTACCGCATTATAACACATGGTAAGCGAAAAAAACCCGTCGAAAACAAGTTCTGCGTGGTGACGCCACCTTGAGATTCCCGCAACAACTGTGACGTCATCAGTTTTGAAGGCGTCTACTGGGTCCTACGGAGCTTCTAGTCGATAAAACTGAAGTACATTGTGATATGTGGGTGCCAGAGACTTAGTATACGAAGTCTTAAAGAATTTCATCGAGACAATGTCGCGAAGATATGAAAAATACATTGTGGAAGTTCTTACGTCACACGCGGAAATTGCGGCATAAAATTTTGAAATTAAACATGTAGTGTACACGTATCTAGAAGGATTATGGCCACTAGTGGGGGTCCAGTATTAGCGAGCCGCCGGGCACATGTTAACCGTCGCCGTGGCGAGAACATGGTACTGCTCAAGGTCGTAATACTGTATTGTCTGCGGCGACACCAAAACGCAATACAGCTCGTTTCAAAAGGCGCGGTGGGAAAGCAAATGGGCCTACCCACGCCATGGGCGAGAAGTACTATGCAGGAGTGCCACGACCATGTCTCCGTGGTATAAGTGATTCACGGTGACACCGGGACATAGGGCCCGGTTACTCGAGTGAGGGCAAAGGCACTCGCGTTGGCTTCGGAGAGATACGGGTTGGCGTAGCCTGGCCAAGCACTATAGGACACCGCACCGCTCTTCGGCCTAGAGTTCGGAAAGGGTGACAAAATGTAAGCGTTCGCCACGGGCGCAAGGCGCCATTAGCAAAATCCGAACGAGTCCAAACAAATGGAGCCGACGGGCGGAAAAGAAGTGCGTCCTTACCCCATGTCGTCTCCGGAGAGGTTCCCTCGCCGTCCCGACGCGCGCGCGTGAAACGTCTCGACTCCTGAGCAACTCCGCGCACGGCGCCACAGTCAACGTCCGCTACAGGTTGAGAGGGGTTAAACGTCACTCCTCGCTCCCCCAGCTCGAAAGACCGTGGAGGAGAGGATAGTTGAGAGGGGTTAAACGTCACTCCTCGCTCCCCCAGCGCGGAAGACCGCGGAGGAGAGGATAGTCATGTCGGGACATGAGAACGCAGAAAGAGGCGGCAAAGCCCGCGCAAAGGCGGCGGGCTAGCCTTGATTCCCACAAATTTCAACTTTGTTTTTCTCCGCCAATAATGAACTTATGATAGTGAAATTTATGACGCTAGAGTTCTCGGAGTGCAGCTTATGAATAAAAAACAACTCATTGTTTCTCTTTAGTGTTCCTTTAACAATGTTTCCTTATGCACCCCTGCTTGACAGCTATTTGGAGCGCTTCGGTCGCACGACCTCAGTTGCGGGCCAGGCGGAGGTATCACGGCGGACGAGGTTTTCGCCAACGCTGGCGTCGTTGTCATCTCGGCCGAGAATTCTGTCGACAGCATCACATCAGGTGAGAAAAAAGGGTATGGTTCAGTTCGTCAAAGCATTGCTCAGTGCTCGAGTCAGCGACAACCACTCGTTGGAGTATGTAATTCTCTTTAGGCTACGGTAAAAAATAAATCTGCCTTGACTCTTCTTTTTATGTATGAATCTTAACTTGCCACTTGTATGACTCTCTTCAAAGAATACGCGAACTCTCTTACGAGATCATTGTACTATTGTGGGAGAGTCGTGGAATCTGAAAGAGTGTTAATGGGTATCTATATAGAGGGTGCTATGCGTGCCAGTCAGGACTCACTGAATATAGATCAACATACTCTCTCAAAGCCTCCTCTATAGAAAGATGCCTTCCGCGTTTGCCAGATAGTCGCTGCCATTTCTTTTTCCCTTTTTGTCATTTTTGCTGGAAGTCAAAGTCAGCGATTCTTGAGGTGACCGCTGGCGACACATGCGCGCATGCGCACACCACCACCCCGGCACTACACTACCACGACCTTGCTGGTGGAGATAGGCGGTCATCTCTGCCCTCAGTCCATTTTTGTCATAATTTCTGGAAGTCAAAGCCAGAGATTCTTGCGGTCACTGCTGGCGACACATGCGCGCATGCGCACACCACCACCCCGGCACTACACTACCATGGCTTTGTTGGTGGAGATAGGGGGTCATCTCTGCCGTCTGATATGCCTTCAGGATCTCTATGTAATCCTCGTACATAAATTGTATCACTCGTATTCTATGGCTGGTGCTACAAATATGAAATTACGATGAGCTGGTAGATTAAGTAGTCGCAACGTACTGTCAAATGCATTGCGAAGTTCGAGTTCAAGGTAAATAATTGTTCCAGCGTATTATGACTTGTTTAGGCTTTTGATTTGGGTGAATTGGTACAGGCTTATCTGTTTTTTCCCAGCGAATAATGTTTAAGCCCTTTGTTAGCTTAAGATGTCGTCAATAACCGCACAGATTAAACTGTTGTACCTCGTCTTCGCATCTTGCAGACAACAGCTGTGCTGCCAAGGCTCATCGCCGCAAGAGGGATGTCCGTGACGCAAGTAAGAATATGGCGTGCAGCAAATGTTTAGAAGTAGAAAGAGAAGAGGTTGAGGAGAGGAAGACACGCTATTTAATTTTGCAGCCATAGTTGAGAGCATGGCTCACTGACAGACAAGTGTTTAACTTAAATCAAATTACGGCAAAACTAATCACCCACGACATGATTACGTGACATGCCGCTGTGAGAGAATCCGGATTACTTTTGACCAGCCGAGGTTATTTTACGCATTTTACGCGTAGAAGTGTGACATATTTTCCTGCTAACCTGACCCAGCTGGTTTACTTGAAAGCTTCCACCTGAGTGAATCTCAAAAGCTTTTAAGGCACCGTCAATCCCGTCGCCTATCCCGTCCGCGAGGCTTGTGCGAGGCTTTACGATACCTTGATGTATCGCGACGGTCTCGTAAGCTACTGCGAAGGCTCGCCTTCAATACACGTGACCCTGTACAAGCGCTCACGTCACGGATCGACAGATGTTATGAAGTCACGGGGACGACCTCGTGAGGATACCATCACGTGGCATCGTTCCTTGCCCAAAGGTGGGCTGGTCATGGAAGGACTGCAAAGCATGCCGGAAATCTTGGAAATGCCTCCGTTCTTTGAAGCTGTACAAAATCATGCTCGATGTTGACCTGCTTTCCGGATGGTTGGGGAAGGATCAATATATTGTACCGAGAATAAAAGGACAGCGCTATGGTTAGAGTCACCTTAGGCTTAGGAATGTCACGTGTTTTCTAATTGGTACATGAGTATGTTTCACAATTCTTAATACCATCAGTTGAGAGTCAGCTCAATGTTCTTTTTTTACTTGTCCACGCCTATAGTTGCATACGACTCAAGAAGTCACGGCAGGCCCTGTCCAGACGACCAAAGCGCGGCAGCTGATCAGCTCAGCGACTAAAGAAATAGTCCCACTTGCTCTTGGCGACGTTCTCGGCAGGCGGGGTCAATGGCCGTCCGGCTCATGACGTCAGCCTGGCGTACACGCCCATTAGTGCAGGCTTGTGTGCATCCGCCTTTGAGGAGAACTTGCCGCTGATTTCTAAAGTTCTAACCGACTATAGTGTTGCACTGTAACGTACATCAAGATAAATCCCAAGAAAGTGGCCCAACTTTTTGTCATGCTGTTCTAGGCGAATGCATAAATGACCTGGTTAATTTTTCATGGACTGACTAGCTGAGTTTACTAGGAGATAACCAGTTCAACTTCACCCTCACATTGTTCACTCTTTTACTTTTATTTCAACCAGGGCTTCAGTTGTCCAATCCGTTTCTGCAACTCTGCTGTGACGTGGGCACCATGCCGGACAGACTACGGAGGCACTGCTCTACCAGGGAGGACATCATCCGACGCCACTACAACAGCCCGGAGGGCAACGAATGCGCCGACGCGTTCGCTCACTGTTGCGCTCGCACATTCCAATCCGGTGAAAGTACGTCGAATTAAACGTATATTATCGATAGCGAGAGAGAGAGAGAGAGAAATTTAAGAAGCTTCCCCTAGTGGAGCAAAACTGGGCTAACAGTAGAGATAGTGGTCCACCTAATTAATACCCAATCGGTAGGGGCACGCTGCCACTAGCTCACGCAGGCGTGACCTGATCAAGTGTGGCTTAATCCGACAGAAGCTCATCAGCAGAGCTTAATCAACCATGACTCGATTTGTATTTGTCTTAATCCGGCTTAACTCAGCTTGATTGAGCTAATAAAAATGATCGTATCACCCAAGTAGGATTGGCTTGATTACAGAGGGCTTGATGACGACTGGCTTGATAACAATTTAATGGTTAGTCTGATTAGCTTAATCTGGCTAGGCAAACTATGGCTCTGAAATGTGGTCAGGTAATATAACTACTGTCAAACTCAGCTTAATCAAGATAACCTTAACCCTGATCAGGTTAGGAATTAGACACCATTAATTAGGCTTAACTTAGTAAGGCCTGACCTAATTAGGTTGGTCTTGATTCATGCGGCTTCAGGTGGCAATGGTATTGCTAGGTGGAGTTTTCGGTTTCCACGAAATGAAACAACGAAAAGCCTAACTGCTCCGCTATACAATAACCATAGCCAAGGACAGCAACATCGTTGATTTTAGCTTGCCGGTGGTTCGAATGGTGGTGGCTAGTAGCTTTTCATGACCTTTTCGGCCTAGTTAATCGGCTCTGCCTGAATACGGGAGTCAGTTGTCGGCAGGAGTAACTCCCACGCACGGAGGGAGGAAAGCTGGCAGTATTGTTTTTGGAGGTGGGTTTGCCCTATTGATGCAACTCTATCGATAGTACTGTCTACACTATTCATCGTTTAGTGACTATCGAATGATCCACGGTTTTAAAAACAACCTAGGTCGGTGGACTCACTCATGACTCGACTCAGTCAGATTAACTCAGAGTCAGATCAAGCCGTAAATGTCAGTCTGAGTAAGTCCAGGTGAGCAATATGTTGGCGAGTTTGTGTTTTAGCCAGTTCAAAGCACAAGATACATTTCTTGAGTCCTTCTCAGTAAGACCCCCCCCCCCTTTCTTTTTTGCTTTGCCGACCCATTGAAAGAACTATACCGGTACCGATATTGTTAGCTGTTCCAGCTCTCATGCGGTATGGCGTAAAAGGTTGGCGGGTGTATCGAGTCAGAGCTAAAAACTGAAGTTGGTAATAAAGTTTTTCGAGAGCACCTTCTCCTTGCGTAATCAGCGACTCGCAGACAGCCGTTCGAAACTACGCCAGCGGCAGAATCTCCCCCGAGACATTGCGGATTCTTAATACAGGCAAAATTCACGAGGCGGACAAATACGTACACATCTTGTGGTTCCCTGCCCACACATCATTAGGTAACGCGGAGACCAATCCGAATGAAGTGGCGCACAACGTGGCTCGAGGTCTTACGTTCCGAGTCACGTCAGGCGAAGCGGCCACCCCAACGGACCTTTCTGCGCCGGTGTGGGAATGGGACGATCGGCTCACTAAACTTAATGACATAATTCAACACTATCGACTGCAAAGGCGGGAGTACCCTCCGCCTCACTCCAAGCTAAATCGGGCCCAGTCCGTTCAGTGGCGACAGCTACAAACACGCACATATACGAACCCTGTCATCATGCACCACATATATCCTGACGTCTATAGTTCTAATCTATGCCAGTACTGTACCACCAGAGCCACTCTCGACCATATCCTATGGGAATGTCCAGCATTAGTCAGAAAGTCTGGGGTCGCGGCCTCCAATGAAGACCTTCGGGCGCGCTGGCGGACTGCGCTGCTCAGTTCGGGCCTAGACAAACAACTTTGAGCGATCCAGCAGGCCAAGGAAGCTGCCGGGAGACACGGTCTCTCCGTTGGCCCCTAGGTGGGAGCCCATCCCAGCAATCTGCCAGAAATTAATAAAGTCTCTCTCTCTCTCTTCTCCTTGCATAGCAGAAATAAAACATATTAACAAAAACAGTTAACATTTCTGGCAACACTCCTCGGCCAACGACGAAAAGAGCGGGCGTTTTCGATTAGAGCAGACGCAGACCGTGCCAAAGCTTGTTTTATTGATTAACAAAGCTGGCGACTGAGGAGAAAACCATTGGGTACTGAAGTTGAGCCAGCTACGCAGTAGGTGGTTCTTAACGAAGCTGCAGCAGGAAGTCTAATTTGGTGGTTCCTTGCGAGGCAGCGACAGGAGTCCTGAACAGCAACCTCGAACGCAGCGCTAAAGTTACATGAAAAGGAAAGTAGAAGCAACACTTTAGAATTCTGGAAGTCATGGCAATACCCCCACATTTTTTGAAAGGGCTAAAAATTCAAAAAGAGAGGCAAAAGGGGAATGTGAAAACTTCCGATGAGAAATTTCTAAAGCTGTATTTACATAACGTACGTCATCGCGGACGGATCAGACATGTGATATGGGACGAAATTCAGATGCCTCCGCAACCAGCGTTCACACGGCATCGCAATTTCACCCCGAGAATTCCAACTGTGATTTGGGCTTCCGTCGTTTCATCATTACCTTCGCGCGGACCGAAACAGGGACGTGGGAACGGGTGACGTGGGAACGGGTGACGTGGGAACGGTTGACGTGGGATCGGGTGACGTAGGAATGGGGGAAGTGGGAATGGGTGACATGGGATCGGTTGACGTGCATGGGATCGGGTGACGTGTATGGGATCGGGTGACGTGGGAACGGGTCATGTGGGAACGGGTGACGTTCTTGGAATCGGGTGACGTGGGAACGGGTGACGTGGGAATGGGGGAAGTGGGAACGGTTGACATGGGATCGGTCGACGTGGGAACGGGTGACGTGGTCCGCGATGGCCACTGTCGAATTGCGACCGCGGGCATCGCGGACCACGTCACCTGTTCCAAAAGCCAACAACTCAACAGCCAACAATTCCAAAAGCCAAACGCCAACAAGTTCACTTGCTGAAACGTCGGCTCCACTCTCACCCACTCCCATGCTTTGCTCACGAATTTCTCACAAAAAACACTTGTGCATCCCAGCAAATTCTGTACCTACAGAACTTCTGTTCCCCGCGGCTTGAGAAATCGTTCAATATAGGAGGAGCAGGCCGGAAAGCACGAACATTGACACACTTGTGTTGCTTCACCAGAACACCTGGCTGTCGCGGGATCATTAAGTTGAATGCCTTAGTGGTAGTGGCAAAGAGGCCGACACACGTGATGGAACTGCAAGACTTCAAATTTCTGTTACATTTTGTGGTCTAAATTTAAAAAAATAATACAACGAAGTAACTTTTCTTGGTGAAAAGTGACTGCTTGCTTTTTATTATAAATTTATCAATGGTGATATTCGTGCAGTGTCACTGTGGTAATAACTTATTTTGATCACCAAAACTAACTGATGAATAAAACGATCTGAGCATTGCCAATACTAGACGATTGCATAAGTTGAATTGGTGATATCACCAGTCGAAAGAAGCTTCATTATTACAATATTGATACGCAACTACCGGCACAGCCTGTCTGGAAGAAAGAGAAAGACGACGTTGTTGGCTGGTTGTTGATGAACTGTCGCCATCTTGTTCGCCGAGCACAGTGCATCGTATTTAACTTATTAAATACGTTACCCGTAACATTATTGGTGGAGGTGGACGACTCCCGTACCTCGATGGAGACGCGCAGTGGTCGCAACACCGGGGACTCTTCGGCTACTTCAACTGCCAGTGCCTCATCCCCACCGGTCTCTCGATCTGAGTCAACAACCTACGTCACCCTGCCACCCCTGCGGGATCCTGGAACTTTCTCCGCTGACGGCACCATCGACGTTGACTCCTGGCTGCACCGGTACGAGCGAGTCAGTGCTACCCACCGCTGGGATCCGACGCTCATGCTGGCCAATGTTGTGTTCTACCTCGACGGCACGCCGCGGACATGGTTCGAAACCAACGAAGCCGAAATCACAAGTTGGGATCTTTTCAAATCGAAGATCCGTGATCTTTTCGGCGATTCATCTGGTCGTCAGCTCGCTGCCAAGAAGACTCTCGCCACTCGCGCCCAGACGTCTACTGAATCGTACGTGTCATACATTCTTGACGTCTTGGCGCTTTGTAGCAAGGTCGATCAGCGCATGTCAGAAGACGAAAAAGTTAACCATGTCCTCAAAGGCATTGCTGACGATGCCTTCAACCTGCTGGTTTTTAATAATGTCACGACCATCGACACGATCCTGACAGAATGCCGCCGTCTAGAACAGGCTAAAGCCCGCCGCGTCACCCACGGCATCACGCGCCTGCCGAACACAGCTGCTACTTCCTCGTGTGATGACTCCGTCCGCCAAGTTCCCCGATGTGACAACCTCACCCGCATCATTCGTCGTGAGGTCGAGGCAGCCCAACCAGTAGCTACTCCATTTCCAACGCCTGATCCTTCACCGACCACAATCTCACTGATACAAGCCGTCGTTCGTCAAGAATTATCGAATGTCGGCCTCCACCCCATTCAACCAGTCTACTCTGCCGAGCCTTTTTATCGTCGTCCATCCGCTCCTCGATATGGTTCCAACTACTCTCGACAGCGCAATTTGTCCGAATGGCGTACACTGGACGACAAGCCCATATGCTTCAACTGCCGACGTGTTGGTCATATTGCTCGCCACTGCCGCAATCACTGGGCTCCGCCGGCACGCTATGGGCCTCCTACCCAAGCCACTTCTGACCACCAGGCGTCCTCAACATTTGATTTTGGTTCCCCTATGCCGACCACATCCGCTGATCCTGCCGCACCTCTGACGAGACCTCGCTACGCCCGCTCGCCATCCCCTGCTCGCCGTCAATCTCGTTCGCCCCCACAACGCCGTCCTGCCTCTCCGACCTATTCGCAGCGCCCCCGACCGGAAAACTAGGCAGTGCAGCTTCTGGAGGTGAAGCTGCATTGACGACGACCTCTGCAAGAAATCCTCGTGTGACATTACCGACCACCCGGAATCTGTTGAACGTTACTTTAGACAATGTACCTGTGCGCGCGTTGATCGATACTGGCGCGCATGTGTCCATAATGAGTGCTGCTCTTCGTCGCCGCCTAAAGAAAGTTCTCACACCCGCCTCGAACCGAGCCGTTCGAGTCGCCGACGGGGGAACTGCCGCGATTATCGGCATGTGCTCCGCCCGTGTGACTATCGCCGATAGAAGCACTGCCGTTCTTTTCACCGTTATAGAAAACTGTCCTCATGAAGTAATTCTAGGCATGGATTTTCTCACCGCTCACTCGGCCCTTATAGATTGCTCAGCCGGCTGTCTTGACCTTGAAATGCCTCTACTTTCTGATCTGACCAACCCACCCCAAAGTCGCCTTTGCTGCATTGATTTCGCACGCCTTCCGCCTAACTGTGTCACACATATCGACCTCTTCTCTACACCACCTGTACCAGACGGTGAATACATGGTGGCACCAATTCATGCCGTGATGCTTACGCATGGCGTCGCTGTTCCGCACACCATTTTGACAATCGTTGAAAACCGCACATGCCTTCCTATTGTCAATTTTGCCCTCACAGCCCAAATTCTTCCACAAGGTATCTCCCTGGCTGAAATTACTACTCTACAAGACCATACGGTTGAACCCTTCAGAGTGGATGATTGCTGCACCTCAGACAATGAACCAACTCTATCACGTTCATCGGGCATCGACGTTGACCACATGGTACCTACAGACCTCGCTCCTGATCAAGCGGAAGCCCTTCGTCACGTCCTAGAGTCCTATAGTGACATTTTCGACTTCGCCAGCACGGCTTTAAGCCGAACGAGTGTTGTTACTCACCGCATCAATACTGGTGACGCGAGTCCCATTCACCGACGTCCATACCGTGTTTCCGCGTCCGAGCGCACCGTCATACAACGGGAAGTCGAAAAGATGCTTGCAAAAGACATAATCGAACCCTCTTGTAGCCCCTGGGCTTCTCCTGTCGTCCTGATCAGAAAGAAGGATGGAACATGGCGCTTTTGTGTAGATTATAGGCATCTCAACAAAATTACGAAGAAAGACGTTTATCCGTTGCCTAGAATCGACGATGCCTTAGACTGCCTTTACGGTGCTACGTATTTTTCCACTATCGACCTTCGATCTGGCTATTGGCAGATCGCTGTGGATGAGATGGACCGTGAGAAGACCGCATTCGTCACTCCTGACGGACTTTATCACTTCAAAGTTATGCCCTTTGGTCTCTGTAATGCGCCGGCCACATTTGAAAGAATGATGGACTCGTTGCTCCAAGGGTTTAAATGGTCAACCTGCTTATGTTATCTAGACGACATTATCGTTTTCTCGCCCACATTCGACTCCCATCTCAAGCGTTTATCGGCGATTCTTGAAGTTTTTCGTCGAGCCGGACTTCAACTGAACTCGTCGAAATGCCACTTTGCTCGTCGTCAAATAACCGTACTTGGCCACATCGTCGATGCCGCAGGAGTCCGCCCGGATCCCGAGAAAATTCGCGCCGTCACGGACTTTCCTGTTCCGAAGTCAACAAAGGACGTTCGCAGTTTTGTGGGCTTGTGCTCCTACTTTCGACGGTTTGTTAAGGACTTCGCCGTCATTGCACGCCCACTCACAAACCTCCTGAAGAAGGACACCCCGTTTTTCTGGGGCGCTGATCAAGCCTCATCTTTTTCCCAGCTCACGACGCTCCTTACAACACCGCCGATTTTAGCCCATTTCGATCCATCAGCTCCAACCGAGGTTCGCACTGACGCTAGTGGGCATGGCATCGGAGCAATGCTAATGCAACATCAACGCGGACATGACCGTGTTATAGCATATGCAAGCCGCCTGCTATCTACAGCCGAGCGCAACTATTCAATCACGGAACGTGAGTGTCTCGCTCTCGTGTGGGCAGTCGCCAAGTTTCGCCCATACTTATACGGGCGTCCATTCCGGGTAGTTACCGACCATCACGCGCTATGCTGGCTGGCCTCACTCAAGGATCCCACAGGACGCCTCGCTCGTTGGTCCCTACGATTACAAGAATACACGTTCACCGTAACGTACAAAACAGGGCGGTCACACCAAGATGCTGATTGCTTATCACGCTACCCTGTGGAAGAGGCTGCCCATACTGACACCTTTCCAGACCTTCTGTCTGTGACGCAGCTACTCAACCTTGGCCACGAACAACGCCTGGATGCTTCACTGCGAACCATCATTAGCAAGCTTGAGTCAAGGCCTCGCGACGCATCTCTACAAATGTTCTTGGTAAAAGACGGCATCCTGTATCGCCGTAACCTCGATCCATATGGCCATGACTTGCTCCCCGTCATACCAGCACATCTTCGTGCGACTGTTCTCAACCAACTTCATGACGCTCCTTTGGCGGGCCACTTGGGCGTCTCTCGCACATACGACCGTGTACGTCGTCGTTTCTTTTGGCCTGGTCTTGCCCGCTCTGTTCGACGCTACGTCGCCGCTTGTGAACCCTGCCAGCGCCGCAAAAAGCCATCTTCGCTACCAGCTGGATTCCTTCAGCCGATCGACATTCCCTTTGAACCTTTTTTTCGAGTTGGCCTCGACCTGCTTGGCCCATTCCCGATTTCCAGCTCAGGCAACAAATGGATCGCTGTCGCCACAGACTATGCGACACGGTACGCTATCACACGAGCACTTCCGACGAGTTGCGCAACCGATGTGGCGGACTTTCTGGTATATGATATTATTTTAGTACACGGAGCTCCACGCCAACTTCTCACTGACCGGGGCCGCACCTTCCTATCAGCTGTCGTTGAAGAAATCCTGCGCTCTTGCTCGGCCAAGCACAAGTTTGCCACTTCGTACCATCCGCAAACGAACGGTCTTACGGAGCGCCTCAACCGCACCATAACCGACATGCTTTCCAAATACGTAGCGGCCGACCACCAGGACTGGGACGTTCATTTGCCATTTGTGACGTTCGCATATAATTCGTCACGTCACGACACTGCCGGCTATTCACCATTCTATCTTCTATACGGCCGAGAACCCGCCCTACCATTTGACACCTTGCTGCCCTCGGTCACGGAGTATGCAGGCGAAGCCATCGCGCGAGCCGACCACGCACGCCAACTCGCCCGCAGCCGCCTGCAGGCTTCACAGGAGCACCAAAGACAGCTCTACGATTCCCATCATCGAAACGTGCACTTTTCACCGGGTTCCCTTGTCCTCCTCTGGTCCCCCACTCGGCGTGTAGGGCTTTCTGAAAAACTGCTGTCACGCTACACTGGACCATACCGCGTCGTTCGCCAGGTGACTGACGTTACATACGAGATCGTGCCAGCCGATTCAACGTCATCATCGTCACCTTCGAGTGACATCGTGCACATAGCCCGACTCAAGCCCTATCACCCTCCTTCTACCGCATCCGAGTTGCTCAAGCACCAAGACGGTGCTTCGACCGCCGGGGGGTTATGATACGCAACTACCGGCACAGCCTGTCTGGAAGAAAGAGAAAGACGACGTTGTTGGCTGGTTGTTGATGAACTGTCGCCATCTTGTTCGCCGAGCACAGTGCATCGTATTTAACTTATTAAATACGTTACCCGTAACAATATAATTAGTAATACTACCTAAGATGATATAGCTAGGAATACTGATACACTATCGAATAAACTATCAATAGTATATAGATAGTAATACTATCGCTAGTTCGTTTACACTATCGACAATGCCGAAGAAACCATCAAGAGCCAATTTACCGGCAGCTTGACATCACTAGTTCACCCGCCTACGTTCTCGAAGAATGTGATTTTGGGTAGACTTCATGTGCTTGTAATGTCGGTAGTATGGTTGAATATCTCCTGGGAAAATTTTAGGGGGATGGTGAGGACTGGGAAAAGAATCTTTTTTTGGGTTTGTCACCAGATCGTAGTCTGTTGTCTTCCGCATGCAGAGACACGTACGCATTGGTGTTGATATTCTCTCTATGATAACAGTTATTTCATTGATGTGGTCACTCCTTTATGGAAGATGGATGTCCTGTGGTGGAGTAGTTTTACGGGTTGCGGCGTGCAAAGTGAGAGGTCACAGGCTCTAATCCCTGGTCGCACACTTCGGCAAAATTTTTGTTCGGCAACCATATTTCTTTGTGGTTTATATATGTTTTGTCTCTTTTGTTCTTCTAGTGCCTTCGTTCACGGACAGCACCGACTTATTAAGAGCTCGGTTTAGCGACGTGCCGGCCTGGAATAACGAGGAAGATCCTTTGGCCAGCGTAGTGCTGAGACAAGAATTCCGAGAGACGTCGGTGTTCGATGAAGGAACGATCGGGTAATTGATCAGAGATCTTCAATATTTCCATGAGCAAGAGCTGATTAATCAAATCAGATGAATGTTGATCTTAATGCATGCCGGCTGTTCTTGACAAGGAATTTTCTAAGTGGCTTTCGAATAATAAAAAGAAAAAAGTGCCAGCGCCGTACCTGTCTTTCACGCATAGGAGGACGTCAGAGACAGTTACAGCATGACACCTTTCACTTCTCAATTCTTCGGCCAGCGTATTGCTGAGGTAGGAATTCCGGAAGAGGCGTGGGTGTTCGATCGAAGGAACGATTGGGTAATTGATCACAGATCTTCAGTCCTCGCATGACAGGAGCTGCAGGGTTAATGAATCCATATAACTCTTGATCTTCAATTCATGCCGGCTGCTCTGGACAATGAAGATCATTCGGTCGTTAAAGTGCTGAGACAGGAATTCCAGGAGAGTTGAGTCTTCTAGCAAGGGACGAATGGGGCAATCAGTTTGGTAATCGATTTTCCGATGTATGATTAGATGACGAGGACGTACACGATCAACGTCTCACGCGGGCCCTCATGCTTTACAGGGACAGCGGCTGGTACAACAAATCGTTCACTTTGCCGGACAGCATCACGACGTGGTCTGTTCAGGCAGGTAGCGGTGTCGCCGCGTGGTGGCGTTTGCGTTGCGAGGCCCGTCGAGGTTGTGGCCTTCAAAGACATGTTCCTGCAAGTCACCTTTCCCCCGACGGTCGTCAGAAACGAGCAGGTCGAGATCGTGGCGACCCTGTTCAACTACGACAAGGAATCACACGACGTGAGTGCTGACGTTTTGTGCAGTTAACTGTGTTTTAAACCGAGGCTTTACGTTTCTGAACGGTAAAAAAAAGGGACATTTTGTCAGCAGTGTGCAGTGAGACAAAGGTACCAATTGCTACAGAGGCGGTTATCGATTTTCCTTAGCAGCACAGGCACTGAACTTGCAGGTTGTAACGAAACCGTTCTATTACGCGTTCATTGTATATACGTACCCCTTCTTCGCCATTCTCTCCACCATCCTTCATCGCTCTTACTCTCCCCTTTACCTTTTTCCCGGTGCAGAGTAGCAGGCTATCGCGCACCAGCTTTGGCCGACATAACGTGCGCATGCTTCTCCCTTAGGGGGTAGGTGGGCAAAGTTTCGGTGCAGTGCCCTCCCCCTATCATGTCCATGTATGACTCACTCTACGCCCCCCCCCCCCCTCTCGGACTCCTCCATATAATGTAAATGCACGGGGCTGGCTTGGCGCATCGAGTCTCCTCCAGCCTCCCCCCCCCCCCTTCCGTGCGCTTGCCTATGCTGGCCGAGCTCTCTGCCTCCTACTATATATAGCTGCTCTATTACAGTTTCACCAAACCTGCTGTTGCTGATGCTACTATTGCTGTCTGACATTCGTGAGCACTTGCGGTCACGCATTTTTGGTTTCGGTTTTCGCATCTGGCCTCGGTTTTCATCATCGGTTTTCACTTCTGGCTTCCCCTTCTTCTCTCACTTCTGGTTTGCCTGTAGGTTTGAGCTTCCTGTTCACTTAAATTCACTTGTGGTTTCCACTGCGAGTAATTAATTTCATTGCAGCCTTCAGTTTCTGACCTTTTTTTCTTCTTTAGGCTCCCACTTCAGTCTCGTCGAACTTAGAGTAGTTTTGTGAATGGAATCTATACTGTTTAGGCGTAGAGCTATGCAAGTTTAGCTTACGAAGGTAAATTACTTTCCTTAGCTAACTTACACGCTAACTTACGCTAACACACGCTAACTTAACACTGACGCTAACACACACGCAATAACTCATCGCAAATTACTTGGGCAAAGCTAAGAAACTAGCAGAGCAAAGGAAGGGTAAAACACTGTAAGTACAAAGCTCTGGAAATAATTCACATGAAAATTTGTTTAGCTAAAAAAGCTGAACTACTGGAAGCTGAAAAAGAGCTTTCTTGACATTGCGAACAGATATTCGTTGAAACTTTACCGAAACATCCAAATCTGGTGTTTCTCTGAATATACCACCCTTTAAGTTAAGCTCTAATTCTGAATCGATGTCCAACAATAGGCGAACGAGCAGTCTCCAAAAAAGCTTAGGCATAGATATCCTTCGATTTTCAAAAGATATTTGTTTACCCCACCTCACTGTCAGATGAAAATTAAGTCAGGATAAAAAAATTATGCCGCATATAGCACCCACATTCTTTAACACCTGAAGGCGAAAGCCTGCTGTACATTTAGTATGCGATAAGTTGTGAAGTCGAAGACGAGACTTCTTGCACGAGGCAACAAGAAGTTACAGTATGAAAGAGTCGTACTAAATTGCCTTGACAATCTCTGTCAATATCTCTGTCAATGTCAATCGATCTCTGTCGCTTTCAATGTTGAACTCTGTCAATGTCGATGTCCGTCAATGTCTCTGCCATTCCTCTCTGGCACCCTTCCCGATGCTTTCTACACCTCACCTGGTCATAAAATCAGCGCAAAATCATTGAACACACACACACAAAAAAAAACAATTGTTTGTTACTACATGTTCGTTCGTTGTTGTGACTATGTTTTTGTGGTCATGAACAACCAACTAGCCCGAAATCACCATCCTTTTGAACCTCACTTGGCGTTGCATTACCTGCGAGACCAGCCCCTCTTTAACCAAAAAATGATGACGTCGACGTGTGACATCGTGTGGCTATACGTAATCATAAGACGCGATGTGGAGGCACACTAATGATGTCACGAATTTGGCCCCATTCACTATTATTGTGACTTAAAACGTTGACGTCACAGCTATCTGTTATCTCCTCTACACGCTTGCCACTCGGAAAACAGTCACGTGGGTTTTCGCTCCACTTCATTCGCATGCCGTTCTGTCACTCAAGGTCTTCGCAGGACAAAAAATTTTAGACTTTCGCATTAAAAATAAAAGGTGGTGGATGCCCCTTTTCGTAGAAGTTGGTTATAATGTGAAAGTGAAAAGTGCCTTTGTATAATTAAGTAGCATACTACACTATTGTTGGGCATTGAAAAAAAAAACCCATAATCCGCCGAGGCGCAACGTTCATAATATGTGAAGGCAACTTACTTATGCCATTTTTTCTGGGTAAAGGACCAAGTCAGAGCCAGGTGCATTCAGAATACGGCCAACTGAACCTTCTGCATACTCACCGTGTCGAGTCATTTGTTACGTCACTGTGCTGCGTATGACTGCAGCCTACCGCATCGGGGAAGGCACTATACGATGTCCGACGGCTTGGTCGGCGTGCCGCGCTCGAAGACCAATGCCTAAAGTATATTTAAGGCTAGAACCTTAGCTGCCTCATCAAGCGCAAAATTTGACCGTCGGCGCCTCGTGGTGTCAGGCACGAGAGATCCGAAAATCATCATCACGTGAGGACGTCATTGTATAACGTCACGATGACGCCACAGATGCCACAATTTGTGATGTGATGTAACGTCACGTGATGATGTTCTTATGTCGAATTACAGCGTGTTCAAAGGATCTCCGATCGCCGAGTCAATGCGAAACCAGGAAAGGTGCCTACGATCATGGAGGCCGTGTGGATCCACGCTAGTTGCAACAAAAAGCTTTCAAATGGTAGCGCTGTGGCATCAGTACATCGGTAGAGAGGAACTTGCAAACGAGTTCAGCGAGTTTGGATGTTGCATTTTTTAAGGTATATAGAAAGTGAAGGCTGGAACATGTGCACCCGACGTACTTGTACATAAGCTCTGTTATATACCAGGTTTAGCCAACAGGACCTCATCAAGTACGAGGCCCACGGGATGGCTATATGCTTTTCCATGTTAGACTACCAAGTACTCTAAATTGTAACCACTCCTTCTGAAAAAAAAAACACAGGATGCGGTGAATGTCCGTGCATGATCCGCACACATTTCAGTAACATCTTTGACTGGGACTGTATTTTAGGGGAGAAGCTCCTTATGACGTGGGTCCGTACATGCATCTCTCTCTTGGTACATGATTGCCTAGCTTTATGAGTCACTCAGCAGGTGTGGATAGACGGACGGAGGATTCATGGTTCATGGATAAAACTCTCGGAATTAAGCTACGCCCCACTCGTCATCATTAACTTCGTGTGTATGCTGAAATATCTACGGTAGTACAGTACAAAGTACTCTAACGCGTTTAAAATACTTTGCTTAACCCTTTTTAATTTACTTACTAGAACGACATAGTGCTCTCCGGTAATACATCGTATTCTAAATCGTCAAACGTTTGTTCTATACACGTAATTGTGTGTTGCACAGGCATATTGTATAAGATTATCTTATTGGATTTGGATGGGGAGCTCGTTGACGTAAAAAAAAAAACGGGTTAATGAAAGTAAACTTGTTAGTTGCCCAACCACGTGACAGTGTCCATGTGTTCCACGAGCGTGGAGACCCTACAACTTGTAGACGTCACAACACACACTACGATACATTTTTTTTCCTCTCTACTTTGCATCCCTAAATTTTTACGTATCAACGTCACGTAGCAACGGCTCCAAGCGATCGTCACTTTCTCTTATCCGTACAACAGGCCGAGATCTACCTGAACGGAGCTCCGGACTTGTGCATCGCGTCCAAGCATCCCCGGCTGCCGCACAAGAAGCGGCTCAGAGTGGCGAAGAATTCCGCCGGCAGCGTCAGCTTTCCCGTGGTTCCCTTGCGACAGGGCACTTTTCCCATCACAGTCAGCCTCCGAGGTAACGGCCGTTTCGAAGATGTTCAGAAGACGCTGACAGTCGTGGTAAGCCGAATACTTCTCGAGTTCTTAGCGAAGTGTGGAGAGGAAAATAAGACGCAAGTCAATTGTGCCACAAGTGCCAAGTGATGATCATCGCTAGTTCGATTATTGATCATCACCCTAAGCTTGACATGCCAGACTTTTCAACTACTGCAGGCTCGCCATCGTTTGTTCCTTGAATAGCAAGTAGTTTGAACTATTCTCACCTGCATTTTTAACTGATGTAGCCAAGGAGTTTTTTTTAACCTCCTTGGATGTACCTGATTTAACTGAACTGAAACCTGCCCTATCATGATTACTGTAGCGTTACACGATTGTTTGTTAGGCGTAATTTGCTTTTCAAGATGCCATTTGAATAAATAAAAAAATATCACAAGGAGGGACACATATTGCCATGAAGGCGATTTGTTTTGAGGAATTGTAAGTATTATTTTTTCTTATGTAAAACTAGAGCCATGTCTTGAAATCAAATTGAACTACGGACATTGGTTGTCGGCTCAGGTAAGCACTCCGCTCGGTAGATAGTTAACAAACCTCTGCCACGTTGGAGCACCTCGGAGATGTGCGTCCCGCCTACGGTAAACAGTGCATGTAAATAGCTCGCCATACGCTGGACGATGTATGCGTGGTGGCCGAGTAGCTTAACGCATCGTCAGCTCAGCGAGGGTCACAGGTATGAATCCGTGTGTACACTGCTCGGAAAATTTGTCTTTTTGGGTTATGTATATACATATATACAGATATGGGTATACATATATCCATAAGTATACATATACGGGACAGCAGTGAAGTCCGTCCAGAGTGCCCATACAATTGTTCTCGCAATAAGAACGCCGGTTTCGTTGCAAGGGCAACAATTAATCTCACAGCAACATATTTTGACAGCCCGAGGGGACGCCCGTTGAACAGAGCTTCACTGTCATTGTTGATCCAAGCAACGAACAACGTCGGCGAAAGAGGGCCGTTGTGACAAAGGCGTACAGAGGTCAGTGGAACTGTTTACATTTTCGCGTCGTTAACTGCATTGAGGCTTCGAAAAGAACCAGGTATGTGGCTGTGTATTAGAAGTGATTTTTGGCTCCCTTTAAGTAGTGCATGCGTATCACTCTGTATTTACGCACCTGTCACAAGCATCCGCACACATGTGTCCATACACATTCGATATAATATCTCATATTATGATCGTATTGATGTGCCAATTTTTCGTTATCAGATATCTTGGAGGAAGGACGACCAGCGACAGTTGATAACGATCACTCCACGTTATCCTCATAACACGGTGCCGGACACTGAATGGTGCACGGTTTCGGTCATAGGTGAGTGCATGAGCCTTGCGTCGTTGTCACCTTGAAATTTATCACGTTCGCTCTTTTTTTTTTAGGCTGATTATTGTGTTTCGTTTGTTGCTACAGTTTTACTCGGGATAACGCAGTTGTTTTAGTATTTTTCAGTGAAGCTCCCGCTATATGATGCCCTTCTTATGCGTCTCAACATAAGTGAAACTAAACAGCCGAGATCCGCCAGAAAGACTTAAACAAGTGTTAAAGCAGATATTAAGCTCATGAACGGAAATGCAAAAACACCTACAAAGGTGGATGAACTGGAATTGATGCGTAAGTGTTCCTAAATCTCCTAGCCTTACCTCGTATAACAGCCCGGCCGCGGCGGTCTATAGCGACCAAGGTACTCGGCTGCTGCCCCGCAGGTCGCGGGTTCGAATCCCGGCTGCGGCGGCTGCATTTCCGATGGAGGCGGAAATCTTGTAGGCCCGTGGGCTCAGATTTGGGTGCGCGTTAAAGAACCCCAGGTGGTCGAAATTTCCGGAGCCCTCCAATACGGCGTCCCACATAATTATAGCGTGGTTTTCGGACGTTAAACCCAACATATCAATCAATCAATTACCTCGTATAACAGCCCGACGTGTTGCTATCGCAATGATTGCCTCGGCCTTGTGCCGAAACTGTGACTTTTTTATCTAACGATGGCTGATTGATAAGTCTTTGCTTTTTTTTCTCGTTCGTATATGATAATGCAGGCAGCGAAGCGGCTTCAGTCGGAGGAGAGTCGATCGCGGACGTAGAGTCTCTGATATCGATGCCCAAGGGATGCGGAGAGCAGACCATGATGATCATGGCACCGGCACTATACGCTTACAAGTATCTCAACATCAAGAACATGCTCAACGAATCCGGCAGAGGGGACGCTCTGAAATATCTGCTCGAAGGTAAGCCGTTCCACCAGTTGGCAATCCGATAATTAGGAATTTCTTTTTTTTAAAACTACCCGGTTCTTGGCCAGTTCAAGGGTGTACTAATCAGCGTCAAATGAAACTCGATCAGCGGCAAGCCTTCGCGACGGTGTATTGCGTGCCGTCCAGTTATCACCGTTGATAGGCGCGCGCGGATACTGTTCGGCAGCTGCGGCTATATATGCGCGCCTGTTCGCGGTGATAGCTGGACGGCACCCACTATACCATCGCGAAGGTTTGCTGCTGTTCGGGTTTCATTTGACGCTGATTAGTACTCAACGCTACTATGCACCGAGTCAGAAACATGCGTCCCGCGGGCCTCTCTCTAACCCCTATTGAAACGATCCGTATGCGATGACCAATAATTCCGTATGTTTCCGTAAGAATCTTACGGAAACATACGGAATATATGGAAACATCTGTACTCATACGGAAACATACGGAATTATTGGACATCGCATACGGATCATTTCAATAGAGACGTGCCGACCCGCACGTGATAGTATTCATCACGTAATTCAATATGCTTTAACAGCCAAGCTGCTTAGGGTGCCGGTAACTTTAGCTCTATCGTCTGCGCGCGCGTGCTGCCGAATGTGCTGTGTTTATCTCTCTTTCCTCTGTCCTCTCTATCTTTCATCTCCCCCATCCCCCTCCAATGCGCAGGGTAGCAAACCGGCTGCTTATAGACTGGTTAACCTGCCTGCCGTTCTCTTTCTCCTATTTTTTCTTAGCTCTATCGTCGAGAAAAAATAGAGAAATTCAAAGGGAATAAGCACATGAAAAGACAGAGAAACACATAGAGAAAATAGAGAAGGAAACTGATAAGAAAAGGGGATAGAAAAAAGACAGATCAAGGTAGTAAGAGAAAGGAGAAAGATCAACAAAAACAGAAATAAATATATGGACAGAAACATAGAAAAACAGAAGAATAGCAATAGATTGATTGATTGATATGTGGGGTTTAACGTCCCAAAACCACTATATGATTATGAGAGACGCCGTAGTGGAGGGCTCCGGAAATTTAGACCACCTGGGGTTCTTTAACGTGCACCCAAATCTGAGCACACGGGCCTACAACATTTCCGCCTCCATCGGAAATGCTGCCGCCGCAGCCGGGATTCGAACCCGCGCCCTGCGGGTCAGCAGCCGAGTACCTTAGCCACTAGACCACCGCGGCGGGGCAACAGCAATAGAAAGAAACAAAAACACTAAACCGATGAAACAAAGAAATAATTAGCGAGAAAGATAAAAAATAGAGTGAAGGAGAGAGAAATAGATAAAACAAAAAAGAAGTGATATAGAGAGAAAGAAAAAAAACGAAATATAGAAAGGCAGTGAGAAAGAAATAGAGAGAGAAAAAATAAAAAAGTAATAAAAAAAAGAAACATACAAGAAAAAACAAAAACAGAGAAAGTAGAGAAAAAGCTAGAAACAGAAATCGAGAAACGTGCAAGGAAACCCCGTTCGGCCCTTTTTTTTTTTTTTTGCTTGGTACCACTAGTTCAAAGCATGAATAGTTATTTTTTTTATAAATGGGCTCACGAACTACACAGATGTGACTTGTCTCAAGCATTCGTTTCTTGCGGCGTCATATGCGGCCGCCATGTGTGACCGCAAACATAAATGGGAACAAAACTATGTTTCAGATTAGTAGCGCATATTTCAGTCGTTCTGGGGGCCGGTATCACTATGCTCGAAACCTGACTTTAATTTCTCTTCAGAAATGACCCATATATGAAATACAAAAAAAAACTTTCTCCCCTTCCCCTCCGATCGCCATTCCAACCTTGTTCATCATCGGGGCCCTTGCGGGGAGATTAAATTTCGTTAGTGTGGCCCGCTAGCTTAGCTGAAGTTGACACCCCTGCCACACACAATTGTCATTCTTCTCACGTGTGAACTCTCAAAACAAGTGCAGTGAATAATGAACACACGTGGAATCTACACGTATGTCCTGGCGTAAAAACACCGTAGCTAATCAATTCTTCGCCGTAGTGGTTTAGCCTATCATTTCATTTAATGCCACGTGTTTAATTGATGTCCTACTGCGAAACCAACCAGTATGGGGTGTCAAAGGCTTTTCAACTAACGGCATTCTTCTATATATATATATATATATCTCTTGTGTTAGCCTTCCTTTGCGCTTGTTCCTAAGGTGTTTAGATTTGCTCTTCAGGTGTGTAGAAACGATCGTATACCTGTGTAGTCCAGAAAGCAGTTTATATTAGGTTCATGAATGTGCTCTGCTTTGTCTTCCGCTTTAGAAAACATTTCAGGAGCATAAAAGTAGCAACTTAGTAACTGTAGCATATTTCGCCGCATCGTGTTTCCTGAAATGTATTCCGCGCAGGATACGGGCGAGAGCTGAAATTTCGAAACGAAGACGGATCGTTTGCCGCTTTCGAGAAGAAGCCTGGGAACGTATGGTTAGTCCACTACATCCTTGATCAATTCTTCGTTTACGTGTCATACACAGACGTGACTCCTTAGGATGCATTGGTCTCGGCAGGCTTACCGCATTCGTGCTCAAGGTGTTCTGCGAGGCCCGAAACGTCATCGACGTAAGCCCTGACGTCATCGAAAAAGGATTATCCTGGCTGTCGGCTCAGCAGAAACCCGACGGTAGCTTTCGGGAGCTGAATCCCATTTTACATCGAGAAATGCTGGTAGGTATTTCAATGTACCGCGCAGTGTACCCCAACCCTGCGTAGAGTTGCTTGTTTGTGCAATACGTATGTCCATATGCCACGGAAATCGGCAGTAGATTCTTCGTATGTATGAATATGGATAGTGCTATAGTGTGGCTCGCTTCGCGGTATGTGTGCAACAGATGAACATTACCAATTTTTGGATGTTAGTCTTCTTGGTGAGTCGTGAATACTCTCTTTGTAGATAATTATGCTCTCTTCAGAGAGTCATGGGAGGTGGGACTTCACGAAAAATCCGAGTTAGCTCCACTCTTACGGAAAGCTGTTCGAACTGAGGAGCACTGATTCCACCCGTTTCCCATGTGCTTATATTTTGTTTATTTGCTCTTCTATGTTTCCTTTCTTGTCATTATCTCATTTTTTGAGATTACCTATTTTCTTTGCTACGCTCTCCTTTCAATGTCATTTGGTGCTCCGAGCGTGATGCAGTCAAACTCCCAGCGCTGGAGTTTCGCCTACTCCTCTGCCTTCCGTGTACATCGTTTCTTAACTCCCGATACCCAAAGCACTGGGTTAATTCTTGTTCCGCCATGTTCCATTAAGGCGACCCATGGCTATTCTCTTTGTTTCATTGTTGCGTGTAGGGAAGCATTCATGGAGCAATGGCGATGACTGCGTTTGTCCTGCTCTCCTTTCAAGAATGTGCGGCTGCGTCACCTATTGTGCCTCAGGTGAGCTATGCTTATACTGTGCATGGACACAATCATGAGAGAAAAAACGCAGGCCGCACAGTCACAGCTGAAAGCTAGAAGAGCGGCGTTCCAGAGCCTTTTCTAAACACTTATTGGGTAGCCTGCTGTGAGCACACTTGCTTGCATGATGCCCACTACGGCAATAATAATAAAAATTTTAGAGTAGTAGACCGGCATTCACTAAGCTTTTTTCGCTTTCTTCTGAGAAGCGTGGTATCAGCTTAACTATTGCGAAAAATTTTGTGCCAATTGTTCATGCAGTGGCTGACGACGATGAGGAATTATGCCTGAAGTGGGTATGCGCCACAATTAACAGCTGAACAAAAAACAAGCTTTTGTAATGGGTTGGAGCATTGGACGACCCACTAGTTACGCTATTTAGCTTGTGCGACGATTGTTTGACTTTTCCTCTGTCTTAAAACGCTTTATAAGTCGTATTAACGCGACTGCTTTCCCGACATCAAGCCTGCTTAAGGCAAGTTTGCCATCAAGTCCCAAACACCAGCGTGACTACGTGGTATTTGGATTATTGTGACGCTGCGCTTCTAAAAGTAGCTATGTTGCAAATTGATCTAGCCAAGGCTTTCGACATGGTTCCACACAATATACTCTTCATGCTAGCTGAGTACGTTGGTCTTGGTGCGATCATATGTAAAGGTATTAGATTGGCATACAAAAGTTCAACCACAAATTTAATTGTAAATGGAGAACTCTCACGGCGCATACAAGTACTTTCCTCCGTGCGCCAGGGGTGTCCTTTAAGTCCTTTGCTTTTCGCTCTATTTTTGGAGCCACTGTGTCAGAAAGTTATTCACCACACAGAGATTAATGGTTTCAGGTTGCAGTCATGTGAAGTGCGTGTTTTGGCATACGCCGACGATATTGCCTTTTTTGGTGTTGATAGAGAGAGTGTCACTTCGTTATTAAAAATCACTCAAAGGTTTTGTGACACGAGTGGAAGTTTAATGAACAAAGAGAAAAGCGTTGGTTTATGGCATGGTAATTGGGACCTCACGCCCAGTTCCTTTGATAATATTCAGTGGCTCACGACACCTAGTCGTTACCTAGGGGTACCATTGGGCAGGTATCAAGACAGTGAAGCAATTTGGCTTGGAAAGGCTGAACAACTGCGCGCGACCGCCGAAGGATGGGGCGGTCGTGGCTTATCAATTTTCTCTCGGTCAGCTGTATGCAACGTGTTTCTGGCTGCTAAAATTATGTACCTTTTGCAAGTACTTAGTTGTACGCGTAAAAGCATTCACAAAGTCCACAGGATATTCGCCACGTTCATCTGGAGCTCTACGTGGGAGAGAACATCTAGAACGAACTTGTTTCGGCGAGTTAAGCAAGGAGGGCTGTCTCTGTGCCATCTGTTTCTTAACCAAGTAATATCACGTTTCCTGCTCATTAGAGACCAGAGAGACTCTTTTTTACGTTCTTTATTTCAAACAACGCTGTTACACCACATGCCTGACTTCTTTGTATCTTCAGACAGGCGAGAGCGACACACCTTGTCACCGTTCTTGCGCGAACTTGTGTTCTCATATCGTTTCTTAAGGGCGAGGTTTTCGATAGATTACCTAACTAATGTGAAAAGAAAGCGCCTTATGAAAGACCTAATACAGAGTGTTTTTTCTGTGCCCCTGTACCGTTCAAAGTATGAAAAATTATATGGCCATGATGTACTAAAGCGAGTGAAAAACATGTGTATACCACCCAATGTGAAAACCTTCTTTTTTAAACTTCATACGGGAACCTTGCCAGTAAAAACGTGGCTTGAAGAGAGAGGGATGTATGTACCATGGGGAAGCAGCTGTCTGCTGTGTAACAAACCTGAGACCATTGAACACGTGCTTATTGATTGTAAGAACGCCATTTTCTTTTGAGACATTTTACAGAGGACTTAAAAAAAAAGATTTACCTCTTACTCCATATGGAATTTGTTTTTTGCCTTGTGATAGTTCTGTGCAAAATTTGGATGTTATATTTTTACTTGGTCTTCATTCGGTTTGGCGTAGTATGCTATCGTACAGACACTGTGATGTGAGAGTTCTATCCGTTAATGAGTGTTTCGTGGAAGCTGTTATAAAAGTGCGAGATGTGTATAAGACTACCGACTGTGTTGAAGATGTAATATCTTTGTTTGACGCATTATCACGCATGAAACACGTGTGATAGTGATTGTCATATTAGCGTGACCTGTAGTCAAGAAGGCAATAAAGAAAAAAAAAGTGGCTCCGTGGTAGAATACTGGGCTGGCACCCAGCGGACCCGGGTTGAAGCCCCACTGTGTCATCGGTACTAGGTTTATTTGCTAATTTCGCACGATGTGGTTACGGACACCAGCGGCGGACAACTACGGCGCTGCGCGAGAGCCGAGTTGTGATCTCATAACAACTTTCGCTGTAAAATTCACGTGTTCTGCATTCGCCGAAGACGAAATCCTTCTGTGGCTTTTGCGATTTTATGGAAGATGGTGAAAGCCACTTTCCTATTCTTTTTGGTCCCGATCAATTATACCTATCACCTCGAGAATTTCCTGCACCTTACGGGGTTTTATGGTGGATTTGGTATCCAGCCACCTATTACCAAACATCACGTTACGTGGATTCAAAACGACATCAGGATGATGTCACAAATTTTAGTGATCTATGACGTCATCAGAACGATTCCCTGCATCAGCGTCTATGTTCATGGTCGATTTCGCTTTCGATGATGAATCCGAAACCTTGAAAAATCTGGGTTTAGGGATTTGGGAAATGTGGTACACTTCAGTGAAAACCGTAGGAAAACAAATAAACGAAGGAGACAAGTTTCTACAGTGGAATGTGACTATAGAATGTCAAGAATCGCCTAAAACGAGGCCTACTGCTACGCGCATGCACCTATCAATGTTTTGAAACGATATATTCCTCCAGGGATACACCTAACGATTGCACGTGCTCAGTTCTACATCCGGGAAAAACTGGACGACATCAAAGTTCCGTACGTCGCAGCTCTGACGGCGTACGCCCTCAGCTTCTCTCCGGGACCCGACCGGCAAAAGTCAATGGAAACACTGAAAAGCTCATCTGCTCGAAGATACAGGTACTCTCCAACACCGACTGCTTACATCATAGAGAATCCCGTTGGTCGTTCCGAAACAGCTATCTATAGCCCCTGAACGTGAACTTTCAGTGAACTTGCAGTTGATAATCGTTAGCCTTGTTTAGAGACAAAGTCAAGTGAGGCATAAACGCACAATATACCGGGCGCCCCATAATTATGCTGACGTACGTCATGACGACGTGGATTAATGAATGTTGCTGACGGTTGTTGATTGAGTAATCCACGCGATTCCTTGTGTTCTACATTGATTGCTAATTAGTCAATAGTAACTAACTTCCAATGCTGGGCACAGAGTTCCGTTCAGAAAGTTGCAAATCACTTTGCAAAACTGGTCAGTTAGACAGTTTGTAACTTTTTGTCTTTTATGTATCGGTGTTGTTCGAGTTGCTGAGAGTAAAGTAATTAAAAAATAAGCGTAGCGTGCCCATTTGCCTCCCACAATTACAGTGGTCCCTAACGTTTCGTGTGCAAATGCTATGCTTCCATCGCAGTGGTTCACGTCAGTGCAAAAGCCGACGCAACGGTTATCACTCATGCTGCCGCAAGCAGCCGTTTCGTCTTTGCACATCCACAACGATAACCGCTGTCTTGTTGCCTTTTGAGCGCCACTTCACGTAGCCGGCGTTCATGGTGGTTTGTAAGTGAGACGAAAGGAACATTGCAATAATGACGCGCAAGCGGGCATGTCACGTCGTATAGGGTTCTGCAGGTACTTTGCGTAAATCTGCAACCTCTTTTCTCCCCTTTATCCCTTCCCCAGTGCAGGGTAGCAAACCGGATGTGCGTCTGGTTAACCTCCCTGTCTTTCCTTGCATCTTTATCTCTCTCTCTCTCTCTTGCGTAAATCTGTAGCAAGCAGGGAGAAAATAATACATGATAGCTATCAGCTTAGAAACTGCCTAACCGGACGTTTTCTTTGTTATTATCTACAACTTTCTAACTGCAATTACTTGCACATTATCGTTAGTTTACGAATGGTTTAATTTATCTTTCGTAAGTAAGCAGAACGCAAAAAAAAATGTGACTTATACGCTACCCAATACTCAGCAATATGGGGTTTGACCGTTCGGGCATGAAAGAGAGAGAGTGAAATATAGAGACAGGGAGGTTAACCAGAAGAAGAGAAGGGGAAAAAGGGTGTAAAAGAGGGAAGGAGAAGAAGAGTTGGTGACAGAAGGGAAAGGGAAAAAGAGGTAGTGACTGGAGCAGTATAGAAAGCAACGTTTCGCGCGAACAGCCACACTTTGTCTCCAAGTCCGGTTGCTTGCACGAACCGCAGCAATGCTTTCAGGGCAGCTCGCCGTGCAGACCGGGTAGGCCAGGGCCTCAGAATTTCGTTCTCTGTCAGGGGTCAGTTGTCCAACCTGTCCTAGGGCGGCTGAGAGGGTCGCTCTTTTGCAGTTGAAGCGGGTGCAGTCACAGAGATGGTGCGCGACCGTTTCGCGGCATCCACATATTTTACATAACGGGATTCTAATTGGAAATGAATAGACATTTGAGAATGCCACAAACGGGCCAGCAAGGTTGTGTCACATCCTGATAGGCTGAGTGGGAGACGTAGCTGGAGGTCAGGATCCAAAATACGTATACCCGTGCATTTGTGAAAGTCGTTGAATGACATAAGTCTGACGCTTAGACGGCGGGCTAGCACACGAAGTTCTTTTGCCACGTCGCATCTTGAAAAGGTCGTGGCGACACTGTTGACACCGTCATGGGCAGTGACACGTACAAGTGTTCTTTGACCCTGTGACACATACAAACTTCTGGATTGGAAGCACTGTGATGCTCGTCGAACACTTCACTTTGTACGCGACAAGGACATGTGCATTAGCCGGGCTTTTTTAATGCTACAGAAACAAACAAAAATTTTCATTGATAAGTCTGTCTACGTTGGTTCCAAGAAATGAAAATTGGATGGTATTTCCTAAAATACAGATGCCAATTTTTATTGGAATATTAGAATACGCTAAAATCCGCTGAACGTTACAATCTTTAGCGATATGGGCGTATTTTTTTGACGATACTTCTTTGACAGAAGCCGTAATATCAATTCCATTAGAGGTCAAAATCCTTTACCCGTCAATCCCTCGCAGGAGCAGTTTGTTCAGTGCTCTATTAATGCGTTTCAAATTCGAATTCATCCAATATCTTACGTTTCCATAATAAACTTTCAGTTAACACACAGCTGTAATTTTTAGACGTCTCTTGTGTTCTCTTATAAATAGGCTGGCATAGAAAAAAATAAAAGCAAAGAGTACCATCCGAGGGGGCGGGGACTTTCACATTTTTGGCTTCACTATGACTGCAGCAACCCTAAGCTAGCTTTCAATCTTCAGAGATGAACTCCCTCAGCACGGGTTACGAGGCTACTGGCGTGGACGTGGAAGGCACCAGCTACGCGCTGCTGGCCCATCTCAAGCACAATGACATGGACTCGAGCAAGAAGTTCGTGAACTGGCTTTTACGTCACCGTTCAGCTTCGGGATCTTTCGTATCTACTCAGGTTGGTCGGTTATAACATTAGTTAGTAATCCAGCAGGATTTATGGCGACCCGAACTCAGGTCTTGAATAATTTTTTTTTTTTACAATAATCCTAGGTATAGGTTGGCGCCAATGTCTGGATACGGTTATTCCGCTTTTCTTGCATAAGAGCTGCCATCACACAGTAGCGGACAAACAGAAACCTATTAGAAAGGCATATAAATAACGCTCATGGACACAGTCTATATATTTGCATGCAAGAACGTGTCCGCAAGATTTAAAAAAGACACAAGTATTCACAAAAACAAAATGTCCTTACGTAACACAAAAAGTCGGTCATGATGTCGTCACAGCTTATACTTAGCCCATTTCGAATTTCTTAAATGCTGTATTCCAACTGAAGCAGATATTTTTTTTTACCGGTAAAATTGGCACAGCGAGTAAAATACGAGACGTGGCCAGGAATACTATTAACAATAGTTTAAAAAATGATCAGACTTGTGATGTTTCAAAATGCTCTAAATGCAGCACTTGTGCGTGATCAGCAATGCTTGGAAAATTGCTTGTTGGCTGTGGGTCCAAAGGTTTCACCATTGGCAGCGGCCATCGGTCCAAGCCATGTTGTTTCTGCAAAAGTTTTTTTTTTTTTTTACAGAGAGCAACAGAATGTTTACAATGTTGGAGAGTTGCTCTGCATCTTCTTCAGCTTCATCATATGAGCATGTTCCTTGTTAGTTTTTTTTTTATTCTATACAGCAAGCTCGTCGTATATTCATGCCTCGTTACATTTGACTTGCAACCAACGTGAATGGAGAGTTCGAAAAAATGTCGTATGGAACTTACCGACTCTAGTTGAGAGTCCAAACAATGGAGGGGAGAAAGATAAGACGGAAGAAGGAATCTTTCATTTGTCAATGTCAATATTGTGTGAGGTGGCTTTTCATTAGAGATGTCCGCAGGTTAAATTCTGAATGAAATGGTTGGCGTTTTCCTGTTAACGTGAAGTTAACCAGTACGCGGCTTTGCGACCACTTGCGTCTAATGAGACGTATGTAGCAATGATAAAATTTGTGATTTGTCGGTTAGTAGGATCAGAACTGATAAAAATGACCTTCGAGTAAAAAGAGCTTAATGCTCACCGGATCACACATTATCTTGCTCCGTGAGTACTCCTGCTCCCTTAAGTATTCCCCTCACTCAGCACTTTTGTGGCACACGCGGAAAAACAACTAAAAGTGCATAAACTCGGTAGAACATTATGCCACCGTCTACGTTGCATTGTGGTTGCGTGTTTCGACATCTCACGACCAAAGCTTTATTTTCTTTGCGTTTTTATAGTGCACACAATCATAAATGTCTGTACTTGTTTTACCATACAGTCTGTATCAGCGCGAATATGCACAAAGTTTTGTTTTGCAGTGAAACCACGTCCTCACAAGATGTACGGCAGTATCATCATCATCATAATCATCATCCTCTTCATCATCAGCTTGACTACGTCCACTGCAGGACAAAGGCCTCTCCCATGTTCCGCCAGTCAACTCGGTCTTGTGCTTGGTGCTGCCAATTTATACCCGCAAACTTCTTAATCTCATCTGCCCACCTAACCTTCTGTCTCCCCCTAACCCACTTGCCTTCTCTAGGAATCCAATTAGTTGTCCTTAATGACCAGCGGTTATCCTGTCTACGTGCTAAATGCCCGACCCACGTCCATTTCCTCTTCTTGATTTCAACTATGATATCCTTAACCCCGGCTTGTTCCCTAGTCCACTTTGCTCTCTTCTTGTCTCTTAAGGTTACACCTACCATTTTCATTTCCTTTCCAGGAGTATAACTTGCGCTACTTGCTGTGCTTGTTTCGCTGTCTCCTTTTATGTCGACGCTGTTTTCGGAGATGCTCCCATAGGCGTCAACTCACTCGTGTTTGCCATCTTGTCCCAGGACACCGTGGTTGCACTTCAAGCCCTCTCCGAGTACTCGATACAAGCGTCCACGGCTGCTCCGGACATTTCTGGCATGGTCCTGGCTGATAATACGCCACAACTTCTCCGCGTTAAAAGAGAGAACGCTGCTCTGTTACAGGAGTTTCTTGTAAGTGCAAGTTTCATAAAGATTAGGTACGAAACACCTTAAGAAAGACGGCACAATGCCTTTCCGTCCATAAACCGCTGCCCGGTGTCCACAGAAGTTGTAGACACCGAAACATCTGTGAACAGCTTATCAAAAAGGCTGTTGACCGAAACAAACAAAATGAAAGGCTGCAGCACCGGAGAAACGCGAACATTTAATAACTAATCAATCAAAGTATATAAAAGAAAAAAAACTTTACATGAACAAAATATAAGGCCACGATTCATGATCTTAATGCCCCCCTCTTCACTCCATAAGAACTCACGTCGTGAATATGCGTAGATTTTTCGTATTACACGTTTAAATGGAACTACTGGCATCGAAGACTCCGAAAGGTAGTGCCTAGGAACGCATTGAACTTAGCTTCATTTACCTACGTAAAAAAAAACTGATTCTCGGTATACAGAAACCAGTTTCACAGTGACCTGTGAGAACACAATCTGACGTAGACTTAAGCCACGCGGGGACAGCTTCCCACTACGTCCCCGCAGCCGAATTTGTCGTTCAATCTAAGTCTTCATGATAATTTTTATTAGGCTTGGGGTGGCTTGCATACGCTTGGCGACGAAAACTTTGAAATCAAGCTGAAATATTTTACACTTCTTTGCTGGCTCCGGTGTGTGGAAAGCACTTGTCAGAGAAGCTAAAAATGTCGCTTTCGCAAGGCCCATAAATTGTGCTACCATGTTTTTTTTTTTTTTAGGTTTTTGAAAGAGCACATGTAATTTGCTCCCAACCAACCGGAATTCGGGCATAGGCTGGAATGTTGTAAAACCACAACAAAACAGTTGCTCACATAAAAAGGTAGTGAAGTTAATTGTTGTTATGGATATATGCATATCATATTCGATCCATATTATGTATGAGCATGATACGAGCGTAAAAATGTGCACCTCGCTGTCGATAGGTGAAATCGCAAAAGCATCGAAAGTTTCCACATCTATGAATTGATCGACAATGCTTCTATGAGTTGGCGATGTTGCTTGCCTTGTGCCAACCGAGTAAAAAAGTGCATGCACTACAAACGAATTTCATTTTTTACTCAGATTATCAACGCCCGAGGAAAAATAGTCGTTAACGCCACAGGAACAGGAACAGCAGCGCTAAATGTGAAGCTGCGGTACAACGTCCTGGCTCCACCTCAACAAAACTGCAAGGTGAGCTTTTTTTTTAATTTTCTCATTTCTTATTGAACGACGTGAGAGCAAAGGTATATACGATTCTCTTCGTAGTTTGAAACAATAAAGACAAACAACTCGTAGTGAATGAAGCCACAACGATGTTTCTAAGCCGCAAGCATGTATGTATAGATTAAACAATTTTATGCACTACATATCCCTCTGTTGGTATCTAAACCACAGCAGCGGCAGTGTTTCTCCCTAAATATTTCAGTTTCAATCTCCCTATTTATATACTACTCTTAAACACAGCAATCTATACGGGTAGAAAAAGAGCGTCAAAAGTATACTGACGATCAAATGACACAGACCACGACGATGTTTTCCATCCAGACCACTTCCTGTATTTAAGTGCTGTTTGTGTACTCTTAATCATGACCACAAACCAATTCATCGCCGTAAACAGGTTTTTAACTTCTGTCATGACAGTTGAGTAAATGAATGATTGAGCAAGCAACATTCACAGTGAACGAACGGAGTCGCTTGTGGCTTCCTTGAGATGACATGAGCGACAACTTTAGAAGTGACGCTAGGGGAAGGGAGTTGTGGGGAGAGGGGCTGGAGCCTCCCTTGAAATATCGCCTGTCCTCCCCCATATTCTCCTCCCCAAGAGTAAACATGGTTCAATGAGAGTGCATGAGTTACTGCCGCCTACCACGACAATTTGGACAAACTTTGCTCTGTCTTTCTTGCAGTTTTCTGTTTCCGTGACAGCTGTAGTCTATCATGAGTTATTCGACCAGGGTCCTGGAGGAATATGCGACCTCGCTACGAGAAGGCTGGGATTGCTGCACTGTCGTAAGATAACAAAACGTCTATCTCGAACATCTCTAACACGTTATGCGAACCATTGGTTTCACGAAGATTGATTTGGATTTTTTTTCGTTAAAGTGTTTCACCTAAATCACATGCGAAAATGAACTTTGACGTTGAATGACCACACTGATACGTTTCATGATTTTCGCAGCGCTACCAGCGTCCAGACGTCGCGTTGGAAGAGCGACAGCCTCGGGTAAGAAAATGTACCGCTTTGCAATCACGTGCACTTCCTATGACCTTCTTCACAGCTTTCCCAAGGTGTGATAGGCTAAACTAAATTAAGTCCGTTAATTGAAAACCATGCGCCCATTAATACAGTTTTCTAATACGACTAGAAAGCGAAAGCTATCTTTGAATGGCGAAACTATTAAAGCTTGTGGGGAAACTTAAGTAAAACTTCTTTTGGGCCTAGTTGGTTCATAGCCATAGAAAATACTTTTACGACCTTTGCCTCATGCAGGCGGATAAAGAGGGTGGTTTTGTTGTTGTGGAAAAAGGCATTTTTAGCGAAAAAGCGCTGCAGGCTGTGTCAAAAAACTTTGCTCCTGTTGGGAAGCGGGAGGTGCGTGTGAAAACAAAATTCGTGGATTTTTGTAAGAAACTGGAATTAACATTGCTTGCGAAGAGCATCCAGAATAGCAGAGGGAACTCTTTGACTGTGTTTTTCACGGCGAAGACTCATAAGGCAGAGGTACCCTTTAGAACCATCGTCAGTGAAAAGGGGTGCTGGCAACACAATGTCAGCCTGTTTTTGCAGGAAAAATTGAAGTCACTGGTGTACAATGATCCCTTTCGTACAAAAAATGCAGATGATGTGGTGCACTTCTTGAGTAGGAATACCAATGTGGGTTATGGATTCTCAGTTGACATAGAAGATTTGTTTTATTCTGTACCCCAGCATGAGCTTATGTCTTCTGTGCAAGCGTGCATTGAGGCCTATGGGGCTGTGCCTTTTCAGAATTTTGCCGGTGTTTCTTTGAGCAATTTCTTGAGCCTTTTAGAGTTTTATCTTAAGGTCACTTTTATCGTTTTAATGACCAGCCATATTTGCAGCGTAATGGCATATGTATTGGTTCCTGTCTGGCGCCTCTGCTTGTAGATATTTTTTTAGCAAATGTGGATTGCTCTTTAAGCATAGGTTTTAGCGCGAGAAAGATTGTAAAGGTTTTTAGGTACGTCGATGATTTTTTGGTTTTATTATCTATAGACTCCTCCTACCAGGACTCGGTGACTAAGATTTTAGGTGATTTTAGCAGAGAAGGACGAGGTCTGGTGTTTACTTTTGAGCTCCCACAGAATGGTGTTTTACAGTTTTTAGAATTAAGGCTCGAGTTTTGTGAACGTCATGTGTGTTGGTCCTATCATCCACGCGCAACTAAGGACTTGTTACCTTTTAAGTCGGCGCATTCGAAAATTGTGAAAAGAGGTATTGCGATGGGGGCCATGGAAGCGGCGCTTAGAAAATCATGCACTCACAAGATGCACGATAGTTTCGCAAATCAGATCAGCCGACTTTTGGCTGCGGGGTTCCCAAGGTCGCTTTTGATTGCAGTGGCGGAAACGCTCTTCCAGAAAAAGAAAACTGCCAAGCGGGCGGACGCCGTACAGGACAAAGCGAGGCCTGTGGTGGTCCCGTATATGCATGGGATATCCCATCAGCTCAAGAAAGTGGCAGGCAGACATGGGGTCGCTATGGCGCTGTCTGCCCCGAACAAGCTTTCCAAGCTGTGCTCCCGCACTTGCGGTATGAACAGAGGAGGTTGCAAAATCCGACACGGTGTGACTTATGTCCCGTGTGCCGTCGGCGTGGTTTATGCCATCCCGCTCTCGTGTGGCAAGTTCTACGTCGGAAAAAACTGGAAGATGTATCAACGAGCGGCTCAGGGAACACGCTCAAAAAGTTAACAAGAACGAAGATAAAGGAGCCCATCTTGTGGCTCATATTAATTCTTGCTGCAATTGTGAGCCACGTTTTGAAGGGACGTCGATCCTTGGCAGGAGTAACAATGAACATGCGCTGCTGGCTTTGGAAGCCTATCATATCAGAAAAAGGGCTCAGCTTTGTATAAGCGACACGTCTCTGACGCTGCTCCCATCTGAGTTTCAGTTCATTTCATCACGTATGTAATACACGGTTTCATTTCTTTTGTCAACTCTGATTGTTCCTCTGAGTGTCTGTTATCTGTCGAGATGTGTGGCGCATGTGCGGTGAGGTTGCCCAGGAGGTATTTATGCATTGACATATCCCGAAATAAAGTCAGTTGTTAGTCAGCGCTGGTGTGTGTCGTCGCTTTCTTTGTGGATCGTTTTATGTTTGCGCTGTAAAAGTATTTTCTATTGTGGGGAAACGTCCGGCCGTCCGCACAACATTCTCCACGCCGTTGCCTAGCAACAACCATGCGACGGTTTCGCGCACCTGGGTTTAACCTCACCTAGCAGCGCTTGCGTCATGGAGCAGCCGCCGCCATGCCGCGCCCATCGACGGATACAGTTCGTGCAGCCGCCGGCGCGAGCCGAATAGGAGTAACAGAACATGACCTCCGAGATGGCGCACGCGCAGCGCCGCACGCCTGCAATTTCGAAGGCCATGGACAGAAGGTCCGCGCTGCTACGAGGAGTGCCACAGCCATGTTTGCGCGTGAGTTTGTGGCGCTGGAGTTTGGACATTCTTGTAAGTTTTGTGACAGTCTGTAGTTCGAATCTGCTCTAAATTGCATCAGTTAAGAAGAGTGTAGATTTGAGGGCTCGCTTTTCTTTGTTAGACACAATATTGGCGTGAAATAACAGACAATATTGCCAGAAAAAGTACAGGGGATTGCGTAAGAAGTAATCGTAATGTAGATGCGAAGAAAGAAAAGTTGACGGAAAGACAACTTGCCGCCGGCAGGATCCGAACCTGCGACCTTCAATAACGTGTCCGAAGCTGAAACACTGAGTGAAGAGGGCCACTTTAATCCCCTACGAGTGACCGTCGTTACTGTTTCTTTAGGCTTACGTGGCTAGTTTAAACTTCGTTTTTTTTTTAACTTCTCGGTCTGTTTTGTCGATCCTGACCCAGTGCTTTCCGCATCCGAAGTGTTCTTGGAATGCTTACATGATTACTAGAATCGGAAGCTTTTTGTGCCTCACTTGGTTTTGCTGTACTTCCACGATCAAGCGACGGTGTCGTGCGATGTCGCCTTCGTGTGACGCCACACATTTTGGTGATTTGTGACGTCATGATTCTCTTACACCATGATGTCATTGCATGATGATCATTTTTTGCATCACTCATGTTGACGACGCCCATTCCGACGTTCAGTTTTCGCGTTCGATAAGGCGCGTAAAGCTTTCACCCTGATTGATTGATGATTAATTGATTGATAGATATGTGGGGTTTGATGTCCCAAAGCCACCATATGATTATGAGAGACGCTTTAGTGGAGGGCTCCGGAAATTTCTACCACCTGGGGTTAACGTGCACATAAATCTGAGCACACGGGCCTACGACATTTCCGCCTTCATCTAAAACGCAGCCACTGCAGCCGGGATTCGATCCTGCGACCTGCAGGTCAGCAGCCGAGTACCTTAGCCACTAGACCACCGCGGCGGGGTAAGGCTTTCACCCTAATGACCTCAGCCGTTATTTTTCGGCCCCCAACAATGATTGCGCATGTACTAGCCGTTGTCATCTCTACGTATAGCTTGTACTTTTTCGATTCCTATGGGCGCAAGAGCTGCGAAGAAACACGGTGTAAGTCGTACTTTTACGTTCGTCGATAGTAAGTTTAGTGTGTACAGAAAAACGATGTCATTGAACACTGATTGATATGTGGGGTTTGACGTCCCAAAACCACCATATGATTATGAGAGACGCCGTAGTGGAGGGCTCCGGAAATTTTGACCAGCTGGTGTTCTCTAACGTGCATGCCATTAAACACTCCGGTTGGGCTTCAATTGTTTAGGGTCAAGCTTCTGACATTCTAGTAGATTTCCGTTACGCTTCATTAGCATGATGATTCACAAATGAAGAACACGTAGGACCTCTTTCCTTCTTTCAGGACGGCCAGGAAACAATTTTGACAACCGGCTCACCTATCAGATAAAAGTGTGCACGAGGTAATAGTTCCATTCTTATCGCCTTCGCTTTCTCTTTCTCACTATTCCTGCATTGTCTTATCCATTTCCTTCGGCGGTGCCTGCACGTAGGATGCAAAAAGAAAATGAAACAGGCTCTTTATTCACAAAGCACTATTACGCTAAAATTATTCTCAGCAAGAACATTACGAGCTCTCTAATGCGAAATTTTAGCGAAGCTGTTGGCGCGTTTTGATTTTTTTTTGTTCTTTTCGGCGCGATAAGCCTATGTTTCGACGGTTCAAGGTTAATATACGGCGCCATCTTGTAGCCCTATATTGCACAGCACTCTGCTTTCCTCCTCACACTACCGAAATTTATACTTTCCTAAAATTAACTAGAGAAGACTCTGCGCGCTGCGATCACTCAGCCACCACGGGAATGATGGGTAGCACCTCAATATGCCTAGTCTTCATGTTTGTGGGCTTCGAACGCAGTTGTGGCTTTGTTCATTAAATTGCTGTGTTTTGGTTTCGTTTCAAATAAAAAAAATTACTGTGACTTCGCGAGCCGATTTGAATTGGTGAGTCTAAAAGGTTAAGGTAATGAGTTGCAACTACTGAACATTTGCTGAACGTCGCCTTGCGACAAAACGGTTTCAGGCCTCACTGAGTGAAACGAAGCCGAAAGTAGAAAGACTATAGGCAAATTTGTGTACTACACGTCGTTTCCATGCTAGCTGAAATAGCGTGCGTTGCAGCTCCCGTAGACGCGAGCGTCAGAGTTCCCTCTAGTGTACTTTTAGGAAACTTTGTGTCGCAATCCACCCCGCGCTTCGCGTCTTCTTTCATCTTTCGTTGTGTTGCTTTTTTTTTTTCATTTAATGCTCACGAGGTCGGTTCTTATAAAACAACTCAAGGCTGCGCAGAAGGCCCGCGATGCGGCGGTGAGGCTCGTCCTCCCCGTCCCTACGTGAGAGCGGCCAGCGATCCTACCCTTATATAAAACGGGGGTGGAATCCTTCAGGACCCCAATAAAAGTTTTTCATACATCCATCCACTGTATACGATGGACGAGGCGCATGTACTAACTCCCAAAGCCGTAACAGGCTTCCAGGAGCGGGGCTCTAATGTCGGAGACAAACATTGCGCTAGACATACTACTTCCTTCTAGTTCCACGACAAGCGAGTTCCTACGAAGAGGCAGGGAGGCGAACTTATGCGTTGACGTTTTGTGGATTTTCGCTGCTGCAAGGGCCGATACCTGGCCAAAGAGCGCCAAGCAAATGGTCGCATATGGAGTTTCTTCGAATGACCCACTACCAACGATAAGATGAGACGGCCGTATAGGGGCCTAAAACAACTTGCTGTGAGAAGCGTATCATGTTTGTCCGATAAAAGTGTTTTGTGAGTTCATGTGTATGGCGTAGTATTAAGAATGGGCTGAAATAAAAGTTGCCAGTTCCTCTGGGCACAACGGCCTCGCCAAGCTCTCGCGCACGAGAGCATGGAAGCGTGTGCTTGTCATAAGTGATATCGCAACGTCGCTCTCACAGGGGAAGCACTTCTATGATCGTCATGGACCAATAATTTGCATGACGAAAAGCATCTTTCAAGAATCTGAGAACACATGCGACGCAGTAGTTCTTTGCCGAGGAATATTGTTGGGTGTAGTGCGTTACGCTTGGTGTAGACTACCAGAAAGTGTTTTTATGCGTTGTTTTCACAGTATTCATTTTGGGGTGAGGCGGGATGGGCAAGGAGATAGGTACCAGCGAAAGCAAAGGGATGGGGAAGGCCATCTCCTGTGGCGCCCTCTATCGATCGTAGTGCGCGCCCCCTGCACCTACGAGGAATCGGTGAGCAAATTTCGCCTCGCTTACTTCTTCATTGCAGGTACTTGGCTGGTAACGAATCGAACATGGCTATTGTGGACGTTGGAATTTTCACTGGATTCAAACCGAATACGGATGATCTGAAGAAAGTAAGGAATAAATTCACTATATAGTGCAAGGTGACTATTTTCCAAGCAACTAGAAGTCGAGTGGCTCATTTGGAAATAAACGCATTGTCATTTGGTGGTCTCGGTATGTACCATGCATCGGCTGAGTGGCTTTCCTTTTTGCGCCATTTCTGACGAGATTAAGCATAGGCATTTTTCACGACGAAACATAACCTTTTTACTTGACGTACTGACTGGCTGAATATTTGTGTCAGGGGCACTGCAGTCAAACTACACCCCCCCTCCGGCCCTCTAAAGGACATCACGATGCTCGTTTATGCCTCCAACCAGTGGCGTAGCCAGGGGGTGTCACCCCGGGTCCGTGTCCTCCCTCCCTCCAATTTTTTTTTCGTCATGCCATACAGAAAAAAACAATGACCAAGTTTTGTGCCCCCCCCCCCCAAATCAAGGAGTCCCCCCTCCCTCGAATAAAATTTCGGGCTGTGCCCCTGCCTCCAATGGATTGTTCTCAGTCAGTCAGTCAGTCAGTTTATTTTCCTTAAAGACCCCCAATGGGGGTATTACATAAGGGGTGGGAATAATATTTAACAAACGTAATCAATACATGGGTTTCAACTATATACATTTCTTCATATTACAAGGAAATATGCATGTACAATAAATAACACACGTAACCAACATGTAATTCAAAAAAGCACTTAAAGGTTATTTGTTAGAAGATGGTCAGTGACATGTTGTGCAAAAGAAGATGGACATATTATGTCGACAATGGAAAAAGGGAGGTCGTTCCAGTCTTTTGCTGTGCGGGAAAAAAATGACGCGAGAAATGTTGATGTTCGAGCGCGCATTAATGAAACCTGCTGCGTGTGGCTTGTCCTGGCTGATATGCGTGTTGCGGGTTTGATGTAAGATGGTTGATGCAGGATTGAACTGTGAAAAAATTTATGGTAAAGACAGAGAGAAGAAATGCGCCGACGAAGAGCGAGCGATGGAAGATTGGATAGTAATTTTAGTGATGTGACGCTGATGTCGTATGAATACGAAGAATGAATGAAGCGAGCTGCACGGTTTTGAACTGATTCTAGAGCGCAGATGAGGTATGCTTGGTGCGGGTCCCAGATGGCGGATGCGTATTCCAATTTCGGTCGCACTAGTGATGTGTAGGCAAGTAATCTTACTTGCATTGGAGCACTTTTGAGGTGACGTTTTAAAAAGCCTAAGGTTTTGTTAGACGATGAAATGATGTTTTGGACATGCGTACGCCAGATCAGATCGCTAGTCACGGTGACACCTAGGTATTTATAAGAGTTAGTCAGTTCTAGGGGTAAGCTGTTGATTGTGTACGGAAACATGAGCGGATTATTGCTACGCGTAAATGACATAGTTTTGCATTTATTTACGTTTAGTGTCATTAACCAAGTGGTACACCATTTCGAAACGTTAGTAAGATCGTTCTCTAAGGTTAACTGGTCAGAGGTGTTTAGTATTGTGCGGTAGACAACGCAGTCATCTGCGAACATACGTATATTACTGGTTACATGCAAAGGTAAGTCGTTAATATAGATTAAAAATAGTAGCGGGCCAAGGACGGAGCCTTGAGGGACACCTGATGTTACTGGGATGGCAGTAGACAGGTGGTTATTTACAGCGACGCGTTGTGATCGATTAGTAAGGAACTCTATTATCCATTTTATGACGGTGGGATGTAAATTTAGTTGGGAAAGTTTAGCGAACAATCGTTGATGAGGCACCTTATCGAATGCTTTAGCATAATCAAGAAAAACGGCATCAGTTTGTACGTTAACGTCGAGGTTAGTATGAATGTCATGCAAGAAGGCTGCCAGCTGTGTTTCACACGACAACCCCTTGCGGAAGCCGTGTTGTGAAGGGTGAAAAAAATTATTGCTGTCGAGAAAATTCATTATGTGGGAGTAGATGACATGCTCCATGATCTTGCAGGGGACGCTTGTTAGGGAGATGGGGCGATAGTTAAGTGGAGAGTTTCTATCGCCTGATTTGAAGACCGGAACGACCTTCCCTATCTTCCAGTCACATGGGATGATTCCTGAGGAAAGGGACTGGGAAAATATTAGAGCAAGAAAGAGCGAAGCACTCTCTTTAACATTTTTTAGAATTTTGGAATTGATACCATCCATGCCCGCAGAGGATGACAATTTCATTTTTTCTATTATAGACAATATTCCATTTGCGCAGAAATTGATTGCTGGCATGTCATGATTACAATTAAAGCCAAGTGAAGGTATGCGGGAGTGTATGCTTGGTTCATCAGTAAAAACTGTAGCAAAAGAAGCGTTGAATAGATTCGCACATTCCCCGTCAGTAATAGCTTCACCAGATTCAAGGGTTAGTACAGTGTCACGCGGTTTGTCAGCCTTAAGTGTTTTCCAGAACTGTCTGGGATTAGTCTGCAGTAGCTTGGGTAGGTCTGTGTTATAGAAGAAGTTTTTTGCTTTGCGCAGGGCTAAAAGATAATTGCGGTCAGCCTCATAGTACCTATCCCATACACTCGGTTGACCTGCACGTTTGGCAGATCGGAATAAACGTTTCTTTTTATTTTCAAGGCGTTTTAGATTTTTAGTAAACCAGGGTTTGTTGCAGGTGCTTGTGAAGCTGACTTTAGGTATGAATTTATCGGTTAGCTCCGTCAGTTTACCGATGAAGCGGGTCCAATTCGTATCTACTGTGTGTTGATGTAAAGTTGCTTGGAAAGTGTGGAAGAATGCGCTAAGAGCTTCGTTTATTGTTTCGTAATCCCCTCTGTCATATAGATGGATCGTTTTTTTGTAGGTTTCTCGTTTAAGCGGTTGAAAAGAAAAAGTGGCGTGAATTGTCTTATGGTCACTGATTTCGGGTAGATAGTGAATGCGTGACAGGCTTTCAGGATTGTTGGTTAGTATCAGATCCAGGACACTGGCTGTATCTTGCGATACACGTGTTGGCTCTGTGACTAGTTGGGTCATGTTGAAGTTTAGGCAAATATCAAGAAACGCATTAGCTTCACCTACACCCGTAGATGAATGCACATTGCTGGTGCGCCATTCTATTTGTGGGAAATTAAAATCACCGAATAAAAGTACGTGCGCGTTTGGATGAGCAGACGTGAGCTGGCACATGGCCTGATTAAGTTGGTTGCTAAAATTGGAACTAGCACGGGGTGGTCGGTAGCAAACGCCCAGTACAACGGACTGAGGATGTGCCTTAATAAGTACCCAGAGCATTTCTAGCTCTGTTTTAATATGTACGACTGAGCAAGATAATTGCTCGTGAACAGCAATGAGTACACCGCCACCACGAGTAGATGCGCGGTTATTCCTGTACAACTGGAAGTTTGGTAATTCTGACAGAACTTCGTCATCACGGATGTCATCAGTTAACCACGTTTCGGTAAGTAATAGCACATTGCTTTCAGAGGATGATACAGTGCTAGATATAAGTTCCCGTTTGGGTAGGAAACTGCGGATGTTAGTGTAAATAACAGAAAGTGAAAGAGTTTTGCTAGTAACCGCAACAGCGGTCGTTTTTTTTTCCCGGTGGCTTGATTGCTACGATAGTTCTTTGACGGTGTTTGATTCGGCGTCGAAAATGTAGCGCTTCTGATTCATGTGCAGTGTTTTGAAGTGCATTGAAAATGGCTTGTTGTTACTTCTCGCAAAAGCAATTAGTTGTTTTCTAGCATTTTGGACTGAGCGTGAGAAGTCTTCACCTATGCCGTAACTTGTCCCCTTAAGCTTGCGACCATTCGATAATATTGCAGTTTTTGTCTTGTGCAGAGCAATCTTCACGATTATGGGCCGGGAGCGTTCAGGTGAATGTCGACCGAGACGATGCGCGCGTTCGATATCTCTTGGTTCTAAGTGAACCTGTAGGTTGTCCCGGCAAAGATTCATTACCAGCCGCTCCGATTCAGAAAATGTTTCAGATGCGGAAGGGTCCGGGATACCGTAAAATATTAGGTTGTTTCGCCTTGAGCGATTTTCAGCGTCATCAATACGGGCTTCTAGTGCAAAGATTCTGCAGGAGGTCTGCTCCGTGTTAACGCGCAGGACTTCTATTTCTTTTCGAAGTGGTACCAGAGACTGATAATGACTTTCAAGGTCTGATAATCTTTTGTTCAGTTCGCCAATTGTTTTATCGGTGTTACCGAGCTGAGACTTCAAGCCCTGTACTTCTGCAATTAGTTGTGTTTGACCTGTAGACAGCTTACGCAATTCAGCAAGAAGGTTCTCAGAGATATTTGAAGGGCCAGGGTTAGTTTCAACATCTCCAGCTAGAATTAGTAGTGCACGAATTACATGGACACACTCGGCAATAATAACCATACAGCAATGCGGGCTTGGCAGCTGTACCAGAAAGTAATTACCAGATCTTTTCGAAAAGACAACGTAGGGCTCACCAACCTGCATAGCGGGAGCGAATTGATTAGTGATCCGTGCAGTGGCACAGACACCAAGCCCACAGCGCTCCGTTGAAGGTCCTTGTTCTTTTATAGGTGTCGGGCTCGTGGATGTCGATGATGATGCAACCGTCCAGGCTTGGTTGAGCTCAGCTGCCCAGAGTCCCTCTTCTGGTCGAGCCAGGCATTTGACGATAGGCAGAGGGCATGCGCTGCCTTCGTCGCTTCCAGGACAGCTGAAGCCATGTTCCGCCGGCGCTACCGCATGCGCAAGCGCAGGTAGCAGCAGATGAGCGATGACGTAACGGACCATCTGCATAGCGGGAGCGAATTGATTAGTGATCCGTGCAGTGGCACAGACACCAAGCCCACCTTGTTCAATGTTAAATAGTACAACCTGTCTCCTCTCCTAGGTTGTCAGCGATAATGCAGAAGTTGGAAAATACGAAGAACGGGATAACGGCGTCGTCTTTTACCTGCAAACGGTAGGTGCGTGATAGTGTTTCTTCAGGTGGATCTCGTTTTACAGCCAGATATTCGTTTTATCGTGCAAGTGCGAATGCAGCTGACGCACACATTATAACAGAACGTCCCGAAGTCGCTCTTTGTGGAAAATTTTCTATTATAAATTTAGGGCGCATATGACGTGCGCAACGTTACTACATTTGGTTATCTAGCCTTACATCTGTACTAACCTAAACTAGTAACGTTATTACATTCAGGTATAGGCAGCCGAATGTGGCGTATTAAGCTACGTGCGGAAGTATGAAATCAAACATGCACGAATTATTATAATTACTGTGACGGGTTCGAAGCAAACGAAAGAGCGAATCCAAACACTGTGATTGAGCAGGAAATATGTCATTTCGAAATGATTGGGACATCACGAAACTTCCTTGGACAAATACGCTAAAGCACCCGTAAAGTGATTGGGTATAATATGCGGCTGGAAAATATAATATGGCGTTGTCAAATAGTACTCCTCAGAGTACATTTACTTGTTGCAGGCAGAACCACCTTTGAAATGGATACATTGATCAATGTGAATGAACTTTACTTATTATTTTATTTATTGGTACCTCAAGGGTCCCGAGGGACATTACATGAGGGGTGGGTATCATAAGTAAAGAGAAAATGATGAACAATATAACAATAAACATCAATAAGACTAAAATACAAAATGTAGATACAAATGGCGGCAATACAAATAAGACAATCCATTTCACAAAGGCAAGTCCAAAGGCATCAATTCATGTATGTTCGATAGCATATCGGAAGCGTGTTGCATCACGCACATGGTAGTATGCATAATAAATGTTATGGTAGTTGGCATAATTCCTGCCGGATGAAAGATTCGAGCAACACCAGTTATTTTTCTTCGTATTTTTTTAAACCTTATCTGGCACATCATGGGTATCAGATTTATGAATATTGTCAAAAAGCATAACGCATAATTCAGTATTCATCATATTCACTAGGGTAATCATTCAATTGCAACACGGTGTTCTTTTGTGTTTGTTTCAGGTGAAAGCTGTCACCGAGACCTGTCTAAAGTTTCGGATTGAAAAAGAATTTGATGTGACGAATCTTCAGACTTCGACAGTGAGGGTGTACGATTACTACGATGGCAGCGTTTCTCCATCACAGTCCAACGTTGGTGCGTTTATTTACATACACACGCATAGCAGTGAACCTTCATTAGCATATCGCGTGCTGGCTAATTCGCATCCATGTTTTCGTCAAGGCTCATCTTGCAGCAAATCCTACGGACCGGAGTCAGCGAGCTTTTCGGTTAAGCTTTTCTGCGATGGAAATATGTGCAAGTGCGCTACAGGTAAGCACACAAGGAGCACTGAGCTATAAAGCACTCATATGCGCCGCTTGTCCAGTAGTCTTGTATGGACTCCTATGACTCGTATACGTTCTCGTATGGTTATATCACATTAGTGGGTATCAGTGCCACGTGTCATGATAATTTCATCTTGATGGGAAGTTTATAAGGCAGTATATTCGGTGAACCATAATGAAGAAATATGACGTCAGACATGTGACGTAGAATGTGGGCCGATCTCAAAAGCCATGCATGTTAACAGTGTCTAATTAAGGCGTGGAACCTCAGCTGTCGCACTTAAATACCACCAGCACTCGTTAGCGCCGAATACTGCTGGCTATGATGTTGCCTTATGTTGGTTTAACCATTACTGATTTAATTTACGTCCTTGTAAAGTTGGCTGAGGATGGTTAAGCAGTTTCTGATTTTGATTATAATGTTGTTCGTACGCTGTTTTAACACCAGCGTTGCTTTAATTCCGTCTCGGCCTAGGTTAACATGCCTACAATACACATTTTTTTTTCTTGTCTACGTGTTACCATTTACACAATGCTCGTACATACAACGGATGCCTCCACGACATCTCGCGAGTAATTATCCAATCGCAACGCGTGGGTCATGTTTGTGCCGCGATTGTTACAGCAGAAATAAGGCAAACTTCTAAAACTCCGTATGCTCAGTTCTAGGTTGCAACCGGTGCTTTACACCTGCAGATAAGTTGGGCTGTTTTAGTGCTGCTCTTGCATTATTGCGTTCCCTTTGGTCGCCTTCGCTTTCTTGCGTTCCTTTTGTCGCTTTCACGTTCTTGAGTTCCTTTGTATTCTCAACTGCAGCCAGGGAGAATGCGATGCCGCTCAAAGGCTTGCACCCGCAAGCCGCTTTGAAGCCCCACCGCTAAAACTGTCTATCCGATCATTCCAGCGACTAGAGGCGGCGCAGCAGTATAGGTAGAAATAGCGCACGAGACGGTGATGTCACTGCGTGTGCGTAAGCGTCGCAGAGCGTGAAGACGCGTTCATTGGTTCATGACTACTGAGAGACCGAACTGCGTCGCAGTTTATCGCCGTGCGACAGCCACGGAGCACGGCTACGTGGCGCCGCATGCGTCGCTGAAATGGAGAGCCTTCATGTGCGCGCGCCCATGAAGGCTTCCTACGCTGGAATGGCCGAATTGCAATTACAGACGCACATTCTGATTAAACTCGTAGCCAAAACATGACGCCACCAAAACAAGTGCAGAAAACCCATTTAGGGCTTAACGTCACATCTATTTTAAAAATGAGGCTTTGACCTTTGTATTCTCACATATTAAAGTGGCCATGTGACAATTTCACAGCATGGTCGCGGGAAACACTGCCGATCGGTAGTCGATGCTCCTGGAAAGACGTGAGCCAAAGATAAGAGCGCAGCACGATGTTTGTAATTTACAATAAATTCTCAAAGTCAGCTAGAAAGAATTCCATTTTCTTTCTACAAATGATGCCATATGCACGAATGACCACGCTATATGTCCTAATTCACGGCCATCGGAGGATTCAAGCATCATGCATTACGCATTTGAGCTTAACATTATATCACATCTCTAGGGAGTGTGACCGAAGGCCAGATAATCTGAAATGTTTGTTAGGCAACACCATTGTAGAAAGGAGCAATGGGAGGCACAACTTGTCAGCTCAGACCCAAAGGTGGAGTTTGCACTTCTCAGTCAAGTTAGGCCAGTGGCGCAAGCCAGTGCGGTCCTGGTCTCATAGCCCTAACCAACGTGACCCCGAGTATATAGCCCTTTTCTACCTCTTCCCTCAAAATAAAGCTGTGTTTTTTTTTTCTAGTTACCGTGGCCTCCCCGTGTTCGCGTGCGTGTTTGCTATGCCACCAAACGTAAGCCGCGTGTTCGAAGGAAAAGAAAATCAAGAAAAGCGCTCAAGGTCATGACGTGCGCGTGACTTTGACTACCCTGCCAAGCTTCCAGTGCGCTCGTCGGGACGAGAGGAGATAGAAAGCTATTGCAGCATGCGACGACGAAGACGACGGTGGTGACGATGACGATGACGACGACGCTGATGATGATGATCATGATGATGATGGTGATGATGATGATGCAATGATGATGATGCCTTTACCATGACTCGCGGTAGAGGCCGTCTCCGGGATATCATGGGGATCTCGCTCTCGGGTTCAACTACCAAAGGCGAAGAACCTTAAGGATCCCCGATTTTTCGCCCACTTTTCGTGGCTCACCATATCTCTTCCCATGGTTAGAGTGGCGTTTAAAAAAGTAATTTACTCGTACAAGTGGCATAGTCTTTCTCTTTGGCGTTCCTTTGCCTCGAGTGGAAGTTCTACAGTTACCTTATGCCCGTAAATGTGCTCGGCGTGGCCAGGAACCGTAATGCAGACGCGCTCTGATTTTCGTTGGCGCGGAAGCGTGTGCTTGTATGCGGCGGGCTTAACACCAATGCCTGTGCTCCTGTGTACAGTTCCAGATATCTTCCATATCGATAAGGCCTAATTATCTCATTATTTTGGTTGCCCCCCACAGCGGAGTGTCCCGTCAACGAAACCTTCAGTGACGTCATCAAGCCTGGAAGACCACACGTGGAATCGAACAAGAAAGCACTCGAAAAGATCGCATGTGATGATCATGATTATGGCCAGTATTATTTTTTTTATCTGCATGAGTGTATAATTGACTTAGTGATGGCGTCATAGTAGTAGTAACGTATAGTTACTACTGCTACTACTGTAATAATAATAATAATAATAATAATAATAATAATAATAATAATAATAATAATAATAATAATAATAATAATAATAATAATAATAATAATAATAATAATAATAATTTTTAGAGTTTTATTTGGCAAGGCCATTATATGACCATGTTGAGGAATGCTCCGGAAATTGCGACCACGGGCTGTTCTTCAATGTGCCCTGACACCGTGCAGTACACGAGTCTCGAGCAATTTGACAGTCTCGAGCAAGAACATTAACAAACGCACTGCCGAGGTGGACCGCATTGCGTATGCGTGCATAATTAATTAGATGACACGCTCAACGTGTGTGAATATAAGAACAAATGTGGCTCGAAACTATGCAATTCTGGGAGCACGAAAGCAAGATTTGTAATCTTAAAGAACGCGCCGTGGGGCTATAGTCGGTCCACTTTTATCAGCATACCGTAAATATTAAGGCCTTTCAGAGCTCCCATTCACTTCTTCTCTGGTTACTTGTTATCGCTGAACTTGTAGCCGTAATATTTATGGTCTGGATTTGTGAGAGAAGATTGATTGGGTAGACTTTTTTGTTTGTTTGTTTTGTCTGCTATACACAAGCATTAACGACGCTAAGGCAAGCATAGCGAGAGTTACTTTGTGATTGAAAGTTAATTTGATTATGACTCGGATCTTCTATATTTCTTAGCCTCTGTCGACACAGTAGTCCAGATATCCACGTTTCAAGATTATTTATTCGAAATACATGTGGTACATTCCAAATGTGATATATAAGAAACAAGCGAGGCATCAAAGCCGCGAGAGTGAGACAAACCTTCCATCAAATCACACATCGGGGAACAGCGCTATAGCAAACGAAACTAAAGATAGAAAGATAACTTATTCGAAATGTTGAGGCAAGGTAAAACCATTCCATGAATTTCTGTGAAAAGCTCCATGCTTGGAACTTTTCAGTCTTTGATAACTGTCTTGTTCTTCTCTCTTTGTGTTTCATGGATTGATGTCTGTCTGCTCTTTTTTGTTCGTGCGTGACAACCGCGGTTAGGTCCGGTAACGCATATTGCTGGAGCCAATCTCGGAGGCCATGGTTTGCCCATATTTGCATGACTCACTTCTTCTATGATTCCGCTTACTGTCGTTCAAAGCACAGACAGTTTAGCACTCCACGTATTAAAGTTGATCATGCCAGACACAGTTTGGTAATATTTTAATAAATAGAAGTACAATATGACAAGCCATATAACACATTTTAGGCGTGTTGAAGCAATGTTCTAAAGGCTTTAATATTTATATCGCTGGTGCAGTATAACCCCAAATTCGTACTACCAGCGTCAAATGAAATGCGAACAGCGGCAAGCATTAGCAGGGGTAAAGTGCGTGGCATCTATAGTCACCACCATGGACATGCGCATTTATGCCAAACCAGAGTGATGTGCGCTTTTCAGTGGGAACAACTGGACGGCGCGTCATTCCTAATGCTTGCCGTTGTTCGTGATTCTATTTGGCGTCGATAGTTCGTTAGGAATCTGCATTCTCTATTCATGATAGATTATGTATATTTTGTCTATTATTTTTCAAGAACAGAACCACCTAGCGGAGTACAAAAATTCCCCTACTTGCTCAATATAGCTTCAGTTCGCTTTTTTTTTTTTCTGCAAATAGCGGACTGTTGCAGTGGTTTGTTGGTGTGCGTGGAAATTGTCGTTACCTAACCTCATTAATTGTTCTGAGTTTGCATTCGCTTTCGCTTCCCGCAGTGTGGAAAGGCAACGTGTCTGCGAACTACGTGATCGCAGGTTACAGGCACATCGCGTTCTACATCGACAAAGTTATCAAAGAAGGTAAGTGCACAGAGTTTGCTTATGGCATATTCGCCCAGCACGCAAAACCGTGTATACACAGACAGGTGTAGCCAGGTTGCGGGAAAGGGAAATGAGCCTACGGAGTGATGTGAGGAGGAATGATGGAGGTCGATCACAAAGCGTATCATAGCTGTGCATAGTATATTAAAGCAAAGGGGTAGAAAATGCAAGTGAGGGTGATGAGAAAGAGAAGGAGGGCGAAACGTATCAATTCTTGCCTTCACTCTAAGTAGCGAAGGTAATGATTGATATTAAGGGTGAAGAAAGGAGAGAAGGCATAAGCGTGCATAGGGTTTCCCTTCAGAATGGGGGGGGAGGCGAAGGTTCCTCGCAGCGCCCCCCCCCTCTCTATTATGGCAATGTATGGGGCTGAACCTGACACAACGCCCCCCCCCCTCTCCCTCCCCCTTGCCCACGCCTATGGGAGAGGGTGCCACTGCACAACACCCGAACGCCACGTATATAGTCGATAGTTGCAAGGTCTGCGCGCTCCGACCGTAACGTCCCAGACCTTGTCCGACAGAGACGGACGCTATCAGTCCGCGACACAGTTTGCGCGTTCATGCAGTGGCATCGTTGGACGCATTTTGTCAGTCGACGCTGTACAAAACGCGAGAAAACCCAGCTGAAGGACGAACGCTGCAAACGGGGCCGCCATTCAACGCCGCCGCGGGCGATGGCATCTCTGTCCGTCGGACAAGGTCTTTGACGTCCTCGGAGGGAGCGTGCAAGCCTTGAGTCTTGTCTAGGTGGCGTCGCGCTGTATCAAAATCAAGGGCTCACTTTCGCGCCATGGGGGCCCAACAGGCTGCACGGTTGTAAAAACAGCGCGTGCTTGTGAGATAACGAAAACGTCGCTGAAGGACAGGCGTATCCTCGACCCGCGCCTCCATCAGCTCTCACGTTCAGTACAACTGTATACACTTTCGATATTTGTCGTTAGTTTCAAATAACCTTAATGCGCGCTTCGTTGACTAGTCTTTGAACTTCGATCTTTAGGGGAAGAAAACGAGACTATAAAGGGCCAGACGAGACTACTCGTCGGCCGCCAGCTGTGCAACACGTCAAACCTGGACGTCGGACGCGAGTACATCATATTCGGCAAGGACAGCGACCAAGTCATTGACGGAGACACGAGGTGAGAGTTCCGTAAGTTTGCGCTTCGTCCGTGCAGCTGGGTATATGTGGTCGTCGCACCCGAATACTGTCGTCTAGTCTATTATAGCGGCGTAAGTGAATGCTTGGTTTGTGGTCGTGAACTTGAATGGACATGTGCATGAGCTGTGGTGTCTGCCTCTTTTTTTATGTATAATGATTTATCTACGATCGTTTTTATCGTAATGTTCCTTTCATATTTTTTTCTGTACACCAATAAACACCGTTATAAACCATTATACGGAATCTGTTTTTCAGTTTTGTAACAAAGACGCAACGGAACATTTCTCGGTGGCACGACACTGAAACCGAAAATGAAAACATCTTCCGACAACCTGACATAACATGCGGTCCTACAAGAAAGCTTGAGTGCCAACGACTCCCCTTCTTAACCTTTGGTCGGTTGCCCAGATGTCTCGTTTGAGTGCCCGGATAACGGAGCTGGCTTCTTGCGCAAGGTCACTCGAAGGCCACCAATTCACAACGGGAGCTGGGATCGAATCCCGGCTGTGGTGGCTGCATTTTCGATGGAAGCGAGAATGCCGTAGGCCCGTGTGCTCAGATTTGGGTGCTCGTTAAAGAGCCACAAGTGATCGAAATTTTCGGAGCCCTCCAGTACACGGCGTCTCTCATAATCATATGGTGGTTTTGGGACGTTGAACCCCCCATGTCAATCAATACAACGGGAGCTAAGAGCGTTTTATGTATGGCTAAACAAACTTCCTCTGAGTGAGAGTTTGTGAAGCCAACAGTTTATTATCTGTCATTGTGTGAGCGCTGGTCAATGTTGCGTAATGTTGAAATGAGGTAACAAACGTTGGTTAACGCTGGTTACAGTTGCAGTGCTGCATACATTTAATCTCATTTCAGTAATTCAGTCGTGTGCCACACTGTGCGTTTTCCCTTTTCCTGCACTGTGACGACGTGACTCACGTGAATTATTACGTCGTTGTCACTGACTGATTTCTGTCAGTTTTCTTTTCTTGCTTTTCAGTATCAGGTATCCGTTGAATCATAAAGTTCGTGTCTACGACGTGGCAAGGGCACCGAAATGGAATAAGAGAACCATTACATGGCTCTCTGAATACTTTCCCCGAAATGGAGGCTGCAATGAATAAATATTTCATAATGAATATTTACTCTGTTCTTTCGCTTACGACTGTTAAAATAAACGTACACACGCACGAGCCGCCCTTCTCAGCCCGCGTGCGGTGGGCCAAATCTGGGCAGTCCAGCGAGCCAGGGCTATCGCCGAAGACATCGCACGATGCTCAGCGGACGACAGCTCCTGGAGGCATAGCCCGGGCCAGCAATTCCTCCTTGGATCCTAATAAAGTTTATTACCTATCTGCCTACCATGCTTCAGGTATACTTCGAATCGGTTTTTCTTTCAGCTATGGAGCACGCGATGGCTTCGTCTATGCGGCTTCATAAGTAATGGACCGGCATAGAAAGTCGAAGAGGTTCTGATTAAAATGAACTACGTTTTCGGCGGAATACGAAGTGCTGGCTGTGCGCGTAGTGTCGTGCTTATTACCGTTTATTCCTTCTCTATGCTCTAGTTTTTCTTTTTTGCGAAATTTTAACGTTCGTGGGAATATGTAAGAAAATTTAAAAAATGCTGGAGTTAGCGAAAACTATACGCAGCTTCGACGAGTTGATGGCATCATTTTTAACTTAGCCGTTACCAAACATTCCATAATGGATGCCAGAGAGCAATTTGGAACCAAAGCTAAACTCGCAGCACTTACCTTTACCCAGCCACTATAGCTTTACCGACGCTCCACCTCTCGCCATATGAGGGTGGTTGACTGTAAGCAGTATCTGCAGTGTGGTGTCACGAGGTTTGGGTATACCTCGCTAATGCCGGGTAATCTCACACGCATCGGAGGCCGTGGTGTCCCAAAGGATTCCCGCTAACCACCTCTAAGCGGTGCAATTGATTTCCGGGTCAGCCCCCTCTTTTTGGAGAAAGAAAGCTTTGATCATCATCATTTGCTCTACGCCATTCTTCGCTCTTGCGACTGGGCTAGCAAGTGTCGACGAAGGATTACCAAGGATTTACCTCGACTTACGACAGCTCTGCTTCTGATACTCTTCCAGAGGGTGGCTGTGACACAAACTTAACAATGGCACAGGAGCTGCGCATGGGCCAATGTCTGAGGCAAGAAGGCAGCAGGAAAAAAATAGGAGCTTGGTCAACAAAGCGAGCGAAAGACAGAAAGAAAATAAACATCTTCATTTTTTAAGACTTTAAGCGAGAATAGGCGCCTTAGCTCGTGTCTATCTCTGCAGGCACTCGCGACCTGCCTTAGCTGATGCTTGCACGGCAAAGAAGTCGTGCTATTCGGCAGGTCTTTATTATAAAAGAGGAGGGCACGTCACGTTATACACGTATTTTGTTGTCTGTGGATGGGTTCCAGCTCTCAACAGCATAGTCTACGCTGACAACTCAGAAGACAGCATCGATCCCGAGTCATCCCAGTAATGGAACGTGACCTGATGACGCCTGCGCGACATGAATCTAGATCACGCCGACGAGAGAAAGCTGAAAAAAACCAACACAATCGCTATATATTTAACTTCTTTCAGGTTTGAATTTTATAAAGAGAACTGAACTTGAACGAAAAGAAAGCGATAGAAAGCTTGTACTTGTGGGTGACGGAGCAATGCTTCCTCCGTGTTGTGAACAAATGACTCCACCGGCGATCATTGTTCGGCAAATAAATTTGAGCTCATTCAAACTCACTGAAAACATATCTTTTTGTTTTTCTATCGGGACTCTTTCGTACTAAAACTCGCCAAAGTTTTCCTCAACCTGACCAAGTCGGACTCAGACTGACGAAACTTTTTCTCAACCGGACACACTCGGGTCACTGCGACGCTCGGGTCAGTGGCCGAGCATCTTAGCCACTGCGCCACCGAGTCGGACGAAGGTTCCTACAGTCGCCGCGCTAATCCTCACGCCAGCAGGATCGGTGCAAGGGAACTGAGCCGACTCAACGCGGAAGCTATGCGCCGTGGCACACGCACACTAAGCAGCAAATGCGTGCCCAGAATGTCATCTTCATTTCTATTTCATATTAGTATGCAATTCAGCGCTGTCCACGTATCTTGCGATAAATAATGCGCTTTCCTGTAAACTCAACTCCATTTCCCTCCTTCTCTTTCGTGGAATCTTACGCGACAGGCTGACGGTGGTTGCTGATAACGCGCGCTTCTTTTTCAACCCCGAAATACGAAACCGAAAACAGATAATGCGACCGAGACTTCGCTAACCCGGTGTTTTGGGTGATCCCCGCTTTGCCCTCGACACCGATAACAAGACTTCCGTCATGCCTGTGTTGTTCGCATGCCACCCGGGGCCGTCGCTGGAGCACACTCCGAAACGGCGAGCAGTTGCGAAGATGGCGCTGTCTGGGAAACATAGACTGTGGACCCTTTGGTTGTGCTTCGTCCTTGCGGCGCCGGCGTGAGTTTTTTCTGATGCTTCTTATGCACTCTATTTAAGAGAGAGAGAGAGAAATGAGCAGCGTTTATCGGAACAGCAAGTGTAAGATGAGTTATATTCTCTTGCTTAGATGGTAGCTAGGAGTGCTTTGGACGCAGTGGCATCTTCGGCTTGCCTGATCACTTGTAGCTATAGTTTTAGATGTTCGAGCTAAGCAGCACGGTCTCCCACTGCTGCGCGTTCAGATATGCGGTGCTTTTCCCCTTCGCAAGGTTAGGACAAGCACATATTGCTTTTGAGGCACGCCTGCTGATTCCAGAGCTTACATGTGCTTGAGTAAAGGTCCGGGTCACATTTATTATAAGCGATTGGGTTTGACCAGGTGATCGTTTGTAATAGGCGCCGTACTGTCACCTGCTGCGCGAGGAATGCGATGAAGGGTAATGCTGCATCCCTGATATAGTAGTGTTTATCGATTTTCTTGTACTATTGCAATCTCATGGAACGCTAATAGTGGAGCACGTGGCCAAAATATTAGCAAAGCTAGTGTGCCCCGTCCAGTCATCACCACTCGCAGGGACACACATCTGCTTCGGCAGCACTGCATGATCCCCTGTAGTCCGTTTTGTGTGTGTGTGTGTGTGTGTGTGTGTGTGTGTGTGTGTGTGTGTGTGTGTGTGTGTGTGTGTGTGTGTGTGTGTGTGTGTGTGTGTGTGTGTGTGTGTGTGTGTTCTGATATGATAAGATATATGGCGAAGATATATTGCCGGTATGCCATCTGCATTTGATCGTTTCACTTTGATTTTTTCTCAGTTATCGTTTACTTTTTTTAAATTCATTTCGAATATCAGTACTATATTAGAGGCGACAAGTTGGCACTGTAGGGAGGCCGCGCAGTGCGATCGAACCAACCGGATGTGCGCGCCTGTCAGTGGTGGTGACTGGACTGCGCTCGCTGTACCTTTGCTACGACTTGATGCACGCTCCCTGCTGTTCGTGTTTCACTTGACGTCCACACAAAGCGATCTCGCGCTCTCTCCGCACGGGACTTCGCGCCATTTTTGCACTTGTCCGGCTCGCTAACTCGTGAGCAGAATGACGCTGTAGAGGTCAAAAGTCTGGGGAACTCCCAGACGTAGGCGGGGAAAAACATAGTTGCACTGCAGGTTGCAAACACTTGTATTTTGGTGAGACAAAAAATTCCGAAGAAAGTTGCGGGAACATTTTGGTGACGGGAAAAACGGGGCAGTCGTCCGCAATGCCCGTGCAGTGCTTGTGCACTGGGCACGAAATCGACAGGAGTGACACCCGCGTCAGCGCCATTGGAAGATGGTTGTTTATGCGATTGAAGTTGGAATGGTTTAGCCATTCAGACTACTCGCTACGTGGCGTAGTGGTTATGGGGTTCGAAGGCTGACGTCGCGTTATCAAATCCCGGCCGCGGCGTCTGCGTTTCGAAGGAGGCGAAATTTGAGAGGCCCGTATGCTTAGATTAAGGTGCATGTTAAAGAAGCTCACTTAGTCGAAATTTACAGAAAGCCCCAATCCGGCGTGCATCTTAATCACTTCGTGGCTTCGCCACGTAAAATCCGAGCAATTAGAGTAAAAAAATTAAATTTCCGAAAATGCAGGAACCGTTGGTCAATGCGGAGTGCAGCGTAGTCGAGCGCGATATGAAGGTTATCGAGTGGGAGTCGAACGACCTAGCGTGCTGCAACGATCACCCCTACGACCTAACCCATTACAGAGTGTTTCAAGTTCGTCGAATCTTATCTGCCTGGACGATAACGAAATTGCGGGTATAGATCTGGTGAAACTTGCGGTTGGCCCCGCTTTGTTTGAACGTCTTGTCAGGTTGAATAAAATGTATCCCAACGTCATAAAAAAAGATAAAAAATGAAAATGTGCCTTCCTCAGACGGAAGTGAGTACAAGAACAGCAAAAAAGAAAGATAGTGCGCGAAGCTTGCTTGGTTTCTCTCTATTCTCTTAGGAACATTCGGGGCCATCGCACTGTTGTAGGGTCTTGGTCGATGCTCAAAAGATGACTTTCAAATCACGCTTGCTTGTACAGGCGCAGTAACCGCAGTTAATGGTGGGCGTCAAAAAGCAACGCAATGTAGGGTGCCTTGATGCCCGCGCGCTCCGCTGAGGGTGAGGACAGCCGCGTCGTCTGCTACGACGGCCGCCATTACGGCTCCTGCCGTAGTGGGGCAGCATGCGATGCGCATTACCGCTTGCGGTGCTCGCGTATGGTAGGAAAGAAGTACTCGTTGGCGAGCTTTTTTTTTTTTTGGTGCAACTTGGACACCTCTTAGTGCGGTTGTTGCCTAATTGTTAAATGGAACAACGCACGTCGTACAAACTGGTGGCCTGTGCTTGTACAATGCGCCAGGGGCTGACATAGACTGAATGAAATGAGCCACGAACTCCCACGCCAGAAAGATTCGCGTTAAACCGTTGTCGTCGTTAAGACGGAGGGGCGCATGAACTTTTATTACTACGCTTGCTGAAAGGAATGCAATATTTGGGTCTTTGTGAATCAGCCGAATAGCAAAGGCAGGAATCGCTGCACTTTATATACTTGCGTGTATGTGTATATATAACACACACGCACACGCACACACACACACACATTATCTGACATTCGGTACCACCTTCCCCTGCCTCACCATTTCATGCACTGTGCAGGTAGTATACCCGAGAGTAACATGCTTTACCAGTGTACCTTTATGAAACGACACCCACGATTTCAGTGAACAGGCCATTTATTTGTGCGCCTTAATGCTGCGTTGTCCCACTAGTGAAAATCAAAGTCAGATACAAGACAAACCAAATGCAGTACGAAATGAAATGTTTAAAAATAAAAAATGCAAGAGTCAAAAGCGTGCCCACGTGAGCCGAAACCTTTTAAGCATACAGCTTATCTTGGCGTGTCCATTTCTCATGAGAGGTTGACGCCGGCACATGTTTTGCTTGCATGTCCATTGCAACTCCCGACTGGAACCTGCCGAAGGTGAATGCGCAGCCTTATTCTTGCGTACCTCTCTGTGAGCAGTCGGTATATACTGTCCTCGTGCTCCGCGCATACACACAAGCTGCGGCGGTGCACCTTGTTTAGGTATGCGGTGAGTGAACGAAGCGGCGACTTCATCGTGACTACTTTGTCCGTGCACCAAGAGTTTATGGCAGCAAAATGCTCCTCATAGTCTATCAAGGCTTTCATAACTCCCTTGCTGGGGTAGATGAGGTTGCCTCCATCTGAAACGTACTCTTTCAGTGCTGTCAGCGAAGCATGCTCGTCGTTGGCAGTTCCAAGGAGAGCATCTTTGCATTTTGCGCACTTCACAGATGTCAAAATTCCCTTCAAAATAAATCCTCCTAGGTAAAAGAGAATACTGCATTCTGTGGACGACAATCCTTCGATGAACAAAATCTCTGAATCATCGATTTCTTGAGCTTCCTTCTCGACGCAGGCTTCCTTCCCCTGGGATAGCAGGTCCACCAGGTACTCCCTGTCATCAAGCTCGTAGCTGGTCGTCCTCGGTGTATGCAAAAATTGGCTTACGCTCACCAGTCTCAGAGCGCACTTGAGATCGTAGGCATTGGGAACCGGCTTCATAAGCCGCACCACAGAAAAGAGGTTCTCTAAGCAGTCCTGCAGGAGCCTGCTCGTAAGAAAAAACTCATAGCCTTCGTCTCCTAAAAGAACGTCTTGGAGGCGAAGTACAACTGTAGTTGATATGAGTACACCTGCTTGCGACGGTTTCCAATGGGATGTGGCACCCATTTTCATAGTTCTGATGGTTTCTATTGCTGTGTGTAATGTATCTAGGGCTTCGGAGTACTTAGCCCTACTTCTCCGACTCAGGGCCAGTGTTGGATGCCGCGAAGACATCAGTGCATACCATTTTGAAATCAGCTCCATGAACCAAGCTGTTGTTTCTGCTTCCTGTTTAAGAACTCCTTCCTTTATAAGGAATCTGATAGCTGGGGGAGCTTCCCGAAAAAGTTGTACAGCGACACCAACCTTCATTTTGGTGAAGTGGCCTGCGCTGGTGTGCATTTCGGATAAGTTTGGGGCTACCTTCAGTTCTCTTTTAGAATCTTCTTCGAGCACAGCCTGAACATATTCCAAGTTGACTTGTGAAGAAGGCAGGCCATGTTTGGCAACTGTGGCCTTACTCAACGTGAAAACTTCTGAGCTCAAGAGCTGGCCTCTGAGGTTCTTCAAGACGTGAGCCGGATCAGCAATGAAAAAAAGTTCCTTCCCGTCCATGCACGGATGAGGTATGGAGCACACCGTGGAAGAATCTCTGTGACTGGAAAAGGCGAATTCCCTCCACATTGCGCGGTTTGCCGAGCCCATGTCACATGTGATTGCGTGAACTCTCAGATATATTTGACTGCACAGCTGTACTAGTTCCAACACATAGTTTTTCAGCAAGCCGCCATCGATGTTTCTTCCGGTAAATTCATATGCAATCACCTGCTTCCATCGCTGGTTAAGTCCGCCTAACATAAATACCAGAGCATGAACCGCAGGCTCTTCAGGCTTCGGAGGAAGAGTTATTCCTCCGAGAAGTGCGTCTTCAGCCCGATCTAGCTCAAACCCCGGCACTATCTCCATTTCATCCAAAAAAAGGACGCAGTCCTTTTCTACATCCTCCATGGTCTCGGCTTTGCATTTCATAACGTCTATCACTTCGTGAAGAACGCCTGGGAGAAACTTCAAATTTTGAATCCTCCGTGCGAGCGTTCTTTTGGATGGGAGAGGATATCCCATTTTTCTCAAAGTTTCATATCCGGTTGTTCCACAAGCAAACTTAATTTGAAGGCCTTGCTTGACAGTGTGCGGAGACCAAGAGTTCCCCAAACTGCTGCTCCTTGAGAGAGCGCGTACTTGATCGTCGTTGAGAAATTTCATATTTTGCGAAATATTTGTTGCCTCAGTCTCGAGTTTTTGCACTTTTTTCTTGAGACCACTAATGGTGTTCTTGGCTGTGTCATGATGTTGCTGAAGTTCAGAGTACTTTCTTGTAAGGTCAGCAAGCTTCTTCTTCAGTTCTGCTGATTCTGCAGTAGAATTTGATGTCTCACCAGCCGCTGCATTAACTTCTCTTGAATCTGCATCACTAGTGTTCGCTGACAGTTCAACAACGGCGTCGTCAACTTCCATGGTGTCGTGCCCATAACACGATGTTCCTTGCCGTGTAGATTCAGGAACAGCGTGGTTTTGTGGGGTCTCTAGGGTAGTTTTAACTGCAGCTGGATATTGACGCAGACCAGGAGGAGATTTGTTGGTCTCGTTGCTGGAGGGTGCAGGCACAGTTCTTTCTTTTGGTGGCTTTCGTTCCTTAGGCAGTGCTGCAAGCAGAAATGTATGTATTCATGAACATATTCAAGCAATGCCAGTTCATGTCTAGCTTGTTAATTTTACAAATGTAACACATGCAGCAGATACCGGCTTAGTTATTGACGTGAGGAAGACACTTGTCCTTCCCCCGCCCTTTCCACAAGGGATAGGGGAAGGTCTTAAAATACCATAATTAAATTGTGCTCAAAATTTCTCCCCACAATAAATGGCTCTAATTCAAATTGGAGCTTCATATGCCAGAGCTACACGTGTGCGCCGTTGTGGAGGGCTCAACTGACATTCGCTCCCTATGCAGTTTATTGATTATTTGATTGTAGGGCTTAACACGCAATACTTTTTTGCAGACTAGTTGGTTCATACTTGAAAAATTGAATTGCTGCACAAACTTGAAGAAAAAAAACAAGAGAGACAGGAAAGAGTGCAGTTTTTTTTTTTCAAGCTTAACACGCCAACGCAACACAGGTAATGAGGCGCACTGTAGTGGGGGCTCGTGCATCGTGGATCTCGTATACATAATGGTTTCCGTTTTCCCCCTTTGTAAATAACATAGCCACTGCACCTGACATCCTAGCAGTACACGACCGTGTGCTAAGTAGCGGAAAACTGTTGTGCAGTGGGTCATGCCTGTAAACACTGAAATCCAGACGTATATACAGTCATGACCAAAAAATGCAAACAAGAAATATAAACCACAACACTCAAGTATCGCAATTTTTTTTTACATGCAAGTCAAAGTGATGCAACGTAATCACAAAAACAAAGTTGGGAAATGTAGCTTTCCAAACGCACTAATAGCGTGCCATTATTTGACCGTCTAATATTAGCAGTATTTTTCGATTTTGCGTGGTCTGGTTCACATTTTTGTGTTCGCATTTCCTAGCTTTGTCCGTGACTGCATTTCCAGAATTTATGCACTAATGTGGACGCAGCATATGAGGACCTATTTGGTGTTAGCTTCGTAGAAATCCCAGGTACATAGAGTACTTGCAACTGGTGCTGCTTTATGTAATGCAAGAAAAAAGTTCAATCTTACGTTTGAATGTGAACAAAGTTGGGACGGCATTTGGTTTCAACTTCTTCCAGCCATCCGCACGATGTTGCTCATAGTTGTTCTCTTCAAAGTGAGCCTGCAAATAAAACCAGAATTAAAAATTAACACACTGGCAGAAGAAAAACGAATGTCTGTCACTGTCAATAAACAAGATTTCATGTATGCATTCAGTATGATTCGCAGCAGGAACTAGCAGCAACTTTGAAGCACAAAAAGAAGGAAACTAATTGAGCTCACGCGCGCTTTCACGTAAGCCACTTCAGTGAGCGCGATCATAGACCCAGCCTGCTGTTATAATAACCCTTTCAATTTTCGCACTGAAGATCTGTAAGGATTCCTGAATTCATGTGAATAAAATATTAGTCTATTGTGCCGACAAAGGACCAGGTCTGATTTTATAGCGAGCGTTACAGATTTCGTTCTATCGAAAGCTTTGTACCCAAGCCTCCAAGTTCCCAATGCAATCGAATTTATTTGTCAGGTAAAAATGACAACACTCCGTAACAGCGCTTGTTTTGTTCGTCACTGAAGTGTTCCTGATTCCCAAGTATACATACGACGATACACACAAGACGGGCAGAAGTCCGGCCTCGTAATATTACGAGTTTTTCGCAGGAACAGCATGTTTATGTTCAAACGGCTTGATTTCACAAGAGGCGTTCAAATTTCGACCGATCAGTGCCAACGCGTGCACGAATAAACATGGGCAGGCCTCGTAAGCGTTGTGAAATCCCCCTACCACGCACTCGAGCCTATGTTAATTCCCTGCGAGGCCATATGCGCGCATTTCACGTCCAATTTCCTCTTATGTGAATTACGTGAACTCTACGTGCCGTACTCTTGAAGTTCGGCAGCAGTCAGGCGCCGTCAGATTTCCGTACTCGCTCGCCGGCACGCGGCCTGAACTCACTCCCCGTTTTCTGCCCTTGCATATAATTTTCTCCCTCCTCCACTTTCTAAATTCTCATCTGTTTAACTACACCTCCTGCGTCCCCATCTCTTGCCTACTTTTCGTTCAGCTCAACTCCGCCAGCACCCGGTCAACGCGTACGCTGTCGGGGCGAGTTGGCGAGCGAGTACGGCAATTTCACGAAGTCTGTCTTCGGGCTGCGAGGCGGACGGTCACGACAGCGGCAGCCGGTCTCGCGAGCAAAATAGCTGCGAAGCGCAGTGCACGAAATTAACAGCCTCGGGTAGGGGGTGGGAAGGATTTCACAACGCTGCTGCCAAGGCAACACTTTCCCGTGCAAGGGCACTGAAACTAGTCGCAATTCCTATGAATGTAGTAGCACACTCGAGGCCCTTGAACCAGCATGAAATGTTATCGACACGGGGGCTTCCGAAGCCCCCGTACTTGACGCATTTTCTTAAAGCGTGATTTTTAACACGAGCACGCCGCACAGTACCCTGCACGACGTTTGGCTGTCCTGCGTTTACATTGCGCACCTCAATAAAAACAACGGCGCCCTAAATAATGCTGACCAGTCAGAATACGACGCACTAAAAAAAAAAAAATGTTTACTTACGCTGCATACGTGCGACGTATCAGTCGGTTGCCACTTGTCTCGTTTGATTTTAACGGTCCAAAGAAGCCTTCTTTTTGGGTCTCTTGGAAACCGGTACAACTTCCATCCGTTTCTCGAGTGATTCGAGCACTGCGGCACGCAGCAGCCGGGCATGGTGATGCGGAGATGGGTGCATAAAACTGTAAGGGAATGAACACTGCCCAACAACACCTCACACGCCAAGCACGAACTACCGGCCGGAGGCGCCAAAATGGCGGTCGCGCTGGCGCCGAAGCCGAGGCGGCGGCATCTGCCCTTGCAAAAGCTGACACCACTCTAAGCGGGGGCGCGCGCATCGAGGCACTCTAACGCAATGCATGTGTGGTAAGAACGGCAGTGTATCTAAAGTGTGCTGCAAGAATGTACCAGCATCGAAACTTGGTTTTGTAAAAAAAAAAAAAGTCATTTCGTATGAAAGTCGCTTTTGCTCCCTCTGAAACTTGGCCTGCGCCACTTGTTTTGTCGGCGTGTGTTTAGCACCATTGTAGTTGCGGTTGCTGCTGAATCCATTATCAGGCAAAATCAGGCGAAGCTCAAGAAAAAAACTTAGCGTGAAAAAAAAAAAGAATCAGTGTTGTCAATGAAACATCATCCACTTTTTTTTTTTTTTGCTTATGTGGTCGTCTTGCTTCATAAAGTTCAGCACCTTTCGTGGTGCAAAAATATTACAGGTCAAGTTCGTTTAGAAAGCATTTTCATGCACTGAAACAACCCAAACACGGTAAGCAACTTTGAATTATTATCAATAATTGACATAGTATTCATACTACTGTGCTACACCGGGATACTAGTTTATTGAAAAGGGAAGCCCGTGATCGTAAGTTTCTATGCTGATGGCCACTATTTCTCCCGTACAAAAAAAAATTCTAAAGGAAGAGTTACAAGGAACAATTTTTTATGCTACTCAATCAATGATTTGTTGCCTTGTACTGCCTCGTAAGCATATTAGTGCATTGCAAGAAAGAAAACACTCAAATCACGCAGGCAAAGCTGCGTGGTCATAGCTCCGAAACAAGTAAGACCTGGAGTGGAAGAGACCATTGTGATCTCTAACTTGGAGACACCGAGCGACGTGACCTTGATCCTCCAGGATTATCCGAAGAAGGAGAGCACAATGTTCCAGCGCACCTTCGAAGTCAGCAAAGGTATGCATTGTAAAAAAAAATCTTTAAAAGATCACAGAGAAGAAGCCGATGTCTCAAGCTCATCTAAGCTAGCTGCCCGTATACTCACAAAAACGGTCTCCCGATGGGCCGCGTAGTGAAGAAGGCTGAAGACAAGTGTGGGAGATATATATACGGGAAAAAAATTCCAGCCAACATTGTCATTTGAAACAAGGCATTTTCAAAATATAATATATGGGCGATTTCTGTGGCGAATAGGACATCACGTTTCGAGAAATATGTTGGTATTGATTTCCAGAAGGACTGAAGTTCAAAAGTCGATTTTTAAACATGCTTCTGCATCCACGGTTACGTTGTAGCGCATTGGTTACGTTGGTCACCGCATTGTATCTCTCAGAACAGCAACGCGTGAGATCGTATCACTTCTGTGTAGCTAATGAACACACAGATTAAGAAAAAACCAACAAAACTATGGCTACGTTGACAGTCTTATGTGAGTCTGAATGCTAAGGCAAGGCCCCCAGGCAACGTGCTTAAAATAACCCCTGCTGCATGGTGATCACAAGTGTGGGTGTAACGTAATTAATTGTGCCTGATGCTCGGTAATCATTTAGCATCTGTCTGTGTGAAGAGGCATTGCAGGTACAGCCAACCAAATCTGTATCTGGCGTGCGCGAGTGCTGCCATTTCTGTGCGTCAGCGCCGCAACACGGTGCGAAGTTGCAGACATGGTGAGAGTATGCGCATTCCTTCAAAGCACGCTCAACTATGGAAGCATCGTTTGTTAGGCTGTACTTTCTTAAGGACGTCGCCCCACGTTAGTGCACTTCACATTAATTATGTTCTTCGGCTTATCTCCACGCGTTACGTACGTTAAAAACGTGTTTACCCGGTCGCTTTCTGCAACGTACATCTTCGGTCTACCGAAGCTGCCTGTTCCTACGAAGTGCACTGATTTGGCGTTACGTCCTTAAGAAGGAGCAGATTAGCAGACGATCAGCTCAGCTGAGTGCAATTTGTGGACATGCGCTTACCCTCCTCCTGTTTGCAAGTAGTCTGTGTCATATAGGCGCTGCTGCCCCAAAATTCGACACTCACTAATTAAATGTTTGCGCCACTGTACAGCCCTTATTTTTCTAGAAGGGAACGTGTGAGTGCGTGCTAAATAGCCTTCTGGATGTATGGATGGATGTGGCTGTACCCTTTAGATCGTGCGTCGGCTAATGCCACCTAGCCGTAATACTTAGTGAACTAACCACTACACATATCTTTTTTTTTCCTTTAATAGTGAGGTTGAAGATTCGTACTTTGCAGTGAAGGGTTTAATTACTCCTGCCTTGACTTTAGCCACCAATCAGATAACCTCCTTCTAGTAAATTCTACCCGCTTAAAGTCTATTTTGCCTTCCCTGTCCCTAAACCCCAGTGCGCCATCATCCTGAACTATAGGGTGAAGCCCTTTACAGAACATTATCAAGTGTTCAGCAGTTTCTTCTTCCTCTCCACATGCACTGCATACTGTGTCTACCCCTTCGTATTTGCCCCAATATGTCTTGATTCGCAATACTCCTGTCCTGGATGAATAGATGGGTGGATGGATGTATATGGCTGTACCCTTTAGATTGGGCGGTGGCTAGCATCACCAAGCTGTAATACTTAATGGACCAAAAACTAGATTTATTTTTTTTTACCTTAAATAGTGAGGTTGAGGATTCATACTTTGCAGTGAAGGGTTTAATTTTCACTCGTGCCTTGACTTTAGACACCAATCAGATAACCTCCTTCTAGTTAATTCTACCCGCTTAAAGTCTATTTTGCCCTCACTGTCCCTAAACCCCAGTGCTTTGAAAAACACTGTGCCATCATCCTGAACTATAGGGTGAAGCCCTTTACAGAACATTATCAAGTGTTCCGCAGTTTCTTCTCCCTCTCCACACGCACTGCATACCGTGTCTATCCCTTCGTATTTGGCCTGATATGTCTTGGTTGGCAATACTCCCGTCCTGGCCTCAAACAGTAGAAAACTACCTCGAGTATTATCATAGATTCTTTCCTTGGCAATTTCCTGCTTAAAAGTTCGATAGCTCTCTAGTGTGGACTTCTTAATCATGCCAATTCTCCACATATCGGTCTCGGCTTCTTTCACCTTCTTCTTAGCCGATAATTCTTTTTGGTTTGGCCCCCTGCTGTTTTCCAAGTATTTACCAGTCAATTTTCTGGTTCGCTTCCATCATTTTGTATCGACATTCTTCATGTACAAGTAGCTGAATACCTTCCTAGCCCAACGCTCCTCCCCCATTTCTCTCAATCGCTTCTCAAATTTTATCTTGCTGCTAGCTTCCATGCCCTCAAATGATGTAAATTCCATATCACCTTGTACTCCCTGATTCCGTGCATTCCTGTGAGCTCCTAAGGCAAGCCTACCTATACCACGTTGCTTAATTTGTAATCTTGCTTGAACTTCTGATCTCATGCACAAGACCGCATTGCCGAACGTCAGACCAGAAACCATGACCCCTTTCCATATTCCTCTCACAACATCATACCTATTGTAATTTCACAGTGCCCTGTTTTTCATTACCGCTGCATTCCTGTTACCTTTAGTCGACACGTATACTTCGTGTTTCCTTAGGATACTCTGCCCCAATGCTTATACATACGCCCAGATATTTGTATTTATCTGTTATCTCTAGCGAGACCTCCTGTATCCTAAGCTCTATGCCTTCATTGTCATTAAAAATCATGACTGCTGATATTTCCTTACTAAATCTGAAATCTAACCTATCTCCCTCATTACTGCAGATACCCGACCAATCTCTGCAAATCTTCCTTGTTGTCGGCCATTAGCACTATATCATCTGCGTACATCAATGCTGGTAGCGCCTGTTCAATGAGTTTTTCTTTTTTGACTGAAAGAAAGGTTGAAACCCAGTCCACTTCCCTCTAATTTGGTCTCTAATCCTTGTAGGTACATCATGAATAATAAGGGTGACAGGGAATACCCCTGCCTAAGCCCCCGTTTTACCTCTGCAGACTTGGATACCTGTTTTTCTCACTTTATAACTACCTTGTTACCTTTATAGATATCCTTTAAAAGATTAGTGACTACATGTTCCACGCCTTGTGTGTCCAGTATTCCCCACAATTCCTCTTGAACCACGCTATCGTACGCTCCCTTGATATCCAAAAATGCTAACCACAGGGGCCTGTGTTTCTTTTCTGCTATTTCGATGCACTGCGTCAGTGAGAACAGGTTTTCTTCCAACCTCTTGTGTTTCCGAAACCCTTTCTGCAGTTATCCCAGCACCCCCTCATCCTCTAGCCATGCCTGCAGTCTTTCCTTTATAATCTGCATCGCCAGCCTGTAGACCACTGATGTCACTGTTATAGGACGGTAGTTGTTTATGTCAGCTTTGTCCCCCTTTCCTTTATAGATCATGCTCATCCTGCTAAGTTTTCATCCATCGGGAACTTCTCAATCGATTATTATTTTGCTCACTGTCTCTCTCACAGCCTGCTTAGACTTCGGACCTAATGTCTTTATCAGCATAATTGGAATGCCATCTGGGCCTGTTGATGTACTACTAGGGACCCTTTACTCAGCCCTTTCGCACTCTCATTGTGAAAATGTAGCAATTGCACCACTTGATTCATCATTGTCTATTGCGGTGCATAAAGCACTTCTTTGTTGAAAATTTTTCTGTCATCCTTGTTCTTATATATTCAATATCTTCGTCGCCTTCTAGCCTAGCACCTTGGGCTGTAGTTATAAACCTCTGCTCTAGGCTCGTCTCATTTCTCAGGGAGTTTAGATGGTTCCAAAATTTCGCAGCTGCCTTTCTATCTTTTTTATATACTTCTGACAGTCACTGAGGCCCCTTTCTTCTAATCTTTTGATTGATCAGAAGGGATGCATTCCTTCTGCAGCTTAGAAAGGTTTCCCATTTTCTTTCAACATCATCTGTCGGTTCAGTCCGCTGCTTAGCATGTCTGTGTTCCCTAGAGGCCTCCTGACGTTTTGCTATGGCTCTCTTGACTTCCTCATCTCACCAACTTTTGGGTTTGTGTCTTTTTTTCCGGGGTGACTTGTCATGCGTCTTAGCAAGCTCTAGCTGAAACAGTCTAATTAGATTTCTGTATGTCCACACTGTTTTATTATCCTCCGTGATTACTTTCTCAATTCGTTTAGTTGCTATTTCAATTTGCCTTTCTGAATGAAAATTTTCCTGTAGTTGCTCATCTTGTCTCCTTCCCACTTTCACTGCTCTTCCAAAACTTAGCTTGATACATTTGTGATCACTACCCAGACTTCTGGAGCCACCTTCATCTATGTGCATTCCCCTGAGCTTATCATACATCCTATGTGACGTCAGTACATAATCTATCGTCGACTGCAGCCTTTCTACCTCCCATGTTATTTGCCCTTCACACTTCTCGATACTGTTGCAAATGATCAAATCAAGCCTTTCACACATATCTATGATCATTTTGCCTGTTGGGTCGGTATACCTGTCTATATCTTCCATGTGCACATTCATATCTCCTAGTATAATTATCTCGCACTCTCTTCCTAACTCCTGAATGTCCTTTGATATACACTCCACCATTGCCTACTTTTCCTCTCTGGCCTTTGCTCTCGTACACAAGTACACAAAAACAAGGAGTGTCAGTTGCCCTGCCACTTTCCCTTTTAGCCATAAATGTCCCTTGCACATCTGCTTGACTCTTTGCCAGTCTGTACTTTTATAATGAATGCCCCTAAACCACCCCCCTTTCTGCTGTCTTCTGTTCTATTGCGCGTAGTCTGGATTGTTAGGAGGATGTTCCATATTCCTAGGATATGTTTCTACAAAACCGTATATCATCGGCCTCTCCTCTATTATCTGTTCTATCTCTTCCTACTTCAGCCTGTTCTTGCCACCCTGCGTGTTAATATACCCTATGGCTGAATTGGCTCGGCGCTCGTGGCTACGTCTATTTATGCCCCGGACTCTACCTATCTTAGATATTGGTGCCATTTTGGAATCGTATCTGTCCATACCACCTGTCAAAGAGTCTCCCTGGTTGTGTTCCTCGTTACTAGCTATCCTGCACCCTGAAGGGCCCGCTTGCCCCCCAAAAAAGCTACTGCGCGTCCTGCAAGTCGCCAACCCACCTCATGACCTAGCCGCCCATCGAAGTAAAGTCTGTCTCGTTGAAAACCACTCCACCTATGCACCTCTCTGTTTAGTTCCACCACCTCAAAGCCTTTCTCTCGACTCATCCGCCATATCTCTTGGTTTGCGTTGACAACCGCTCTTTGCAGGTTGCTATCACGCACCGGTACCTCCGGTATCGTGCATATCACTACCTCTACTTGAGAAGTGGCGCGCATGTCATCGACGCTTTTCGCCAGTGCGGTTGCTAGTCCTGCTGTATCTTCAATTAAGATATTGTTTAAGCTGCCTGAAATTATCACGAGGTTTCATCTATTAGCTGTAGTTTTGAGTTTTGCGCTCGCTTGCCTCATGACTGCTTCCAGCTTGCGTCCTGGGAACGCCTTTACTGCAAACCTCTTGTCACCTCTTACACTCTCTTTGATGGCTTCTGTGCATCGATTTAAATTTGAGTCCCCGGCGATTATCAGATGCTGTGACTTTTCAGCTGGAGCGTCCTGCACCTGGGGGCTACTTGCATCTGTGACGCCGACTTCTTTGTCCCCTCCCAGCCCCACCACTACTTCGCTGAAGCTGGGCCTTGCGACAATTGAACCGGCTGAACCTTTTTTTTCCAAACTTGCTTGCTCTTTCTTCTCCGCCATTCTGGCTTGCCGGTTCCCTACTGTTCTCTCCGTAGGCCGCTCCTCTGTTCACCTTGGGTAGTGCTTCCTCGGCGGACTTCAGCCTTTCTCCCATTGCCCTCGTTTTCTCTGGCTCTGTCGACAACGCAGTCTCGAGCTCGGCGATTCTCATCAGCAGTTCACTCTGGGCAACCATCATTTTCTCCAGTTTTTCCTCGACCTCACCTGCCTCGTCCTCGTCCTGCTGCACGTGTGGCACGCACACAGCGGCGAGATGTGAAACTAAAACGAGATAGTGGCACCATTTTTTATACCGCGGGAACTCCCTTTGCGAATGCATTTATCGTTATTTTATGCTTCCTTGTTGCTAACCGTACTTTGTTGCGACGTTTGAGCCCATAAGGTTTCGAGTTCGATAAGGCACTGTGGCTATCACAGCTTCGGACTGCGGCTCTCCAAACATCATAATGTGCTAAAAAAACAAGAAAAAAAGCAAGAAGGATGGAAGGCAATATAAGGAAGGGCACGGCTCTTCGCCACTGCACCATTTCACATGCGCGGTTCGAGGCTATTAGCCACGTGCTCGCGTGTTCTCTTTTATAAAAATGGTGGCTGCACGAGTAAGAAGCTTTTCTCGCAATCATGCGGCGACCAATAGAATAGCAGCGTAGATACACATTCGGAACGTTAATGAGCGAAAGCTTTGGGAATGACAGGGAAACCTTGCGTTGACGATTTCACACTTTCGCCTTCAGCAATAGACATGGTGCACGTTTTCATCGACCCGGAGAAGCTGTATGCCGACAAACTTCGCCGAGGCCGTCGTGTTTACGTGACCTTGACAACCGTGTGTGGTCAGGCTTTCAGCAAGGAGGTCATCCTACCTGTGAAGCGCAGCAGCGGATACCTGTTTTTGCAGAGCGACAAGCCCATCTATACTCCCAGGCAGACAGGTGAGCGCGTACAAGACATTTCGTTGGTTAGTCAATGTAGAGTCTGTAAACTTTTGCCATAGACAGTACGGACTATATGTAATCGCCCACTGCGCGTGAACTACAGTGCTGGACATGCCCGCGGCTTTCACAACCTTGTTTGTTTTCTCAACACACACGAGTTTGTTAGACGAACGCGTACACACAGATAGCCCACAAAAATCCCCGCGTAAAAACCCCACACACGTCAGAGTACACCAGCATGTCCGTTGCCCTCGAATGTGCAAAATGTTCACAATGAGACTCCTGCAGTGTTCAGGCAGTCTTATTGTAAAAAGAAATATGCGTAACTTCGTCCGACTTAAAAGGGCACTGGAATAAAACTCGGCACGTGGGGAAAAAAAGCTTCATCTTGACGTAAGTGGGCACGTGTAAAAAGCAGTGTGTCCTGTTATTACACTAAATGGACCAGGCGTGTCGATACAGGTGGTACACGTCCCGATTTTGAGACTTGGGTTCCGCTGCATCGCCAACCTACTGGCGGGACGGTGTTTTGTCCCGCTTTAGGCCGCAACCTGGCTCATAGTTGTGGTCGGCTAATTCGGCCACCACACCTCTATACGATGCTATACATGGCGATGGTAAGCTTTATTTTTCTCTCTATTTTTCTATATTTTTTTTTTCTTTTTTCTCGTTCTCTCCCTCTTTCACTGTCATTTTCCCACCAGACTGAACTTGCTTTGTTGGCTGTATGAGACTTACTATTAACCCACTGAGTCTTACCCGTGATTTCCAGCCACCCCACCCATGACTTTACTCTCGTCATGGTTCACTCTCATCGATGAGCTGAAAGAGCCCAGCTGCAACGCACTTTAAAACACATTCAGCAACCGCACTCCTAGAAGAAGTTATTTTTTATACAGCAAAAAAAAAACTCTCAGCTCTTGGAAATCACGTACTTGGGCAAAGGGTCTGTAGAACAAGTTTCAGCTCCCCTCACTTCAGATTTTTCGTGACATTCAAACCCTCCCGTCATGGAGGAAGGCCTCCCCTAGTGTGCCCGCGACAAGTGTCCGTCGCCACTGCCGATGCCACTTGGCCTTTTCAAGGGTCAGGATACTTGGCGGTGGCAGCGGCACTTCCCGCCAATCATTGTGTCTCCTTGTTTCGTGGCGTATGGCTGGCACAAGCGATATTATCATCAATTGCTTCTCGGGCTCGCTATGAGCCGATCGGATGTCGTTCATGCTGGGGAAGAATGGTGAGAATACGCCTTTTACATTTTCCTGTTCTGCCCTCTGGCATTTTGGTAGGGGCCGGGAGAACAGGCATTGCTCTAACGAAGGCCTCTGAGACTATAGGGCTTCTATGCCAGGGAAGTGCTCATGCACTGTGACATCGTGGGAAAGGCCAATTGAAGGAACGCGAACGTGAACGGAAACGTGAACGGGCGTGAAAACGACGTGAAGTTGCTGCAGCAGAACATAAAATTACTGCTTTCACCGGTTGTATTCTTCACCGTGGTGGAAAGGCGGTTCTTTACTTTTTTTCAGTTAACCTGCGGATGATCGCCGTGGGGGAGGATCTGGTTCCAACAGCAGGTGAAATCAAGCTGGAAATAAAGGTAAACATTTGGTATCATAAATTGCTTTGACACGAAAATGTTTTATGCCAAAGTCCACTACGGCTCCGCTGACGCATTTCCGATACGGATATGAGGTAGTAAAATATATACTAAAAGATCGCAAAGAAAAGAAACGTGACGGAAAACTTCTGTAGCGAGGCGTCGAACCAGCGCCCTCTTCTTTGAAGTGCATGACTTAGTGAAATGACTAGACAGTAGTCAGTTATAGTATACCGGGCTTACCGGGATACCGGGCGTACCATGATACCGGGATCGAAGTACGCACGTGCTGTATTGGGGGCTGGCTGGTCCCGACGAAGCAGAAGAAGAAGAAGAAGACAGCCGACGGAGACGTACGCTGCCGGCGGGGACACCGACCAGCCCGAACACGCGGGTTGGCGCCAAGCGCCGAAAGAAAGCACAACCGCACTCCACGGTTACCCAACACACCTGCCTTTATTTTACAGTTGCTTCGAAATCCGATGGATGGATGGATGCTATGAGCGTCCCCTTTATAACGGGGTGGTGACAAGTATGCCACCAGGCTCGACAAAAAAAAAAAAAAAAAACCTTTTTTTCTTTTTATGTTGGCCTAATGCCTCTACTTCGATAAATTCTATCTTAATGGAAAAAAAGGTAAATTTTCAGCTTAAGTTCTCTGCCATTTACGGCACACTGTCCATATTTTATTTTTCCAATATTTATTTTTGTCCTTTCTCTCTAATTTTCTGCCACCAATACTCTAACCGTCTCTTACTTATTTCAATCGCGGGTGTGTTCAGCTTTCCATTGTTGTCCCTAAAACCCAAGGCTTCCTGTAGGCTCGTGCCCAAACGTACACCTGGGTGGATATCTCCACATTCAATCAGAACATGCTCCGCCGTTTCCTTATCTTTCCCGCAGCATGTGCATTGTTCTTCTTCTTTACTGAATCTTGCTTTATAACTACGCGTTCTAAGGCAACCCGATCTCGCTTCAAACAGTAAAGCGCTTCCCCTTGAATTATCGTAAAATGCCTCCCTCCTTATTTCATTTTTGCCCTTTCGGTAGTTACTCAAAGCTGGTTTTTTCTCCATAGCTGCCATCCAGTAAATCCTCTCCGCCTCCCTGACTTTTCCCTTAACGTTCTTTGTTGACATACGGGCCCGCCCTAAGGTGCCAGAGCGGCGCCCCCTGGCATCATCACATGTCAATCCGAAACCGAAACTGAAAACCCAAAACACAACAATCATCCCCTCCTCGAAAAAAGCACACCTATACACTGTTTATATTTATACATGCTCGATACCAACATATTTTACAAGGTATGTACTTTAGAACATATGAAAATTTAAAACACGGCACACCAAACTCACACACTACAAGTCCTGAAAATGCACTGACAAACAAAAAAATGTACACAACTGTTCGGAACAAGAGTTTTACGTCACGTAGTCTTCGAACCGACGCAGCTTCTGCCGCTTTTGCTTAGGGCGGGCCCTTTTGGGTGTAGAATCGGGTGTCTCTGCACCTTGGTCACTTCTGCTCTGATGTGACACATCAAGAGCAGTGGAAGATTATGAAGGCTCTGAATGAGCGTTAAAATTTGCGGTCTCATCAGAGCTCGCAGCATGAGCTTCGGAAGAATTTTGCGGACCGGAGTCCGGTTTAACGGTATCAACCGTATTTGAAAGTTCGAAGTGAACTGTATGACTTGGTGTACTTGAACCAGCGACACCGACTGGGAACTCCTCCCCCTTGAAGAAGAAATGCCTGGTCAAGGAGGCCACATGTAATAATCTGATGGATAGTTGAAAGGCGCGGACGGAACGTGATGAGGAAGACTTTTAGGTGTTGAAGGCGAATCCGTATGAAAAATAACAAGGCGCGAAGCATTCCAGATGTTACCATCACTTAAGCGAAAAGAAGTGGGGCTAACCTGGCCCAAGACTTTATAAGGACCCTGATACTTGGGGCGCTTGCCTGGCACACGAACCTTGACTAGATCGCCAGTGCGAACTTTGGACTGCTTTGCACCTCGACAGGTGTCGACATACTTTTTCATTGCTTGTTGACGAGAAAAAACCCTGATACGAATTTGATCAGGAGAAGACACTGCTATGTTACGAGGCAAAGAGACTATGTCGAGAGCAACTCGCGGTTGCCTACCGTGGAGAAGTTGAGCAGGAGACACTCCAGTGGTGCCTTGCGGTGTGAACCTGTACGAAGCTAAACATTCAGTCAAGACTTGCTTGAGGGGACGGTGCTCTAATTGGGCGATCTGGATATGTTCCTTCAGAACGTGATTAAAGCGCTCGATTTGGCCATTTGATTGGGCATAGAAAACTGATGACCTCAAGTGCTGAATTCCTCGTTGTGAAAGAAAAGCCTCGAAATGTTGGGACTGAAACTGTGGACCATTGTCCGTAACTATGGCATCAGGAAACCCTTCCCGGCTGAAGATTGAAGACAGAAATTCAATGATGACCTCAGAAGTAACCGTATGTGTGAAACAAATTTCTGGCCATTTGGAATAATAGTCGATGAGAGAAACAATGAACCGGGCATTTTGCGGAACATTATGCAAAGGTCCGATGATGTCCATGCCGAGTTTCTGCCAAGGCCGATCAGGCCACTGGACTGGCTGCAACGGAGAAAATGCAGGTTTGGCAGACTTGTCAGCTGCCTGACATATATGGCAGTTGTAAACTGCATGCTGGACCTGCTTGTCTAAGGCTGGCCACCAGTACCTGTCTCGGAAATTCTGTTTGGTGCGGACAATGGACATTCGGTGCGGACAATGCCTGGACGAGTCTCATGGGCAAGCTGTATTAGCTTGTTACGGAATGAAGCAGGGGGAATCACGCGTTCATCGCGGAAAAGCACGTCCTCGACACAACACAGTTCCTGTCGGTCTGCGAAGTAAGGCAAGAATTCAGAAGCAAGAGCACCTTTGGAAGGTCATCCTTCACGTAAATATTGGAGCACTTGAGACAAAGTGGAATCTGCAGCTGTAGCTGCCTGAAGCTCAGCTTTAGTAATGCAGGAAGTAACTAAAGAAACAACTTCCTCATCCCGCTCTTCAGTAACCGGTATCTGAAGAGGAAGGCGCGACAGTGCATCAGCAACCACGTTATTAGAACCCTTACAATATTGAACACTGAAATTATAATACATGAGTTTGGCACACCAACGGGAAATGCGAATGGGGCGGTGGCCTTCGGATCCTGCAGAAAGAAGAGCAACTAGTGCTTGGTGATCTGTACGTAATGTGAAGTGCCGGCCCCACAAGTAAACATGCCATTTCTCACAGGCAAAAAGACAAGTGAGAGCTTCACGCTCTCTTACTGAATATCTGCGTTCAGCAGCTGTCAATGTACGAGATGCAAAAGCAATAGTGATCAGCTGATCTTCTCTGAGTTGTTGAAACACTGCTCCCAGTCCAACATCGGATGCATCCGTCGTGATGACGATGGGAAGCTTCTCATTGAAAATACTAACAGCTCGCTTTGAGGCCAGTATTGACTTAACTTGAATGAAGCTCTGCTCAGCTTCAGCTGACCAGTTAAAAGGCTGTGCTTGACGAAGTAGAGTACGCAGTGGTTCAACAACATCAGCATAGTGAGGAACAAACTTGGCATAATAACCAACAAGACCTAAAAAAGATTGCAAGGTTTTAACATCAGTAGGCCCTGGGGCATTGACAATGGCCTGAACTTTAGATTCAACAGGTGTCAAGCCGCGGGAACTGACATTATGTCCTAGAAATTGTAACTCATTCACAGAAAAAATGCACTTGTTATTAAGTTTCATACCACATTCACTGATGCGGTTGAGAACAGTATGCAAGTTAGCACCGTGCTCTTCGCGAGTACGTCCAAACACCAAAATATCATCCAAGTAACAAAGGGCGTCATTACAACCCTTAAGAATAATTGACATCATTTTCTGAAACACTGCAGGGGCAGATGCAAGCCCGAAACACACGCGGCGAAACCGAAACAAGCCTTCGTGCGATACAAATGTGGTCAAGTCTCTACTGCACTCAGAAAGTTCAACTTGGTGATAAGCGAACGGGAGGTCCAGCTTGGAGAAACATATCGCTCCGGAGAGCTGATAAAGCATTTCTTCAATGTGAGGAAGTGGAAACCCGTCTACGACGATCGCCTTGTTCGGTTCTCGTAAGTCGACGCATAGTCGAAGGGATCCATCTTTTTTCTTGATGACGAACAGTGGAGAAACCCAGTCGGAAGCAGAGACAGGCTCGATGATTCCGCTGGCTTGAAGGTAAGACAGTTCTACAGAAACTTGCTCACAGAGAAGAAGAGGAATGCGGTGCAGCTTGGCACGCACAGGGCACACACCTGGTCGACGCATCACTTCATGCACAAAACCACGCACACAACCCAGTTCACAGGTGAACAGGTGGTGGAATTCAGAAGGCGCGTTGGCCGGAAGATCATCTTGGATGTCGACTTTAGCACACGTCATAGATGCACCGACGATGTTGATGGACAAAGCCCTGATGGCATCACGTCCCAAAAGCGAGCTGCCATTGGCAGTTACATAAAAAGTAATGGAAGCAGTGCGACTGCGATAGGAGACCTGAGCTGTAAATTGACCTAAATTATCAATCGTTAGAATATGTTTGTAGAACGACGTGTGAAGGCAAAAGCCGAATGTTGGAAAAATGACTATGAAAGTCAGCGGCACTGATTAAAGAGACTGAGGCACCAGTGTCCACGAGAAATGACAAGGGCACATGGCCCACTGAAGCTATGATGCTGGGCTCGGACGTAGTGTGGAGGCCATCCACATTTAAAACATTGACCGTATTGGTCTGTGCAGTGCTCGAAAGAGAGGCCGAAGAAACTGGTTCCGGAAGATTTGCTGGACGGGAATTGCATACGGACTGAAAACGTCCAATTTTTCCGCACGCGAGACAAGTGCGGTTTCTCGCGGGACACTGCGCAAAATTGGCTAAATGCCGAGCCGATCCACAATGAAAGCAATGCGCGGTTGCGCTTAGAAAAGAAATTTGCGAACGCGAATTAGAAGCTCGGTGCTGTTCCTGAAAACCAGAATTTGGCGGAATGGGGTCGCCATATTGTCGGCTTCCTCGCCGCCGTGATGCAGAGGGGCCGCCATGTTGGCCGCCGCGCCGAGACGAAGATGAAGGGCCGCCATGTTGGCGCGTCCCGTGAAATGAAGAGCCGCCGCCCTGGCCCCCGGCAGCAGAAAGTTGCTGCACTGACTGCGGAGCGAATTGCTCCAACTGGGAACGCACAGGTTAACAGTCCAATTACAGGAAGAAAATCAGCTCTTGTTCATGTGACACAGTCTACAATAAAACTTCGCCGGGTCAGCAATTATTTCATGTATTAGCTGTCAGACTGGCGTACATTTGGTATACGTTTCTAGGGTATCCTTTAGATTGATGCATGGTAGAAAACGAGACATGAATGAGTAAGTGAGCATTGGTGGTGCATTCTTCTCTGTACTGCCCCCTCATTGATCATTATGCTGCCAATGTACTGCCATGTCGCTAATGTGATTAGCACCACACAGTTGGAAAGAATCCTTCTTGATGCTATGGTTCTTTATTTTCCTGAAACAACCTGTATCTTTTACTGCACTGCAGAGGAGTAGTGTGATTCGATTGCAAAACAGAACTTCATGCTGAAGGGTGCAGCTCTACGCATTTTCTTGCAGAACCCGAAAGGGGTGCTGGCACACGAGGCAACGCTGAGTGCCACGAACAACACAACAGCGACAGGCATGTTCAGTCACTCTTATTCCTTCCCGGCCTCGCCAGTTCTCGGTGTGTGGAATGCCATCGTCAGTTACGGATTCCATGTAAGTTTTTTCTTTATTACGGGTGGTTTCCCCTACCATCTCACATTTATTGCAATAGCAATTATTTTGACACCCGAAGCACATTTTTTCAGTCGCCAATATGTTCAGTGTAAATTTGAAATTCATAACATAAGCCTGCGCCTGGTATCTTGAATATACCAGCGAAAGCTTGTGAAGAGTGCAGACGGTGCGCAGCTTAAGCAGAGATGAAACACGTCGGCCGAATCCGTCGGGCAAGGGGTGCTGATGCGGGGTAAGGGGGTTGCGTTGCTTTAGTAGACAAGGTGAATAGTGATCAAAAGGGCGGGTGCTATGTCAAATCAGATCAGTAAGTGGTGCTTGTACATATTGAGTTTTAACTACCTATCCTGCATTGAAATAAACAGCATGGGAAGTGTTTCGCCCTATGGAGTAGCCGTTTTTTCTTATTCCAACAAATTGTCTAGTTGCACGCCACCAGAGTCTAATGAAGTTGTCGTTATTTTGTATAACAATGCACTTTGTTGCTGTTCTATTCATTGCATTACCCTTGCGGGGAAACAGACTTCTTTGGATGTGTTAGTTCGTTGACATTAACGCAACGTCGTGTACAGAAATAGTTCGATAAAACAAATTATTTGGATCGCTTAAGTTCGTCGTAGTCAGAATTTTCACTGCAAGCAGATATGAAAACATTGAGTGTTGTCCGATAGCGCATCGTCCTCTATCGCCTGGCTTTGAAACATCCGAAGTTTTGCACTTTTATTTGTTGGAACGAATGCAGGGGCCTGTCTTGCATGCATAATTCCAACGGAGATAGGCCTTCTCCATTCCTATTTGTTGAGGAAATGACTTGAAGAGAAATCTTTCCTAGCAAGAGACTCACTGTTCTGAACTGTAGGCAGGCGTGTTTTTTTTTTTGTGGGGGGGGGGCATAAATAATGGTCTCCCAAAAAGCTTAAGCTCGTCATCTTAGCTGTGTTTATGTCGCGCCACTTAAGATCATTTCTTCTAAGTGATAGATTATTGCGAAAAGCCTTCACTTTTCTTGTTTGACATTTCAAGTATGCCGTCTTGGAGCAAAAGAACGACAGGATATTTTCGCAATAAACTGGAAACGAAAAGCTAAGAGACGGAAAGAAATAGAAAAGTCGGCCTCTGACTTTTTCTGGTCGAGTACTACCCTGCAATACGATGTTCTTCAGTGAGTGCCAACTCGACTAAGAAAACGCAGTTTTTGAGCAAAAGCACGACAACAAAGTAACAGAACAAAAATGAAGCAGATTGGATGCGGCTTGGTCATTTTAGTCCCGGTTATGAACGTAGCGCTAGTTTAAGGGATCTGGCCATTAGATTCAAACATAAGTTGTGTATGAGCCATTATTAATTCCAGACTGCGACGCTTTTAAATGTGTAGTGGCATTTAGTAAGAATTGAAACAAGGTGGACACGGCTGAAGAGGCCCCATAGCTTTACTGTCCCATCGGTAATATCGCTATTAGTGATATTGGTCTTGAAACGTAAGTTATCGAAACAGTGCCTTTGTCACCGACTATCTTGGACACCATGTCATTTTGGCACTGCCTTGACCAGAAGCAGAATATTGAAATCTAGAACATAGACATATTTTTTGGGGGGCTGGGGGGCAGCCCCTTCATATGAAGTACAGGCCAGACATATTTTTTGGGGGGCTGGGGGGCAGCCCCTTCATATGAAGTACAGGCCGGGCAGGCAGATGTGGTTGAGGGTCAATTTGAGTGCTGCATGACATAACAAAAAAATAGGAGAGAAGGGGGGGATGAACCCCCCTGCTACGTCAATGGAGCTCTCATTGAGAACAAATGTACGTTACAATTAGAAATTCAACTATTTAGATCACGAGTGTATCAAATGTCACAGACTACAACCTTTGTTACACGGGCAGCCTAAACCATGGTTGACGTAATCTTGGTTACATGTAAAAGCAGTTCATTTATGCTCTATGGCACGGGAAACCACGGCTGTAGGAAACCGATCTTGGCAACCTTGATTTGGCTGTTCATTGATAATATGACGGCGTGCACAAAAGCGTTCTCAGCCGCATTAAGCAAGGGTGCTTTTGCTCTGTGTAAAAATTTGGGGACCCTTAAGCTTCGCTTTCAAGATTGATGCGATAGCGATATTCTGTTCCTACACTTAGAGTATGAAATCTTTTTGAATTTGATATGCACCCCCTACGTGGCCTTAATGGTTTAGTAGTGGTTGTGTTTTTTGTAGTGGGTGACAAGTTTATAACTTTGAAGTCGATATGATAAAATATATGTTCTGACTCCGGATGACAATGTACTCTTGTACCATGCATTATTCGGCATTATGTCATGTTGATGTTGTATTGTGAAGCATTTATACAGGAAGCGTTTGTTTTTAAAGAATGAAAGCTACTTTGAAGGCATTTCCAAACTAAGCAAGTTATTTTCACTGTATTCACAAGGAGAGGCATGGCTACAGTTTATGGAAAACTTGCCTGCTAGAAAAGCATGCAGAAGCAGTGGCGTCTTCACGATCCCACTTTGTGCAAATGACCGTGCAGCCAAAACACTTTTATGAACAACGGCGGTTTTAGCCGGACTGGTAAATAGAGTTCATGAAGTGTGCAGCTCAAATACCCTTTTAGACACGGTGTTGTACGGAATTTGTTCTGTAATGCTAATTGCACATTTCTTGAAGCGTCCTTACGTATGTTGTACGTTATGTATACACGTAAACCGAATTTTTATTAAATGTCACGTAAAAAAAAAAGGCGTGATTGTGTGGTAGAACACCCACTTGCCCCACAAACGACCCAGGTTTTATCACCACTGTGACACAGAATTTTTGGTTTACTTTATTTGCACCTCTCTCAATTTTTTTGTGGTGCAAAGATGATGATTTTTCACACAACTAACAACGCTGACGCTTACACCAGTATTTCTGCAAAACGAGCTTTTTAACGCTATAGCTTTACTATTGGCGAACCGTAATAATGGACGTCATAGCCACAAATCAACACAGCTAAGCGTGGTTTACGTTAATCAAGGTTAACTTACCTGTGTACTAAAAACAATAGGTGGCATTTATGTTCCCATGAGATTTAGCCCCGTTTCAGCATCTTGACTTGACTCTCTTGAATAGAAAAACAAGACAAAAAAAACCACCACATTTATGTCTTTCATGAGGCATCCAATCGGGGCGTCCGTCCATCGAGCTTTGGCGTTACCGCCGGACGGGGGAAAAAAATCTTGCGTAACCGACTAATCTCGTCATATGGTCACGTGTGGTAATGTCACAGGACGTAAACTTCGGCAGCGTAGATGTCCATGAGGTCATCACGCACACATTTAATTTAAATTCACTTAATTACCTTAAAGACCTCTTGACAAGGGTATTACATGCCTAAGGGGTAGGAATGCATTAGTACATAATTTTTATGTTACATAACAGAACAGAAAAAAGGTAAATTTATTAGCTAAAGGGTTACATACGTCAGCACAAATGCATAGATTTAAATGTTACACGAACATGTACCTGGCTAACATAATTCATTTTATTGCAAAACGGGTGCAGTGACACTATGTACTACATGGACAAGTTGTGGTGGCATTTGGACAGTTATAGCTGTCACATTTAGGGCACGTAAAGACACTTCAACTCCCCAATAACGTTTTTTTTTTGCAGTTCACCCAGAAGACCAACATCACTTTTGAGCTTAAAGAGTATGGTGAGTACATACTTTATTCCAGTTTCGCTCATCTCTAATTCTACTTTTGGAAATGTAAGCCTTATAATAACTAAGGAAGAGAAGGTAAAAGGAGGCAGGGACATTGACCAGGTACGTTCTTGGTTGGCTGTAAACTATGATGGGGGACAGAAAAAGTGAGCCTAATGATGAAAGGGGGCCGAAGAGATGGGTGAAGAAAATTATTAGTATATGCATTGAAGCATATGCAGCATAACACAATTCAAAATTCAAATGCGGTCACACAGACTTGTTCTCCTCAAAAAAGGACAAAAGTACTTTAACTGCCATGTGAGCCGACGAGTGGTGGGGAAGGTGCTCCAGCAGCATCTGCACTGGCAGTGGCCGATCCTCTGATGGTCACAATGCATCAAGAAGTGTTCACCTCTCACAGGCAAATAGATGGCAACGGCACAGCAAATGATTGGCGTCCTCTTCGGTGACGCAGGCCTCGCATACCACACTGCTGGTCACTCCAGTTAGAGTAGTGTATGCCTTTGTTCAAAGTACAAAGTTTTTATTACAAAGTACAAAGTACAGTACACAAAGTGCAGTACGCACAAGGGGCAGGGTTGGCAAAAAGGCAAATTAATGCCTGACAAGGTGCCGTAACCCGTCCCAGACTATAAAGCGCAAAAAAAGCAGTAATGTACACATAATTTAAATGTTTTAACAAAGAAGCAGCCACATTTATAAATTTTTTATAAGAACTTATAAAAAGAAACGTTAGATGAACATTTTATTAAGTACAGACCTGTCTGCAAGACTTGGTTTATAGCAGACAAAGCAAGGAACATGTGAAGAAACCCAAATTTAATGAATAACAAACCAATTTATTAGAACTCAAAAATGAAAATGCCACGAGTATATACACTTCAGTTATAAATACAACCTGTGTGATACCGCAGAAAGAGGAAAAATTATTCTTGGAGCCCTACTAGATATGTGTATATCTTTTTTTAAATGCAGTTAATGAGCGGCTCTTTTGTACTATGGTGGTAATTGCGGGATGTGCATTCAATAGTTTAGGGATCATATGTGCTAGCTTTTGTGAGCCGTACTTAGTCCTTATTCTTTCGCTCCAGTATGTTATGCGTCTAAAGCTGTATGTATGCTGCCTTTGGGAATATGCATCGTGAAATACGACTGGGTCAGATTTCAATTTATCCCGTATGATCATGGCTAGTTTTTTATTTAGGATGTTTTCGAACTTTAATATGTCGTGTTTGCTGAAAAGTGCAGTGCAATGTGTTCTATGCCGAACCCCTTCAATTATCCGAACTATTCTTTTCTGTAGTTTATAAGCACATTCTTTGTTTGTGTTTGTAGTGTTACCCCATAATAATAAACAGTAATTTATACACGAGTAAACTAAGGAATAGTACAGTTGCTTCGTTATCCAAATTGACAAAAAACATCTGATTTTTACAATTACACCAAGTGAGCACAAAAGATCGGTGCAAACTTTGTTTAGGTGATATGTCCAGTCGAGTTTTTCATAAAAAATGATACCGAGAAATTTTTTGGGATGTGACCCGCTCAATCGATTTCCCTCGAAACTTCACTTGGATGTCACGGAGTATAGTTTTATTTTTTGGGCAAAAAATAACATATTTTGTTTTTTGGTGCTTAGCTCAATCTTATTTGCTATCAACCATGTTGATAAGTGCTTAAGCCATTTGTTTGCTTGCTCCTCTAAGCTGTTGATGTCTTTGCCAGAAAAAAAAATGTTCGTGTCATCTGCGTATAGAACCATGCTTGGGTTAATGGTATATTAACAATATCATTGATATATATTAGAGGAACAGGAGCGGGCCTAATATAGATCCTTGAGAGATGCCATACTTAATTTTATTCATTTTAGATACTGGATGATGCGTATCACAATACTGACATCGATTTGTTAAGTAACTGTCTATTAATTTGAGTGAAACACCTTTTATGCCGTATTGGTTTAATTTCACCAGGAGTATTTCATGTCTGATCGAATCGAAAGCCTTTTTTAAAATCAAGGAATATTCCAAGCGTATCAGATCTCTGCTCAAAATTATCTATTATTTTGTCCTTGATAGACAGCAAAGCCCCCTCTGCACTTTTTTTCTTCTGAAAACCGTACTGCTGTTTTGTTATTATACTTTCTTGGTTACAAAAGTTTGAGATGGGAAAGTATAAAACTCGTTCTATAATTTTTGAAAATATGGGCAAGACAGATATAGGTCTATAATAAATTAAATCATTTTCATTACCAACTTTGTGAATGATCGATACCCTGGCTATCTTTAGCTTATCAGGAAATATTCCGTTGCTTAAAATCAAATTATATATGTGTGAGAGGGGCAGAATAATATACTGTGAGACTGCTTTTAATGACCCTGCTTTTATACCATCAACACCTGCTGCAGAGTTGTTAGGTAAATTAATAATGAAATAATGTACTTCAGATTCATCAGTGGAGGCCAAAAAAAAAGTGATTTTGTAAGACATTTTGTAATGTAGGTTCTTGGTTCACAGTCTACTTCGTTGTTGGCGGAGGTTTCACAAGCACCCAATTTCAAAAAATGACTGCTGAACTTATCAGCGAGTGATGTACTGGAACAAGATTTCCCTTCTATCATAAGCTCGGTGATGGTTTTTTACTTGATGAAGATAAAAGACCGTTCATGGTATTCCAAACTGCCTTCTGGTCATTTGCAATAGCAGAAAACACGTTCATAATATTTTATGCATGCCCACTTTATATCAGACCCTAATTTATTTCTAAACAGTTTAAACTACCGTAAGTAGTCGATTTGCTTTATTATAATGAAAGTGTGAAATAGGTTATCCCTTTCTTTTACTTTCTTTAGAAGTGACACATCTATCCATGGTTTCCTAGCTTTTTTGTTCGTTTCGAGCAGTAGTATAGAAAATTCCTGATCATAGAGCTGTGTAATTTTCAACACAAATGTTTCGTAAGCTCGTACAGGTTCTGTGATTTGTAATACTTCATTTAAATCTGCCCCAGCAACTAATCTTTGAGAGGTCTGAATTTTCCCAGTGATAATTTTTCTGTACTAAGTAGGGTTGATTTTCTTACGCTTTTTATATGACTTTATGAATGCAAAAATCGGAAAGTGGTCACTAACACTGGGTATAACAACTCCACCACATATTTTATTTATAAAGTCGTGAAGGACAAGTCAAGAAGGGTTTCAAATACTTCTGTTATCCGAGTAGGTAGGCACATGAATTTTGTTCTCATAGCCAAAAAAAAGCATTGTGTCAAGAAGGTTTTGCTTGTTAGCAGAGGTAGCCAACGTGTCAATGTTGAAATCACCCGTTACAATCGCTCGTGCATTTTGTCGTTCACAAAATTCTAATAACTCTCAAGCAAAGTATAAGAAGGCTGACACAGTTCCGGAAGGAGGCCTATATATTACTACTAAGAATAAATTAGCTGATCTCATCATCACTGATTCAAAATCACAAGTTGTAACTGTATACTTTTTGATGACAACAAATTTAAAGCTATCGTGGATATAAATTGCCAGACCACCACCTCGCTTGTTCTTTCTACAGACTGTGATGCAATTGTAGCCTGTAAAAGATACAGCGTCTTCACAGCTCGTGAATCTCGGTAAAAGCTAATAAATCAAATTTATGTTTTAAGAGGTTGAGCAGTATGTCAAAGGCTTCTTTTTTATTTCGTAAGCTTTGCGAATTCAGATGAAGTAACGATAACTGGTCTTTATCGTGAAAAGAGTTTAGTTGCTGAAAGGAACATGCGTCGTAGTAAAGGTATTTCTTTCCATGTGCCTTAGTGATTTGCTGATCCGGTGTGGGATGACATCATTTAGATTAGCGAATTTTTTTCGAGATCTTGCTCTGATACGATTCTAATTACTCGGTCACGCAGAGTGCGGCACACAAAGAGCTCTCTGTTTCGGTGCCATGTGAACTGATATTCTTTTTTAGTTGCCCTCGATTTCATTTTCCAGAAAGTTGCTTTGTTGTATGCTGTGAGGTTTTCATTGAAGAAAATGTTTAACTTTGTGTCTCCTAAGTCGCTCTTTTTTTTTAAGCCATCTTTCTTTCATAAGGCGAGACGAGAACCTGACTATCACAATATCAGGTTTATCACTTTTTTTGTCTTTTTTCGATGGCATACGGTGCACAGCCCCGACGTCACTCTCAGAAAGTGGTGGAAGTTCAAGATCACATGCTAATTTGTTTATCTTTTCTAGAAGGATTTCATTAGCGTGTTGGGACTGTCCGTGCACTTCGAGGTTAAGGCGTCTGCTATACTGATCTAACTCGTTGATTTCGTGTTTGAGCTTATCCATTTCTTTTTCTTTAGCCTCAGTCTCAAGTTTCCCGATTTGTTTTTTGAGGTCTAAAAGGTCATTCGACAGGTGCTTTGGTTTCGCCATAGTTTCATCATATTTATTCGACATAACCTTTACCGACTCTTCTATGTTTTCAACAGTTGTTTTAATTTTTTGCAAAGCATCAACCTTTGATTTGATTGTTAGCAATTCATTTAATTTGCGGTGGATTTCAGCTAGCTTAGAAGCAAAGCTCGTTTCTGAACCACGAATTTGACCCTCTGAACGACTTTCAGCATGAGCCATCGATTTGCAAGGCGTGCATGCCCATGATTTTTTTGCCGCTGCCGATTTCTTTTTGTAGGTATTTTCTGTTACCCGAGAGCATGTACCAACATGGTAATAACACCTGCATTCAGAGCGCATTAGCCACAAATCACTGTCGCTTATCTTGTTGTTACAATTGCGACACGTGTCACCCATGTTGACACTCAAGCGAAAAGCACTCTATGCACTCAGCAGCAGAAGAAACCATAAACTAATAGATTCGTATAAGATGCTAGGAAGATCAGAAGCAATTAACCTGCAATATACAAGGTAAGCTTTTAAAATTCGCTGCGTTGCCTCTATGATGTCTCTACTGCTGCCGAGTGCGCAAATGCCGTAGAACCGTGCAGCAGGCGTCCTTTTATGGAAGCAAAGGTGCTTGTCCACCAGGAGACTATCTTTGAGCCTCCGCTTGACCAATAGCTTGTTCCCGTTCTTCGGCGTGTGCTCCAACAGGCGTTGATTGTGATACCGCAGTTTTCTGCAATGTACAAGGTATGCTTTTAAAATTCGCTGCGTTGCCTCGATGATGTCTCTACTGCTGCTGAGTGTGCAAATTTGTGAAGGCAACCCACAACCAAAGCCGACGAAGCAGCAGAGCTTCACGTCGACAAAGTCCAGATAGGGGTCGGAGTTCAAGTGTAAGGTTTATTTGGTGGAGTGTCTTTTTCTTGGCCCGTTCCACTCCGTGAAACTGAGATTACATCAAGCAGCCTCACAGCTTCGTCACGTGGGATGTCACCTATAATTTACATGTGAGTTAAAAGTATCTGAATTATTTAATAAATGCTTAGTGCTCATTCAAAAGGCCTCAAGTGGAGGCATGAACCGCCAGGAGGAGGCAGCACTCAATTCTTCCATGTATAGTGTGCTTCAGTGTGTGCGCGCCTTCCACCCTCTTGCGGACAAAACTTGCATTAAAGCCCCCTATCTCGATGAGTGTTTTGAAATAGCTGAGAAGATAGAAAGAACATAAGAAATGCAGGAAGCTTAACTAGACTAAGTCTAGTTTGCTAACCTACACTTGGGGAGAGGGGAATGAGGGACGAAAAGAGAGAGAGGAGGAGGAGATGAACATTGCACACTGCAATCACAGTAGACGGTTTCACAGGAGGTCGCTCAGTGATGTTGCTCTCAGGAGTTGTAGAAGGGTTCGTGTGGCATTCTGGGCTGATGTCCTTGAAGACCCCACACCCGAATATCTTCTCCTTAATAAAGGGACGATTATTCAGTCTCATCAAGGCACTCTCCAGAGGCCATTGATCTTGTTCAAAATTGGGAAGCATGCCAGAGAAGTCTGGGGAGCATGTGTGCTGGAGCTATAAACCATGCTCAAAAAATAAATGCTGCACTATGATTCGGCCCATTCTAATCTAGTATAAGAAATGTTGGTGCCCGAACCTTGGGGCAGCCCTGGAAAAGTCATGTGATTACCTTCGTGGCCAAGGTCTGCAGAGCCAAGTGGAACGCCTTGAGGGGGAGGGTTTTCCCAGAAACTCTTGAGTGCAGCGGCCGAAGTCCTCTTTGGTGAGGTGGCCCCGCCGCGGTGGTCTAGTGGCTAAGGTACTCGGCTGCTGACCCGCACGTCGCGGGTTCGAATCCCGGCTGCGGCGGCTGCATTTCCGATGTAGGCGGAAATGTTGTAGGCCCGTGTACTCAGATTTGGGTGCACGTTAAAGAACCCCAGGTGGTCGAAATTTCCGGAGCCCTCCACTACGGCGTCTCTCATAATCATATGGTGGTTTTGGGACGTTAAACCCCACATATCTATCTATCTATCTTTGGTGAGGTGAGGCATGAAGGGCGTTTCTGCACTAGGTCCTCTAGAAGATAAAATGTGACTGTTGCCTTGCCTTACATTGGTTGCTTATCCCAGTGTCTAAAGTCGGTGGCAGCAAAATGTGGTGTGGCGGTAGTATTTTCTGCCTAAGAAAAGTTGGCATGCATCTGTGCATTGGTGAATGGATGCGAAGGCAACAGCGCATGAAGTACGAAGCAGGCGGCTTCACTTGTGCCTTGCGAGATGACTGTCGTGTACAACATGCCGCTTTCATGCGGTAGATTCTACATCGGGCAAACCGGGCGCTGTGGTAATGGCACATTGTGAGAGCACCATGGGGCAGTTAATGCGCAGGCAGCGGAGGGGCACTTGGTGGACCATTGCCGCACGTGCATCTGTGCTCCACAATTTACTGCGACACATGTTTTGAAATGGTAAACACCAGGGGACCTGAGAAATAATTGAAGTGTTTTAGCATCATCGTGAATGTAAGTATCTGTGTCAGTGTTTCTTCAGTGTTCTGTCACTGAACGAGATATCTCTTGCACTTGTAAAGTGGCGACGCGGTAAGTGCATGATAAAGAAATAAGTTCAAGGTGTTATGTTGCGCGAGTGAGCCCGTCCTACGGGCTTTTGGTTTTATGTATTTCCTTGCAGCAGAGTCAGTTGATGTGTAGCACCAGTATGGTTTATGTGTCCCCTCATGTGTCTGTGTCCTTAACTTTTTTTACACTACTGAGATGAATGCTAGTGCTCATTGTGTTCTATAGCTCCGCACTGACTCTAAATCCTTGTTTATTCCTCAGTGCCACCATCGTTCTCGGCAAGAATAATGGCGCCCGGCGTCATTCTACCTGACAGGAATGTGATAGTCACTGTTGAAGCCAAGTAAGCATGACTTGTGCGTGTATCATATGCCTGCTTATCTCACAGGAATATATGTCTTGTAACATATTTGACACTGTTTTATGCCATAATTATTACATTCAACTGTACATATCTTTCTCTTCTTTTATTCTTTGTCTGGTCATTAACATTGTCATCATTAGCAGTATTTTTAGGGAGGGAGGACTATGTTGTATGTGGGCAGTTAAATGAGACCCAGCTCATTGCATGCTGTGTTGGGGGCTGGCTGGTCCCGATGAAGCAGAAGAAGAAGAAGAAGACGACCGACGGAGACATACACGGAAGGCGGGGACCCGACAAGCCCGAACACGCGGGTTGGCGCCAAGCGCCGAAAGAAAGCACAACCGCACTCCACGGTTACCCAACACACACTGCCTTTATTTTACAGTTGCCTTAAAATCCTAGGTGCCAGAACGGCGCCCCCTGGCATCCTCACATGTCAATCCGAAACCGAAACTGAAAACCCAAAACACAACAATTATCTCCTTCTCGAAAAAAGCACACCTATACACTGTTTATATTTATATGTGCTCGATACCAACATATTTTAACAGATATGTACATTAGAACATATGAAAATTCAGAACACAGCACACCGAACTCACACACTACAAGTCCTGAAAATGCACTGACAAACAAAAAAAATGTACACAACTGTTCGGAACAAGGGTTCTACGTCACGTAGTCTTCGAACCGACGCGGCTTATGTTGCTTCTGCTTAGGGCAGGCCCTTTCGGGTGTAGAATCGGGTGTCTCTGCACCTTGGTCACTTCTGCTCTGATGTGACACATCAAGAGCAGTGGAAGATTGTGAAGGCTCTGAATGAGCGTTAAAATTTGCGGTCTCATCAGAGCTCGCAGCATGAGCTTCGGAAGAATTTTGCGGACCGGAGTCTGGTTCAACGGTCTCAGCCGTATCTGAAGGTTCGAAGTGAACCGTATGACTTGGTGTACTTGAACCAGCGACACCCACTAGTAACTCCGCCCCCCTTTAAATGCCTGTACATGGAGGCCACATGTAATAATCTGATGGATAGTTGAAAGGCGCAGACGGAACGTGATGGGGAAGACCTTTAGGTGTTGAAGGCGAATCCGTATGAAAAACAACAAGGCGCAAAGCATTCCAGATGTTACCATCACTTAAGCGAAAAGAAGTGGGGCTAACCTGGCCCAAGACTTTGTAAGGACCCCAAAACTTGGGGCGCTTGCCTGGCACACGAACCTTGACTAGATCGCCAGTGCGAACTTTGGACTGCTTTGCACCTCGACGGGGGTCGACATACTTTTTCATTGCTTGTTAACGAGAAAAAACTCTGGTCCGAATTTGATCAGGAGAAGACACTGCTATGTTACGAGGCAAAGAGACTATGTCGAGAGCAACTCGCGGTTGCCTACCGTGGAGAAGTTGAGCAGGAGACACTCCAGTGGTGCCTTGCGGTGTGAACCTGTACGAAGCTAAACATTCAGTCAAGACTTGCTTGAAGGGACGGTGCTCTAATTGGGCGATCTGGATATGTTTCTTCAGAACGCGATTAAAGCGCTCGATTTGGCCATTTGATTGGGGATAGAAAACTGGTGACCTCAAGTGCTGAATTCCTCGTTGTGAAAGAAAAGCCTCGAAATGTTGGGACTGAAACTGCGGACCATTGTCCGTACCTATGGCATCAGGAAACCCTTCCCGGCTGAAGATTGAAGACAGAAATTCAATGATGACCTCAGAAGTAACCGTATGTGTGAAACAAATTTCTGGCCATTTGGAATGGTAGTCGATGAGAGAAACAATGAACCGGGCATTTTGCGGAACATTATGCAAAGGATTGATGATGTCCATGCCCAGTTTCTGCCAAGGCCGATCAGGCCACTGGACTGGGTGCAACGGAGAAAATGCAGGTTTGGCAGACTTGTCAGCTGCCTGACATATATGGCAGTTGTAAACTGCATGCTCGACCTGCTTGTTTAAGGCTGGCCACCAGTACCTGTCTCGGAGATTCTGTTTGGTGCGGACAATGCCTGGATGGGTATCATGGGCAAGCTGTATTAGCTTGTTACGGAAAGAAGCAGGGGGAATCACGCATTCATCGCGGAAAAGCAAGTCCTCGACACAAGACAGTTCCTGTCGGACTGCGAAGTAAGGCAAGAATTCAGAAGCAAGAGCACCTTTGGACAGCCATCCTTCACCTAAATATTTGAGAACTTGAGACAAAGTGGAATCTGCAGCTGTAGCTGCCTGAAGCTCAGCTTTAGTAATGCAGGAAGTAACTAATGAAACAACTTCCTCATCCCGCTCTTCAGTAACCGGTATCTGAAGAGGAAGGCATGACAGTGCATCAGAAACCACGTTATTAGAACCCTTACAATATTGAACACTGAAATTATAATACATGAGTTTGGCACACCAACGGGAAATGCGTATGGGGCGGCGGCCTTCGGATCCTGCAGAAAGAAGAGCAACTAGTGCTTGGTGATCTGTACGTAATGTGAAGTGCCGGCCCCACAAGTAAACATGCCATTTCTCACAGGCAAAAAGACAAGCGAGAGCTTCACGCTCTCCTACTGAATATCTGCGTTCAGCAGGGGTCAATGTACGAGATGCAAAAGCAATAGTGATCAGCTGATCATCTCTGAGTTCTCTCTGCTCCCAGTCCAACATCATCTCTCTGCTCCCAGTCCAACATCGGACGCATCCGTCGTGATGACGATGGGAAACTTCTCATTGAATATACTAACAGCTGGCTTTGAGGCCAGTATTGACTTAACTTGAATGAAGCTCTGCTCAGCTTCAGCTGACCAGTTAAAAGGCTGTGCTTGACGAAGTAGAGTACGCAGTGGTTCAACAACATCAGCATAGTGAGGAACAAACTTGGCATAATAACCAACAAGACCTAAAAAAGATTGCAAGGTTTTAACATCCATAGGCCGTGGGGCATTGACAATGGCCTAAACTTTACATTCAACAGGTGTCAAACCGCGGGAACTGACATTATGTCCTAGAAAATGTAACTCATTCACAGAAAAAATACACTTGCTATTAAGTTTCATACCACATTCACTGGTGCGGTTGAGAACAGTATGCAAGTTAGCATCGTGCTCTTCGCGAGTACGTCCCCACACCAAAATATCATCCAAGTAACAAAGGGCGCCATTACAACCTTTAAGAATAATTGACATCATTTTCTGAAACACTGAAGGGGCAGATGCAAGCCCGAAACACACGCGGGGAAACCGAAACAAGCCTTCGTGTGATACAAATGTGGTCAAGTCTCTACTGCACTCAGAAAGTTCAATTTGGTGATAAGCGGACACGAGGTCTAGCTTGGAGAAACATACCGCTCCGGAGAGCTGATGAAGCAGTTCTTCAATGTGAGGAAGTGGAAACCCGTCTACGACGATCGCCTTGTTCGGTTCTCGTAAGTCGACGCATAGTCGAAGGGATCCATCTTTTTTCTTGAGGACGACCAGTGGAGAAACCCAGTCGGAAGCAGAGACAGGCTCGATGATTCCGCTGGCTTGAAGGCGAGACAGTTCTGCAGAGACTTGCTCACGGAGAAGAAGAGGAATGCGGCACAGCTTGGCACGCACAGGGCACACACCTGGTCGACGCATCACTTAATGCACAAAACCACGCACACAACCCAGTTCACAGGTGAACAGGTGGTGGAATTCAGAAGGCGCGTTGGCCGGAAGATCATCTTGGACGTCGACTTGGGCACACGTCATAGACGCAGCGTCGATGTTGATGGACAAAGCCCTGATGGCATCACGTCCCAAAAGCGAGCTGCCATTGGCAGTTACATAAAAAGTAATGTAAGCAGTGCGACTGCGATAGGAGACCTGAGCTGTAAAATGACCTAAATTATCAATCGTTTCCTTGGAATATGTTTGTAGAACGACGTGTGAAGGCAAAAGCCGAATGTTGGAAAAATGACTATGAAAGTCAGCGGCACTGATTAAAGAGACTGAGGCCCAGTGTCCACGAGAAATGACAAGGGCACATGGCCCACTGAAACTACGATGCTGGGCTCGGACGTAGTGTGAAGGCCATCCACATTTAAAACAGTGACCGTATTGGTTTGTGCAGTGCTCGAAAGAGCGGACGAAGAAACTGGTTCCGGAAGATTTGCTGGACGGGAATTGCATACGGACTGAAAATGTCCGATTTTTCCGCACGCAAGACAAGTGCGGTTTCTCGCGGGACACTGCGCAAAATTGGCTAAATGCCGAGCATATTCACAACGAAAGCAATGCGCGGTTGCGCTTGGAGAAGCAAATTGCGAACGCGAATTAGGAGCTCGGTGCTGTTCCTGAAAACCAGAATTTGGCGGAATGGGGTCGCCATATTGTCGGCTTCTTCGCCCCCGTGATGCAAAGGAGCCGCCATGTTAGCCGCCACGGAAGGACGGTGCAGGCGGGCGTCCATGTTGGCCGCCACGCCGAGACGAAGGGCCGCCATGTTGACGCGTCCCGTGAAACAAAGAGCCGCCGCCTTGGCCCCCCGCAGCAGAAAGTTGCTGCACTGAATGCGGAGCGAATTGCTCCAACTGGGAGCGGATAAGCTCGTCCTCTCGCGCAATCGCGAGGGCTTCGGATAATGAAATCGAGGAGCCTTTTTGAAGCATGTGGCAGCGGACGTCTTGCGAGGCTACCCCGGTGAAAAGCTGATGGCGGATCATATCGTCCTCGAGCGCGCTGAAGCCGCACGACGCGGCGAGCGTTCGAAGAGAAGTAATGAACTCGGTGACTGGCTCGCCAGGCAATTGTCGCCTTTCTTGGAATTTCACGCGTGCGAGATAATCGCACGAAACATCTTTAAAATGCTCATTGAAAAGAGCAACAGCATTCTTTAAGGCATCGCCCGACGCTGGCGTCGGTGACGCGTTGGTGGCTTCCAAAGTATAGAAGAGCTTTAACCCGGCAGGGCCCAACGCGTTAAGCAGCAGTGCCTTGCGACGCTCGGGCTTGCTGGCGTCCTCCCCGACCGCGTCTGCGTAAGCCTGAAACAAATTTCCAGTCCGCTCACGGAAGTGGCGGGTCTCCGGGCGAATGAAGAAATAGGGGAGGTGGAATAGGAGACGCCATTTCAAGCAAGGAGAATGGAGAGGTGCAGACGAGAAGAAAATTACGCCTGTATACTGTTTGAAGACGAAGGCAGAGGCGGCGTAGTTAAATGAAGAAGGAATGAAGCGACGCAGCACGCAGTAGCCACCTTGCTGGGAACAAAGAGCATCTAGGGTTAGCCGGGTAGGTCCATTAGAAGCAAGAAAAAGACGAACACGGTGAACGAAATGGGTTCTTACAGGTCCTCGTCGCCATTGCTGTGTTGGGGGCCGGCTGGTCCCGACGAAGCAGAAGAAGAAGAAGACGGCCGACGGAGACCTACGCGGCCGGCGGGGACCCGACCAGCCCAAACACGCGGGTTGGCGCCAAGCGCCGAAAGAAAGCACAACCGCACTCCACGGTTACCCAACGCACATTGCCTTCATTTTACAGTTGCCTTGAAATCCTAGGTGCCAGAGCGGCGCCCCCTGGCATCCTCACATGTCAATCCGAAACCGAAACTGAAAACCCAAAACACAACATTGCACTGCCTCAATAGCTCCTTGTTCTCGTTCTAGGTGTAGGACTTGCAAAACTCAAAATGTCTTTATAGTCAAAAGCCCTTGAAGTGTTTATGTGAAAGCACTTAAGCGTTTACGTCCATCATATACCTTTCCTCGAGCGACAGTCATTCTTCTCACACCACAGGAGCTCCATCAGATTCCCGATGTTTCCCATGCGATTTACACAGCCGACATAACGCGCTAGATGACGCAAGGTTGAGACGGGGCTATTTAGGATCACCTACATCAAGCAGCCGACATCGTTACCGCCTACGCATGATAGTGCAGCTTAACCTGTTCCCGTCAGAAGTCATCTGGGTGCTACGCTCATGTGGAGTGGGCTCACATACTTGATTTATACGTTCAAGCAAACAGAATAGTGGACGGCACTGTCTCTCGTTTGTCCTGACAAACCGAACAGATTCCTGCCATAATACGAGAACACGACCTGCTGTGGCTGGTGCAGGCTTGCACAATCAGTCGTATCACATGCCATCTCCCTTTCGACAGACTTAATACCCAGTCGGAGCAGACGTGGGTCGATGCAATGCACTAGAAGGCGACCAAGTTCGTCCACGGCCTCCTACACTACACCGCAACGACATGTCTACTAGCCTTAGGGACCCATAACACATTCAGTGAACCATTGGAAGCTCAGTAGAGCAACCAAAGACAGCGCCCTTTGCTCACACCCACTGAGTAACACCTGCTCTTGCAACTGGTATACCCAGACTTGTACGATCATGTCGAAGAGAACACCATCAGTGTACCCCACCTTGGGTGTGTAGAACTGTGAAGGTGCATCCTCGACCCCGTAAAATGAGCCCTGATCCTAACGAGGAATGCTGGCGCAGCCGTGTTCGGTACCTGGTGTGCATGCTCACTGATATACCTGAAACAAACACCATGTACATTAATGCTGCACGATGTTGCCACAGATGTTCCACCGTAGTCTTGAATGGCAATGACTCATGTCTTACGGCAACTTCTTTGCGTGTTTCAACCCCTGCAGACGGCGAAGTCCTTGATGCTGCGTTTGCTGTACGACACGCTATCGACATTCTTGAAGAAGTTTACATGTTAACCGATTCGCAGCATGCATGCCGAGCCTATTTGATGGGACGCGGCTTTTGACAAGGTGGCCCACCACATCATACACAAGACATCAAACATGGACAAATCCAGCCCACAACCTATCCACTTGCTCTGGACTCCTAGTCACGCCTCCCAGCCAGGTAATAATCACGTGGTCGCTCGAGAGATTGCCCACTGAGTTGCCCAGCATGGTGGGGCCGAAATTTCAGATCAAGTAAACCCTCCACCCTCAGAGGCTTATTGGCATACTACACCAGAGTAAGGTACAGCATACACCCCCCGCCTGGTGGGGCCGAAATTTCAGATCAAGTGGACCCTCCACCCACAGAAGCTTATTGACATACTACACCAGAGTAAGGTACAGCATACACCCCCCGCCACCGTTGTTCTCGCGAGAGAAAGAGGTGGCACTCTGCCAACTCGAAATGCATACGTTCTCCAACCTCCTCTCCGTGCATAAATTCTACCTTGATCGCTAGGTACGCAGACAAGAGCCTGCGTAGCTAGCGTTCTGGGAGCAGCCAGGGCTGTGACAGCTCCTTAAGAGCAGTACACGTTACGATGGAGTGAACCACAAAATTACGTGCTCCTCATCCCGCTATCCTGCACCCCTTCCGCACCAATGATCTGTGGGACGATGCTCTGTGCAACGGGCCTCCCAAGGTCTGCCAGGCCTTGGTTTATAGGGTCCGGGCGGTAGCTGAGATCATCTATGGTTCCCCCCCACACGCCTTGGTTATATATATTTAATAAAATTTCTCTCCTGTATATGTGATTGAATCTTCATATTGTTACAAATTTTACACTGGAAAAATGAGACAGCCTGCTAGGGTTACGTTTAAGGGGGCATCTCGCGGACACAATAGTGTAATTACCAAAAGCAGTGGCATAGAATTTCAATATAGCAGGTCACAACTTCAATGCTTTGAAAATTTATATACTTCAAATTTCGGGTTCCCAAGAGCGAGAAAATATGCATAGTCATACCTAATTCGCAAGGTTAGTACAACCTAGCCAGCAGGTTTGATCGTCTCAAAGGGGGCTCTTGACTCCATCTGATTCATCAAGGTTAGCTGTTAGCCTTGCCTGGTATAACATTCGAATCCGCTGCTCCGCATTCATTGCTTCGCCTCGTCGGCCAACCTGTGACCTTTCTACATACTACTTTTTGTGCAGGTACCCGTACGGAAGACCAGTTCAGGGTTTAGTTATCTGCAAATTTAAAACCAGGAATGCCAACACCGGCCAAGTACAACCATACGAGAGAGCAGAATCTCTAATGGAAGAGGTAAGCCGTCGTTATCGTCATCGCCTCAACAGCATGGGTAAGAAAACACAGACTCCACTGTACGACTAATCAATCAGTCAATCAACAATCTAGTCAATCACTTACTTGGCATTCTCATGTAATAAATTTATGACCTAACTGCAGGCGCACGCATTGAGTAAAAATTAAGGTGTTTTCGCACTAGTAAGGTCAAATTTGAGAGAACTGTGGTGCTGGGAGGCCTTCTTTGTTCCTCTTTATTTTTTTCTTCCTGGCTTCCTCTCCTTTTCTTTCATTTCTAGGCTGTGTATTTTTAGTATATGCGTTGTTCTGTTTCTTTCTGCCACGTTGGACAAGTCGGCACAAGTGTTCTGGGAGTGGAGCACCCTACCATGGTGCTCTAGTGGCTATAAGGTACTCAGCTGCTGACCCGCAGGTCACGGTATCCAATCACGGCGGCAGCAGCTGCATTTTATATGCAGGCGAAAATGCTGTAGGCCAAATTGCTCAAATTTGGGTGTACATTGAAGAACCCCAGGTTGTCGAAATTTTCCAAGCCCTTCACTACGATATTTCTGATAATCATATGATGGTTTTGGGATGTTAAACCCTCATATCAATCAGTCAATTATGGGAGCGAAGCACAATGGTACGAATAGCAGGAAGACAGTTAAGGAAGCGGTAGCCGGTGTAAGTTGATGGCAACTTTTTGGCAATAACTAAGGGCGTAACATATATCTAAACAGCTCCACTGTAGGAATTGATTGGAGTTTAGCTCTTGTAAACCTTGTAATGGCTAGGTAAATCACTGAAGTAATCGCTTTACAAGTTGGCCAAAATGTATGCAAGACCCGAGTATGACCCGTTCTTTCTTGTTCTCATGTGTTTCAACGCAGCTTGTCAATGGAAATGCAACCTTCACCTTGCCAAGTCGTGGACGTTGGGGCCAGTACCTACATTCTGTGTATCTTGGTTCCCGACTTGTGGTAGAAGCCGAAGTCTTGGACAAGGTCACTGGCGAACGAGTCACAGCTGAGGATGACTCGGCTGTGTACGCACACTCACTTTACCACGTCAGCTTTCGCCGCACTGACCCGCACTTCAGGCCAGGTGCTCCAAAAGTCGTCAAGGTATGTTTGCTTGTCAATGGGCAAATACGAAGGTTTAGGAAAAGCCGCACGTTGCAGTGGCTATAGCGTCGATGGTGCCTATAAGGTGCAGTTGTCGTCAGAAGTTCCATTGCAGCTCTGCAATGTGGATGGATAGAAAAAAAATTATTTCATCAAAAGCGCGTGCAGATGATTCCGTGTCAGATGGCCATCAACCCAAAATTGATGTCGGTGACCCGGGTGATCCGTTCTACGACCTTCGTCTGAACAACTGGGTCTGATCTGGCCAACACGGTCTTCCACTGCTTGAGAGAATAATCTCATACACATAACCCTACGGCACCATGCTACAGCAGTAGGTGATATCTTCATAGATCGCTACTACCTGGCACCATTCATACCGACTTGAATAGGATTATATGCGATAGCAGTCTTGGAACAACTTTTGAACCCCCTGTACATAGCACCTTGTGCGCGCTAAAGATAGTGAAAGACGATGTGCAAAAGGGGTTTACGTCATTTTTGGGTTTTCGGGTTGCTCTATACAGCGACGATCTTGTTTTTAATCATTTTACCTCGTATACTTTTGAGTGGTTTCCAATACACGCGTAAGCCAACTCAACCAACTTCAGGCCTTAATGTACAACCTGGTGCCCTGCCTGACCAACAATAGTAGTTGTAGTGGGCTTTGGTTATGATTGTACAAACGCCATGTTTGCAGTCGAAAGTTAAGAGGTTCCAGGAAGCCAGAAAAAGCTGAATGTTCTCGCTACTTCCCCAGGCCCCCTTGAATAGATAGTGCTTCATCCAGCCGACTGCTTCGTGTTGAGTGTGGTAAATAATTATAGGCTAAGCAGAATTGCCGACACTCGCTCAAAGCAACATATGGTTGTGTAGTTTTGAGCGATATTAACAGTGCATAGTGGGATATACCCTAAAAGACATATTTGGAAAAGCTAAAGAAGTCGACATTTTTGTTGTGGGAGATTGTGTGTGTGCACACTTCATTCTTGGCCACTCCCATAAAATGGGTATGCGTCACAGTTAGTTGGTGAACTAAAAAAAAAGATGTGGTGGACAATTTGCTACTGATTCATCACTGTTAATTTCATGTAACAATATTGCTTCATTTTCTTCATGGAAATTTATATATCAAGTTCTCTAAAATTGTGTTGGGTGAACTCTACACATTTGCAGACAGTGCAGCATAATTGGCACCTAAATGTGATGTGGTCATTGCAGGGCCATGTCGCTGCACAAACAACATCTCGCCAATGTTGTGTCACTGCCTCTCGCAGGTGGATGTCACGTACGCCAATGGCCAGCCAGCCGCTTTGGTTCCCTGCACTGTGAAAGCCGAGGCCGGTAATGGTTTTAACGTTCCCGTAGATCCTGATGTAGCGATGACGGACGCCAGGGGGCGTCTTGCATTCGCTGTGAGCACAGAGGGTCAACACACTCTGATTATGGCAAAGGTGAGACATATTGCGCATGGTCACTCATAAAGTGAATGAAAGGAATCATATGAAGGCTAGGCCTTATATTATATATATATATATATATATATATATATATACATACACATACACACCCTGCCCCTGTAGCCCACTAAATGTCATCATGAATGAAGGACCACGTATGCACATTTTATTTGGCCTCATACCAATAAATACATTCAATGAACAATCATCAGTCCAAAACAAAATTATTCTTAAGAATTATTACTTGCATAAAAGTCACAACTTTTGCCGCAAAGGTGAACCAATGAACGTGAAAGCAACAAATTGGAAAATCACGAACCGAATGGCAAGCAGATCGAAATGTGCCCCGCGTTTCTCACGCATAGGTGATGCACGAAACATACTGACAGGTACAGATGAACACGAATAAGTGTCTCGGCTGTTACTTTTTTGCAAACGGAGACTGTGCAACGATTTCAGTGACCTCTGCACGTGCGCCTGGTAACTACAAAAGAAACGTTCTAGTGAAAGCCCAGTGCCACCCAAGACGTACGATTGTCCCCACTGTGAGATAAGGGCTCGTGAGCGAGCACCCACCTTCTTCACTCTGAGGGGCAAAGTACGCACGGGAGATGAGAACGCGTGCCGCCGCGCGCTCAATGCGCCATCTTGCTGGTAATGCTGAAAACGTGATAGTCCCCCCCACTCAAGACGTGCAAAGCTGCGCGCTTATTGCGCCGTCTTGCTGGTAATACTGAAAAAAACACGATAGTACACCTCCCCCGAGATGCCCATCACCAGCGGTAAGTGGTAGATATAATTAGCTTGCCGTTTGAGCATTGAAGGACGAGCTTTTTCAGTGGCTCAGTAGTTATCGCCTCACACTCATGTTTTAGAGGTCCCCTGTTTGATTCCGTGCACCACAGTGTTTTTCAAGATTTTTCTCTTCCTTGCGTTTTTATATATATAGATACGTATACATGTACGGTGAGTGACGTCTACGCCGGTGACAAATACAGCGAAGAGTGTCCATATAATTGCTGCCACAATAAAACTGTCCCGCTTTCACAGGTTGAAATCTTGCTGCCAAGTGAACCTGGTCGACAGGCGGTAGGACAAATTTTTCTTAGTGTCTTCAGATCTCGGAGCAACGCTGTATTATACCTGGAGTCAGCGGACAGCGGTAAAGTTGTCAAGGTGGGTCATTTTTGAGATTAAACTTTCGAAAATTGGGAACACCGGCACATAACTGCCGGAGGCGTTCTTGCATGCTCTAGCTAAAGTGCACCTTTGTTCTACTCAGTCATCATCATCATCAGCCTGACTACGTCCACCGCAGGACAAAGGCCTCTCCCATGTTCCGCCAGTTAACCCAGTCCTGTGCTTGCTGCTGCCAATTCATACTCGCAAACTTCTTAATCTCATCAGCCTACCTAACCTTCTGTCTCCCCCTAACCCGCTTGCCTTCTCTGGGAATCCAGTTAGTTACGCTTAATGACCAGCGGTTATCCTGTCTACGCGATACATGCCCGGCCCATGTCCACTTCTTCTTCTTGATTTCAGCTATGATATCCTTAATCCCCGTTTGTTCCCTAATCCACTCTGCTCTCTTCTTGTCTCTTAAGGTTACACCTACCGTTTTTCTTTCCATTGCTCGCTGCGTCTTCCTCAATTTAAGCTGAACCCTCTTTATAAGTCTTCAGGTTTCTGCTTCATAGCTAAGTACCGGCAAAATACAGCTGTTATATACCTTCCTCTTGAGGGATAGTGGCAATCTACCTGTCATAATTTGAGAGTGCTTGCCAAATGTGCTCCACCCCATTCTTATTTTTCTAGTTACTTCAATCTCGTGGTTAGGCTGTGCAGTTATTACCTGCCCTAAGTAGACATAGTCTTTTAGAACTTAAAGTGGACTATTGCCTTGTTGATTATTTTTCACGTTCTGGGCTGGGACAAGGAAACAAGAAAGAAGAAGAGCGCGAGCGAAGGACGTGGGGACGCTCAAGTGACAGCAGAGCGCTTCCGAACGCAGTTAAATAAACAAGTATTTTTGCCTTATACCTTAAAGACGGAGTTGAGTCTGATCGCAGTGTCTGGAACGCCATCGTCTTAATATTGGTGCCGAAAAATCGGGATTGAAAACCAGGACCCTACGGACGGCTACCAGTCAACTGCAGCGGCATGGAGCGACTGAAGTCGAAGCGGACGTCGCGGCGAGCACAGAACACGAGGATTATAAACAAGGCAAGTGAGCTCCTCGCTAACGACTCTGCCTCCTATGACCAGCCCAACTCTATATATGAGAGGCTGAAGGCTAATAACGAAGAGCTTAAAAACCTGAACAACGTGATTGAGCTGCATATACCTGACGAGGAGTTCGAAGTCGAGTATAACGCTGTCTTATAATACGAGGACAGTGCTACGCGCATTCTTGCGGAGATTCTCAGCAAGAAAGATCGCATGCTAAGGACATCGACCGGAACTGAAGAAACAGTTGCCCAGACAGTCGCAGCACCATCAGACGGAACTGGAGTTAAATTGCCTAAACTGACAATAGCTCCTTTTTTTGGAGACCTATGCAAGTGGACCGAATTTTGGGAACAATTTTACGAAATTGTTCATAGTAACGATCGCATCACTGCCACAGAGAAGTTTCATTACCTGCGACTGTATCTTAAAGGAGACGCTGCATCAGTAATTGCGGGCCTTCCGACGACAGAAAGTTGCTACAGTGACGCCATCAAAATGCTACAGAAGTGATTTAGGGACAAGATGCGCCTGGAGCAAGAATATTTTGCCAAGCTACGGATGTTAAGCCCTGTCCGTTCATCGACTGACGCCAAAGCGCTACGCAGCTTGTACGACCAAGTTCTCGTGAATATCCGAGGCTTAGAGACTTTGGGTGTGCACAAGTCGTCATTTTCGTCAATGCTCTGCGACATCCTACTGCGTGCTCTTCCACGGGATATAGTCGTGCAGTATCATCGATCATGTGCCGTCTGGTTGGCATATGACTCAAGAGCAGAAGCTACATTCGTGGGACTGGACCGTGTGCTCAACTTCCTGTGTATCGAGCTGGAAAGCCTAGAGAAGAGTGATTTTAAGGATGCCAAAGGACGAGAACATGGAACACTCCCCGTGGCCAGTCAGTCGACGTACTCTTGGCGTGGGAAACCGACGTCATCTGTGCTTCACAGCATTTCGGTATGAGAAAAAAAGGACAACTGCGTATTCTGCTCGTCCAGCCAACACAGATCGGAAGCCTGCACAGCTGACTTGTCACTGACGCAGAAGAAGGAACTGTTTTCCAACGACAAAAGGTGTTTCCGCTGCACCACCAAAGGACATCGGGCACGGGACTGCAAAAAGAGGATTTCCTGCTCCAGATGCCAAGCTCGACACGCTACAAGCATGTGCGATCCTGATAGGTGTTCGCGGATGTCAGACTATGCTAACAAGAACTACGGAAAAACTACGACAGTCTGCGCATCACTTGGAAGAAGACCCGTCAAGGAAGGCTCTACCACTTGCGTTTTTCTTCGGACTTTCAGAGCATGGGCCATGAATGATTACACCTGCCGCTACGTATGAGGCGTTTTTGATGGTGGCAGTCAGAACCCTAGCAAAAATTCTGATAGAAAAACTGATAGGCTATCAGGTTATTGACAGTTGTATCAGTCTATAAGTGTATCAGTCTATAGGTGTATCAGTCTATGAGTGTATCAATCTATCAGTGTATCAGTCTATCAGTGTACCAGTCTATCAGTGTACCAGTACTCGTGTGCCAGCCTATAAGTGTAGCATTCTACTCTGATAGGCCCACAAGCGAATCGGTGCTTAGCCAACTGGCAGGTGCACCACTACATCAAAGCAAGCAGGACACAAATATGAACACAGAAATCAAACAAAATATTTTATTTGATGTGCCATTCCTTGGTTAAACTTTTGATTTCATAAAGTCATTAATTTTGTTTGCCAAAGCTTTATTGAGGAGCTTCTTCATTTGCTCAACCTCTCCAATCAGAACGGTGTGCTTCAAAAAAAAGGTTGAAATCTGCATGATCAAAAACAAAGCAAGTTACAGGCACTTATTAAGCGACAATTATGTGCACTCTAAATAGAGGAGTCAATATGACAAGAAAATAAGTAGTTCTACCAGTCTGCCTCTCTAATATTGTTTAAAGTTAGTTTGTGGATTCTTGCATAAAAGTACCCAGCTCCAGTAGGCAAAAGCTACACTTGAAGCTTTAGTAAGTAATTATAACACAAGTTGGCAGTGAAACCTCGGCTGATTACGTGCAAAAATGGAGCCACTAACTTCCATGAATTTTGGTCAGATTGCAAAATCTCACCTACCTGAAAACACAGCATATGTTTCTTTTTTCCTTGGGAGATTTCGCCTCCCCTTTAGACCGATTGGAGGCTGCGCCAGTAACACTTCTACCGACTTGGCCTGCTGTATAAAAAATGGTAACGACCGCCTCACGAACAAAACGGGTCTGTCTTTTCAAGCCCATGGGGTGATTTCAAGCCCATGGGGTGATTGTACAACCTCTTGGGAACGGCAATTCCTTTGCTCCGATGCACCTATAAAACAAGTCAAAGATGATGTGCACACATTAGTTTGTCAATGCACATTTTCTCATTAAAGCAAAGCAATATATCTTCAAGACAAAGCATACTAGAGTTTTACGATACCTCTCTGTCAGTGGGCACATAATTGATAAGCAGTGCAGCCTCCCTCACACTTGACTGGGCTACTTCAGGGCTGTCCGTGATCGCTGTGGCGGTTCCAGCGTGGCAGCACATAGTGGTGGCAAAGGTGCAAGTCGTTTCTGTTTTTGAGGCTTGCGGCTGCAACATCCGCAAAGGACAAGGTTCTTTGCTGCAATGAAAAAGTAGAGTGTTAAGAAATAAAGTATATTGCACCCTTAATTGTCACGGTACCATCCTAGGTGTGCATGGTCAAATAATATATATGACAAACATAGCATGCAGTTGAGATATGCAATGAAAGTGTAATGATATGTTGCATGTCACGTCTCAAAACCATGGTGTGATTATAGGGGATGCCGTAGTGGAGGGCTCAAGAAATTTTGACCAAGTGGTGTTCTTTTTAATATCCACCACACTGTGAAAGTTGTAAAAGCACATTTTCAAGTGATTAGAAAAACATGCATGCATCTATGCCACCCATGAGCTTACATTGCATTCTGCTTTTCAGCAAAATTGCACGCTATAAGAATAGGGCAACTTGCTGCTGCATACAACCCTAGCAGCAGTGCGTTACAACAGCTTATGAAGAAATGATAAACCTGTTTGGAAATTTTCGCTGCGAAGGGCATTTTCCAGTAGGCTTATTCTTTCTAATGCTTTTGTATTTTGAGCCCTGAGCATATATATTCACTTCTTTCAGAAGCTCTTTCTCTGTTCTTTTTTTTCAGCATTAGCAAACAGCAGGCCTCCCTGCTGCTTCTTAAAACGGTTGCTGACGTGCTTTGTCTTCTGCTTAACAGCAGCTTGACGTCGTGTTTCTTACAACTGCAGACAACGCAACACACAAATTTCACTGCTAGTTCGCAAGCACAAACAGGGCGTATATCCGCACAAGCAAAAATAATTTTAAACCAGTCAATTGTACAAAAAAATGTGACTAAGCTGCGCTCATACCACGATAGAATAAAATAAAATAGCTTTTCAGCATACTGCAACCTTACTAACACCTTCAATACGACGTTCCGGCACCCGCGCAGTAGTGGAGCAGCGATGCTCTGATATATTCGCTAAGGGGGCGGGGAGTATATCAGAGCATTGGTGCTTCATGTGTAACACGGCACCACGTGCAGAGCAAAATTGGCTGTCGATTGTAATTGCGCCGCAGTAGCACATCAGCCGCAATGTCAACGATAGCCAAACTTGGCTGTCGGTAATAATTACCCTGGAAGTAGCATATCAGCTGCAGTGTGACCAATTCCAACTTACTTTTTTAACCGACTCATTGTCCACTTCATTTGAACTGCAGCTATCGGAGGAGTCGCAATCTGGTCTGCGGAATGGATGGTCGTTTTTCTGTTGCATTCCTTGCGTCATCCTCGGTGCCTAAGAAAATATGACCAGTAAATAACTTCAGAACGACTGCTTCTTCCTTTTTGTTTTCGTATTGGGAATACAAGAGGCGCGGACTTACCGTAAAGCTT